AGATTTGAGTAAACCTGTTAAAAGAATGTCTCCTATAGGGTGACCAACAGTCCTGTTTTCCCAGGACATGTCCTGTTTTCATGTCCTGTCCTGGCCATCCTGGCTGACGTTTTAATAACTGTCCTGGTTTCAAAAAACTGCTGCAGCTCTGCAATATATAGATGGGTGAACAAGGAGGATGAGGAAGAAAAACAGGATAAAGAGAAAGAAAACTAATGATATCAATATATTTTGTTTGTTTGTGTAAAGATGAAAATCATACTGAAAAAAATGCAATTCTCTTTTAAGACCCACAGAAGAGGATTTTGCAACATTTATATTGATATTAAGAATGTGTAATATTTTTTACAGCTCAGAAGGGTAAGAGCACAGTATTTAGGTCAATGTAAATTTAAATTCCAATGATGAAATTGCTCCTGTTCACAAAATTTCTGGCAAGGGTATGACAAAATAATTTGAGGTCTCACTGACCAACCAGGGACCTTCTGCCATGATGATTGACAAGGAAGCCTGAGGCCTCAGGAAACTGGCCCCAATGACCAAATCTATAGTCCATGGTTGTGATTGTTCAGAAGGGAGGAAGGAAGATGCCATCACTGCCCCCTTTTTAGTGGATTTCACAATGAGGTTCTCTGGCTATTGTGTTGTGTGTGTATGTAATTATGTTTTTGTATAGGTTTTTATATAGGTTTACATATGGAACAATAAACTTGATTTTAAAGTTGGCATGAAACAGAATTAGCGATAGTCTTTTCGTGATGTATATCCAAGTGAAAATTGTAATCAAGAAAAATGTAGGCTGGGCCTTAATTTTGTCCATCTGAAATTGGTTGGGTCGTTGGATGGTTGTGGTTTGCTAATGCAGTGATTTCATGCGAGCGACAGGTTGATGCAAGATAGTGGCTGCGTCAAAAATCGCATACAGATAGGCTACTTATTTTGAGTAAGTAGGCCTAATTACTTAACAGCCGTCTAAAAAAGTATGTTTGGCTATAGTGTGTAGTATAAATGGACGTAACCTACTAGGCTAGGCCTATCTACAATACTGTCATGTAACCTTCCATGGTCAGTTGTGTGGCTTTACTGCCTGCCATTCATCCTCTCCCGTGGTCCAGATACTTTTTGCCTATTCGGACATAGCCTGTGTAGACTTTTGTCACATAGCCTACTGTTTTTTGCCCACTAGCCTATATAGTAGGGAAATATCCGATTTTGCAGCCGTTGTTGCAAGAGGGGGCAAGTTATATTTTGCTTAAATATAAAGATATAAATAATGATCAATTTAAAAAAAAATAATGATGTGGATATATTTAAATCTAATTTATAATAAATATGGAAATGTTCCATAAAAATTAAATTTTGATTTCATTGTGTGACTAACTTGCTGTCAGTAGGCACTTGGTTTTGAGACACAACCACTAAAAAGAAATAACCCTGACACAAATCCTCATATTTTGTAAGACTGTTTCGTAATGCCTTTTCCTCTCCATTCACTGCTTCCAGGATTTAACACAACATTTCCGCAAACCGATGCTGTGCGTAGACGACAGGAGAGATGAGGGAGTGAGAAAGAGGACATTTTGTAGAGAGAGAGAGAGAGAGAGAGAGAGAGAGAGAGAGAGAGAGAGAGAGAGAGAGAGAGAGAGAGAGAGAGAGAGAGAGAGAGAGAGAGAGAGAGAGAGAGAGAGAGAGAGAGAGAGAGAGAGAGAGGAGGTGGAGACACACACACATACCTATACAAGTGTTCAGTATTGATATACAGGCCTTCACGTTCATACTGAATATAACTTTCATTTTAGTCAGGATTATAATCGCTCGAACTGCTGGAATTCCGTTGGTCCATTTTAGAGGCTTATTTTGTTCGTTTCCTTTTCGGTCTTTTCTGGTTTCTGTTGGATCTTTAGTGTCTGGCTAGCGAGCACAGCTAACCGCAGCTAGCCGGATATTTCCTCTTTCCTCGGCCTCGGGAGCCCAGTACACCCACAGAATGGCATTAAAACGAATTCACAAGGTAAAATATTATATTTTATGTTAATAATTTTAAATTCACTGCCCAAACCCTTTGGTTTTTCGCTGGATATTTAATAGAAAGGTATAGCCTATGTTAACAATGCTATGAGGATAGCACAGGCTTGGCTAGTAGGCTGTTTTCATGTTAGTAGTATTATTTAGTATTATGTATAGTATTATGTTGTTGTTTATTGTTAACTTGCCTCAAAGGAATGCCTATCTATCTATCTATCTATCTATCTATCTATCTATCTATCTATCTATCTATCTATCTATCTATCTATCTATCTATCAATTTGTTAATTCATTACATTTAGGCTAATACCCATAAAGACAGGTGCCACATTGTAATAGTTAAAGTTAAAATAACTATATGACATTCCTCATATTACTAGTTAAAAACAGTGGAAATACTGGAATCAGATTTTAGGTGGTGGATGAGGGGGGTTTATGTGGATGTGTTTCCTCTGTGAGTCACATCCAGGTGAATTCAACCATATGGGAGTTCTTATGTTTTTACTCATGGTGTTGGTTCAGGCGAATGCTATTTATGAATCATCTCAGCCACAAAAGTTCTGGTTGGGACAAGGATTTGCATTACTGATTTTGAGTAAATCCTATGGGCATATAAGCCTATTAAGATAAGATTGTTCTTATCTCTTTTAATAGTGATGTTATTTTATTTTGGTAAACGCAACAAGAACTTTGCGTCATTGCTAGAAGTGCTTCCTGGAAAGCTTCTATGAGCACATAATACTCCAATCAGATATATCCGGCCCATACCAGCATGAAGTAGTTGCACAATAGTTGTTGAACTTGGCGAAAGGATAATTTTCACCTGTTTCGCTGACTTTGAGAGCTTCTATGAATTAGACTGACACAGCAGATTGTTTGCAGGCAGGTGGCCAAATACTGAGTTTGTCCAACTTTCTGTGGCTTGTTGTACCCATATCAATCAGTTTTCAGGTCTTTTTTGTTGTTTAATAGGGAAATGAAAAGAATGGCTGACATTGAAAGATGAGCTGATCATTTTGGAACAGCAAATACCAAGTGGCCACACAGACGACTAGTTGAAAATACCAGCAACGTGTAGACGTATCTCAAGTGGGAGGGCTGGTTTATTCCCCACACCCTCATCTGAAGTATGCAGACGTAAAAATAGCTGCTACTGTTAGTGCTGATATTCACACTGTCCTATATTGGTTGGCTGAATTGGTGTCGTACATTGACTGTAAAGGCTTCCTCCACATGTCATCCAGGCAGCTTTAAGGATGACAATTTTTGTTGATTTGGCATTTGTCTGTCAATTAACAATAGGCTGAAATGCTATCTACACAGACAGAATGGCCTTGATTTAACTCTGTCAGCTTTGTTTTTCTCATGTGGCTTGTGACTGACTGTTTAGTTTCTAGTTTAGACTGTTTAAGTTCCTCATTAGTACCTCAGAGATGGATCTAAGTGAATCTCAGATCCATATTGTTTGATTATTTTGCTTCTCGCAGCACAGATTTCCAACAATTTAATACAACTGAATTATACAATTTTTCTTTTTAAATTTGGAATACATTTTCTTATTATATTCTTATTTTATATTATAATTAATAATACTGTTTTTAATGTATAGGCCTTTTTAATTGTTGCAGTCTGATTCATTTTATTGTCAAAAAGTAGAACAAAATTTGGTTCTTAAAATTGGTTGTAGGAGGACAATAATGAGGTGGTATGATACCGGTTAAAAAATTAAATCAGTCTGTGGTTTTAATTTTTACCCATAATCGTTCAGGTCTGAGCAACTGATGTTCTCATAGGCATTTGTATGTTCGCCAACTGGTTTTGTATTTAGAGATGTGCAACCTGTCGACAGTATTATGACTAAACAGTGAGTCTACCTGTATTTGTTTTGATGTTTCCATCTTAGACATTCTCATCATCAAAGAAGGCTCTGACCTCTACTTCCTGTATGGTCACATGTTCACATGCACAGGCAAGCACTGCCAGAGGGTTGCCAGCACTTCGCATTCATGAATTCTCAGAAACTTGCCATTTTCTCAGAAGTGGTTTATATAGAGGCATGTCACTGTATTTTCTCCTGAAGAGAGACCGAAAGATCTAGAACAGTAGTTATTTCCTTGTTGTCTAAATGCCTAGGTGTGGCCAGAGATCGGAAGACTGGATTGCCAGGATTCAATTATTATCCTCCAATTTTGTTATTAATTTACTGTATTAATAATGACAATATAGTTATTTATTACAATATAAGAAACAAATTAAATGACTTTTTTTCATTTTTACATCTATTTAGGAGAAGGATTAAGGAAAGACATAATACAGAAATATTATAATCAGATTTTTTAAATCACTGCATAGTCTTTAGTCTATTAATTACAAATAAATGGATTATTATTAAAGCTATGAAAGTTATTCAGTCAAGAGCAATGAGTGATTCCCTCTTTTCTTTTGGTGCTTGATTAACAGTAATGAGCAGCAGGTTTATAATAAGACCTAAATGCACAGATTTAATATGATGTTACGCAACAGATTCCCCTCAACTGTTTTGTTTCACTTAAAACATAACCGGCAATGCTTTTGTGAGTACTCGCCAAGGCAGATATTTTGAAATCAAACTATACTATCTGTCTACTATCTGTATCTGATTCTGACCATTCTAGCGCAAATATTCCAGAATTCAGGATCGTATGCTGTCTGAGAAGCGTATTTTTGTGAGCGCTCTTATGTAACACATGAAATTCTTTTTCGTAGCTTATTGCACTTATCTCTGACTCTGTTTGACATCAAGCACATCCTGCACTTTATTTTCATATTCATGCATGTTCTTTTCATAAAAACCGAAAGGACATAAGTATACACATTTTTTTATAAACATAAGAGTACTTTATTTCAAATAAAACGGCACAATAATATGTAGGCTTTAATTATAGGCCAATTTAATTCGATTTTTAAAAAATTGGTTCTTTTTTTATGCACGGATGCCGAGATGTTCACAGCATCGTGATGGATCATAAAAACTAGGTTATTCTATTCCAAAGCTAGGCCTATAGACCACCCTATTTCACCTAGAAATCTAGCCAAAGCAGAAACTGTGAAATCCGTGCTACCTGAAGACCTTGATCAAGTGCTGATATTGTAGCGAGTTGATTGGACAATATTGGTTTATTTAGGCCTATGACAATCTTAACATGATTTTTACAATTCTTTTTGTATATATTTGTTTTTGATGCAATAATAATAAATTATAACTAAAACAATTGACAATAATATAATCTACATGATGCTAATATGCATTTATTATTTTTTTATCATTATTAAAATAATGCATTGTTTGCATCAAAAATACAGAAGATATAGACGAATCCGACGAGCGTTCTTGTGTAGGCTGCCATCTTGTGGCGACGCCATTACTGAGCTGTTACACCGGCATAGACATATGCACCGGTATGTAAACAAACCTCGGAGATAAGGTGATAACGCACCCTTAATGACAGCTAGAGCCAGGCAGACTTGTTGGGTTGATGATGTTAGACATTGGCCTCCAGTCACAGATGAAGGTACAAACGATCTTAAAGATTATTTATGAAAATAGCTTGGCAAGCAAGCTAGGCTAACGTTTGCTACCGAGGAAACTAAAAAAAGATCTGTCCATTTGGCAACAATAAATAAATAAATAAATGAAATCAAATAAACAATTTCATGTTTTTCATTTGTGTGCATTATTTATCTCATTTTTACATTGCAACGGGCATGGGTAAGGTAACGTTACAGCTAGAAAGTAGGCTATACATAATATCGACCAACTACTGTTTTTAAACCATGGAAAGAGGTCAGTATAACAGCAGGAGAACAATTGTGTCACATAACGTTACATTCAGCTCAGGAAAGCCATTTAATGACCATATTGAATAGAAAAAATAACAAGAGAGGAGATTTTGCTGATCACTATATCACACATTTATTATATTTTTTTACGTATGTCATTAAATAATTGTTATTATACGCGAATGTCCGCGTCTTGTACTCGCCCAGGAAATCTGTGTAAACCGTATGACACCAGACAGGGGCAGTCGACCCGGGGTATTCACAATGTTTTCTCTTCAAAATTGAAATTTTACTGCCACCATTGAAACAATTTATAACGGAAACTGTTTACCCACTCGACATTACACAAGGGCTAACGTTGTAACGTTAGTGACAGTCGTAAATCGCGAGCTGTTTATTCCAGTGGACGCAAGTTGCAACTAAAACAATAGAAGGCAATGGCGCAACGCTACCCAGCAACAGCTCAGTAATGGCGCCCGCTTACTTCCGGTAGTTTCGCCGGATTCGTCTATTGTGAAATATTCAAATTTAAAATAGATGTTTTATATTTTAACATAATTTAAAATGTAATGTATTCCTTTGATTAATATTTTTGCCGGGATTAACTTTAAAATAAATAGAAATCTTTTAAATATTATAAAATGTATTTTTATAAGCACATTTTATAAGTTACTTTGAAAGTGATAGTATTCTTTAAAACCTTTCTCAAAATAGTACAAGTAAAATTGTAAAAAAGAAAAAAATAAGATGATGTTTGTTGAGAGAGAGTGTGTGTGTGTGTGTGTGTGTGTGAACTTGAGTTTCGTTTCCCAACATTTTAAAGGACCAACTGCAGACTGTTTGAAATGTTTATTGGGGCAGCCGGCAGTGTGAACTAGCCATTAGACCAGCTTTTACTGTAGAGGGTTCCAATATCGGGATCAAACACTGTATCATTTATAGAATAGGCGAAAGAACTTCAATTGGTTTGACTTTATACTAACGATTAATTTCAATTTCAGGCCATAAAGTCTGGTCACTGTGATTTTTGCCAAGACATGGTCCAAAAATATAGTCCTAAGCCTATCCCTATCCCTACTCCTAAACCTAACCCATTACTTATCCATAAAATCAGAGGGAAATATAGGAGAATAACACTGATGTAGAAGCATAACCCAGGTTGCAATCCTAAACTTGACATAAACTGTAAACTTGTCCCTCACATCTGATTGGTTGATTGGAATGTACTTGGTGAATCACATTATACTAGGTACATATGTCACATTCTGAGTCTGACAAGTGATCCTTTGATTATTTTTATTTTATTTTTTTTTTGCTGAACTTGCGGGTGTTTGTGTTTTAGGTGATTGTTAGGAAACCAAAAGAACATTTTGCAACTTCTAATATTCTTTGTTAAGTTACATTAAGAAGACATCAGGGCTGTCATTTCCTGCCTGTTTTTCAAGAGTTAAGAAAGATGTCAGTATCTGTGAGGGGTGAGAGCGTGTGAAATTAGAGGATAATATGTCCACTGTTCCTATCTTATTATGACACATGAGTCTCTGATTGTTCTCCTGGGTCAACAGTTTGGGCCTTGGGGACAGAAGAGCGTATAACAGTTCATTAATTACGTGTTATCTGTCTGGAAGAGAAATGCATCTGGATTAAAAGGAAATGACTGAAGTCTAGATTTCAGCTTTTTAAATGGCTAAATGTGAATTATAGTAGAACCAGATAACTGACACAATGACTGAGAATGTACTTTGAATCAAAACCCGATTGCTTATCCAGTACATTAAAAGAGACGATCAATCAGAGCATGGTACATTATAACTGGTGTCTTACACTTCCTGATAGTGGATAAGACTCTTGCTGTAAAAACTACTGTAAATTATTATACATAACAACATTATGATCCAGCTGTGCAACTTCCTTGACACACCCACTGTGATGACTGATTGTTTGCACAGACCTTGTCTTGTATTATTGCTTAATTGCTTCAAACCAAGTAGGTTATTGGTTATTCAAAATGATTTTCCATGGTGTAATAGACCATTTTTTGACACGTTCCATGAAAGAATAAGAAAATTGTACACAAAAGATTCAGTATACAGTAGCACGTCACAGAAAATGTTATCTTAGCTAAGCTAAGTCAACTAGCTTTATATACTGTAATCATATCGATAATTTGTATATATTTATATAAAATTAGCTTTTTTAATTTTTTATCATCCCAGTCCCATTAAACATGGGAGTACAATGGAAAAAGTATTTTTCATTTTGCTGTTTTTCCTCAAGAATGAAGAAATGTATGGAAACTGTATTGATGGATAAAAGATGTCATAGTTGATGGGATACTCAGAATTAAGAAGAAAATAAATCCTCTCTGTCTTTAGGAGCTGACCGATCTGGGCCGGGACCCGCCAGCGCAGTGCTCAGCAGGGCCGGTTGGAGATGACTGTGAGTGATTTTGCTGTTTGTTTTCATTTTCTCTATCCGAGCACATCACAGAGCTCACCTTAATGAGACGTTTCTTGCTCTTTATTTGCAGTGTTTCACTGGCAAGCAACAATTATGGGACCTGTAAGTGGATATATGTCCTTATTTGCATATGCATGTTAATGATGGATTGTGACATTTATTTGCATGCAGTGTCTGGACTGTTATAACACTGAATTCACTAAAGGAGTCAAGGAAATCGTGTAACACTGTTGTTTTTTTTTTCTTTTTCTTCACAGAATGACAGTCCTTATCAAGGCGGTGTGTTTTTCTTGACCATTCATTTTCCTACAGACTACCCTTTCAAACCACCTAAGGCAAGAATCAAGTATTTAAACAACATTTTAGGTTTAATCTGTCTGTAAAAAGTACATTTTAATAAGATTGTCAAGTTTTTAATGTGTTTTTTGGCGCATAAGGCTCAGACTTCAGGAGTTTCAAGCCGATTTATGGCTGAATTACACCACCTGACATTCATCAGTCGGTTCCAAGGTTCGGCCCTGTTTATCTGGTAATGTGAGGCATTTACAGATCAAATCTCAAAACCTCCTGATCTGCTCGCGGACACATCGGGCTGCCCCGACGACAATATTAAACATGTTTGATATTCAGGATTTTAAATCGGGATGATTATTACTATGATTATGTCAGTACTTAAGAGGAGAGAAGCGCCGAGACTTTTAACAACAAACAGCTGTGAGAGTTCGGTGGACAACAGAGATGGAGGAACGGCTGGTCGAAATGTGGCAACAACACAACTGCCTTTTATAATGTCTCCTCATATAATATCTACAGCATGTTTCCGCAACACAGTATCCATTTTGTTTACATCCTCTTCCCTGTGAGATCACTCCCACTTTATATTAAGTGGCTTTAAGTACCATGTACTTACATTGAAACGAATCATTTGATACAATGGATTTATTGTGTACATGCATGTTTTTACATTGTACTTATATTTTAAAAATACAAGCATGTAATTACAGCTGTGACTAATTTATGTAATTACATCTGTAATTACACAGCTGACCCATCCCTTACACTTTAACCTATCCTTAAATCTACCCATACCACCACACCTGTCCCTAACCTCACCCTCAATAGCAGCAAAAGTGTTTTACAATACAACATGAGCACAATAAGTACATTATACTTATTTTTCAATGTAAGTACATAGTACTTAAAGCCGCTTAATATAAAGTGGGACCACGTGGGGTGCTAAAGCACCATGTGATGCACCATGATTTTTAAATCTTGTAGTGTGTGTGGGTTTGAGATTTCAGAAGAATCTGCAAAAAGTCTCCTTTTGTGCGTGATGCAACCATATTTCACTATCGGTTAGGATTTCAAAACTCCTGCAGTCTGAGTCTGTCTTTATCAGTATTTTGCACATAATCAGGTTCCTGCTGCAATTCTAGAGATCTACAGTAAGGTTGGATTGATATGTGTGCGTTCTGACCGTCTGTTTCACCCTCTAATTTGCAGGTTGCTTTCACCACAAGAATTTATCACCCAAATATTAACAGTAATGGCAGCATCTGTTTGGATATTCTAAGGTCACAGTGGTCTCCTGCATTAACTATCTCTAAAGGTGAGTTCATTAAAATGAACAGGGAACAAAATCCTTTTTCTTAAGAGTCATTTGATTGGATAGCCAATATATGCACTGATGCACCTCTCTCTTCTTTCTGTTGCAGTTCTATTGTCCATCTGCTCACTGTTATGTGATCCAAACCCAGATGATCCATTAGTGCCAGAGATAGCACGTATCTATAAAACAGACAATGAAAAGTAAGTGTATTTGTTTAAATAAATCCAGGCTGTTTGTTCTTTAGCTGATGTAAATCATAGAGATGCCTTTTAGGTAGGGGTCTTACAAGATCTTACCACAAGGTATCGCGATATTTCTCGTCGAGGTGAAAAGCTGTCTCACGATATCAGGATGACGGAATTGAATTTGTGGCAAAACCCCTTCTGAAGTGTATATAATAAAGGTTGTTAAATAATTGCCTAATATCAACTCTACTTTGGTGCTGCAAAGATATGAGCTGCCTCAGCGGTCCAACACCCCTCGTCTATGTCAAATTGTTTGAGATGACAAATCAAATCAAAGTAGGTGGGCTTTATGTTCACAAAAGCGTCTGAGTGCGAAGCACCGCTTCAGTTAACGGTCATAGTGCGAGATATGATGTAAGTACAGCTGTTTTTTGATAACTGGTGAAGAACTGAGAGATAATCAGGGATGCAAAATAATAAACTTTTGTCTAATTTTACTATTTATTTATTTTTAAATATATTTTACATTATTCACGTAATGTAATTCGTTACTGTCGACGAGACAAGAAATATTAACATTAAGTCGTTTTCACCAACTCTACTATCAAGCTAAAATTTTTGAAACCTCGGTATTTACACTACAACCCTCTGGTGTTTATAAAAGATGATTAGTTAAACCGTTACAAAATGCACCTGCATTATTTAGCATTTTGTTACTTTTTTTCCAGTCTTTTATTCTTGTTCAAGTCTTGTTCTTGTGGAACCAATATTGTGTATCATCTCAAGCTAAGTGTATCATCATTCACAGACCTACTTTAAGGTTGTGTGAATAGTTTGATGTCTCCTTTCAGGTATAATAAACTAGCCAGGGAATGGACAGAGAAATATGCCATGTTATAGGGGTTAAGGTGAGCAAGGTATCGTGGGAGAGTGTTTTTGTGCGAGCATGAAAAAGGCTTACTAATCTCTGGACGTCACCGTGTTGCAGAATTTTGTTGGGGGTGATTGCATGGGGACAGGTGGGGCACGAACCCTTCCCTACCTTCAAAGTAGGGAATGGTAGAAAAAGTTTGCGAAACACTGTCTTAAATTATAGTAATAGTTCAAAATATTACAGTTTTTACTGAATTTTTCATCAAATAAGTGCAGCCTTGGTAAGCACAAGAGAATTCAAACCCCAAACTTTTGAATGGTAGTATATGGCTGTTGAAAATGTCTTTTTAGTTTTTGAAAAGTAATTTTTCTTCCGACTGAAATTAACATTATGCATGGTAAATGTTTGCAAATAAATTTGATTGATTTGTAATATATATATATTAGGGCTGTGCAAAAGTTAATTGCGATTAATCGCATCCAAAATAAAAGTCTGTGTTTACATAATATATTTGTGTGTGCTGTATATAATTATTTTGTATATATAAATACCTATGCATGCATGTATATATTTAAGAATTATTTGCGCTTAAATTCTGTATATATTTATAAATACATAATCTATATTATATAAATATAAATATTTTATATATGAATAACACATTTTCTTAAATGTATACATGCATGTGTGTGTATTTATATATACAAAATAATTATATACAGCACACACAAATATATTATGTAAACACAGACTTTTATTTTGGATGCGATTAATCGCAATTAATTTTTGCACAGCCCTAATATATATATATATATATATATATTACATTGTGTGTGCGTGTATATATCAATTTTAATTAATGTTAATGTTTTCTGAAATGTGTTTTTCCAGAATAATTTCGGAATTATTATTTTGATTGTGATTTAATTCATTTTCATGACTTGTGGAAATAAATGATAAATTAGGCTATTTATATGAAAAATGAAGCAGTTTTCACACAAACCAGCCAGTTGTGTTTTAAATGTACATGGTTTAACTTTCAAAGGTCATGCATACAAAAATCCGATCTAAATATGTCTGGTTTTGTCATAGGTCTGATAATAACAAAACGTTTGGTTGAGGTAAACCGTTCAGGCTAACTAGCATCAAAGTAAATACTAGTATAAGTAAAGCTTAGAGTCGCAGTGTACACATGGAGAAGATGCCACTGTGTTTGACCTTGAGCTGTTTCTGAACTCTGTGTGTTTGTGTTGGCCAGTGCCGAGTTGGCAGACGGTCTGCTTACCCAGCATGTGTGACAGTGCCTCTGCACCAATGCCACACTTCATCTCTCTTTCTTTCTCTTGCACAGGTACAACAGAATAGCTCGGGAATGGACTCAAAAGTACGCCATGTGATACCCGAGGAACATCAGACCAATCTGCAGTTTAGCTGGAAAAAGAATTGAACAACTTTTTTTTTCGTCCCCTCAATGAATCGACAGTTCCCCTTGTATTCAGACAATATCAGTTCTGCTTGTTTTTTTGTTTTGTTTATTTTTTGTTTTTTACCCCCTTTCAACCTTCATTCACATGCTGTAAAAAAGAAAAAAAGACCACAGTATTGCAAAGATCACCAACTTTTATGTTCAGAAAAATGCTCGTGTCAAAGAAGCATGTTTTAACTACGAGCTCAGACCTTTTTTTATTGAGATAAGAAAAAAACATAAGTAAGGTGAACGCTTCTGACTCACGCCACTGGCTAGAGGTGCTATTTCAGAAAAAGAAACAACGATTCTGCAGGTGCCAGCGTACCTCAAAAAGTCGATCTTTCTTCATGTTTTTATATGCTTTTACAATAGCAATGAGAAGAACTACGGTCTGTGAAATATATTCTTGCTTATATCTGACTGTTTCCTACCAAATCAGTCACGTCGTTGTATCAGCAGTTACGGAAAAATATATATTTTGCATGTTAATGGAACAGTTTAAAGTAATTGGTCTGTGGTCTGCCAAAAATGAATATCTGCAGACGATGTTAAGCAAATACATGTCCACTTTTAGAGTCTTGAGAACTTATTTTGTTACTCCTTTTCTCTCCTCTTTTTGATGTTTTTAGAATGGGGAGCTATTAGTTTGTCGATCCTCCTAAACACTGTTCTCTCATTGTGATTGGAAGCTCTCAATGGATGCCCGATCGACTAATAGCTCCGCTAGCTGTTCATTTTGTTTGCTCAATAAAGTTGCTAAACTATCATTTTGTGTTTCCTTCTGAGAGAAGTCCTTTTGAGAACCTTAATTGCACTTTTCATTTCACTGTATTCCATATCTGGGACAATACTGTTTCAGGAATGAATGGAATTTGATACTGTAGTTGTTGCTAAAATGCATGTCCAAATGAGATCTCTCAACAACTGCTGGACTATAATTAGTTTTCTGAAGGAGGGAGCCCAATTGTGAGGTGAATAGCAGCCATCCAACACTATTGTAGTTGTCACTGATGTATATGTGGACAGATGTAGAGGAGTGCCCACAAATGATTGACACTTAAACAGGTCCAAAGTATTTATTTTTGCTGAACTTAGATGGTTTAGAAGGCCTCCCTATAAGCCTAAAACCTCTTTAAGGATATGGGACCTGTAAACCATTTTAGACTCTTTGTTTCCATGTTCAAAAACAGTAAATGAAATCAGGTTCATCCACATGTGGGCGCAAGAGGACGTTTTTGAAAGCAAGACATGAACATGAGTTACGTCAGGGAATTTCCAGTAAGGAAGTCAAGCCGTCTATTCAAACGTCGCGTTGATCTCGACATGATTTACTGTGATCATTCGCGACCGGCGATTAAAATCGATTGATCGATCGATGCGCCTTTTAACCTCAGTGGGCCTTCTGCTATCCATGTCTGGCAGACGCAACGATCTTCCTGAATAAGGAGCCTGCACTGAACTGACTTTCTATGAGCTTACATTAGTTGACTTCAGCGCAACATGGAGAAATAAGTTACGAATAAGAAAGCTTGACTCGGAATCCCAGATCCCAGCTGTTTGATGTTGATCCTGAACCACGAATATCTGTCGGGAAAGGTAAGCACCCTCGTAGATCCAGCCATGCTTGTTGTCTTTGAGTTGCCCATGTTGCCATCTAAAGGTTGTTGTGATACTACTTATCAAGTGCTGCTGAACTTCCTAGTTCTTGCCTCAGAGGCCAAATGCACATTTCAGCTCTCAAGGACTTTTGATCAACTCGTTTGGGTGAGTAAGAGCTACTCATGATGCACTTAATGTGTTTGTGATGGAAGTTAGTCAGGATTTGATAGTACAAAGTTTGAGATAAGTGACTGTTATGTGTTGTGCTGGCCGTGTGTCAAAATCTATCAATAAAGGCTGTGGGCATCAAGGCGCATTCAGTCCGAACATCCGGAGTTGGTCAGAATATAAGTTTTATTCGAATTTGTTCCAAACGCGCGAGATCTAGTTTGTTTTATATGAGCTTGGATTTATTAGAGTCTAGTGTCATTCGGTGTTTGAGACGAGTAGCCTAGTAACTGAGATTTTGATTAATTTCAATAACGCTAATAATGTTTTAAACGCCTCAAATAATTTGCTCACCGATTCGTTCAGTGAACGATTCACAAAGCCAGCAGTAGGTGGCGACTCCGAGACAATTTCTGTGAGTGATTCAATTGATCTACTCAACCGATTCCCTACAAATGACAACAAAACCATCATCGCATCCATCGCAACTTTTTTTGTTTGTTGTTATAAAATAAAGACAGAAAAATATCACGTGCCTGCATAACCTAACATTCTGTCATTAATTACTCACTCTCATGTCGTGTAACTCGTAAGACTTTAGTTCACCCAACTTTAGAACACAAATGAAGAACTTATTAATAAAATCTGAGAGCTTTCTGTCCCAAAATAGACCGCTAGACAACTGACACCTTGATGCTTCAAAAAATTCAATCAAAGATCAAAAGAGATAATAAAAATAATCCCTATGATTTGAGCAGTTTTGTCCAAATTATCTGAAGTGACTTGATCGCTTTATATGATTTATATGATGAATTTAGGCTTTTATTCACATATAAACGTTGATCAGCGACCATAAACAGAAGCTCAATCGAACCTGCTAGAGTCGCGAGAACAAACCTCATTGGTTCTTGTCAAAGCTCAAAAGAGCCGCGCAAAACACAAGAATGAACCTTATTGGTTCTGGCGTGTCAAGCAAACATAAGCTTCGGTTTACCTCAACTGATGTTTGAGTTGATGAATGTTTAGATGTGAATAAAAACCTAAATTCAATCTGTTCAATAAAGCGATCAAGTCTCTAAATGAAAATTTATCAAAACCGCTAAATTCATATCAGTTTTACGATCTCTTTATGATCTTTTTGAAGTGTCAAAAGTGTTGCGTGGACTGTCAATCTCTATTGTGCACATTCCTTAAAGGAGTAGTTCACTTTAAAAGGAAAATTACCCCATGATTTACTCCCCCTGAAAGGAGTATATGGCATTCTTCTTTCAGACGAATCCAGTCGGACTTACCCAGATAGCAAACTGACATTGAATCAACGTGGAAATATGACATCGAAACAACGTTGATCTGACATTGTTTTGCTCATCGAATTAACGTTGAACCAACGTCAGATGCTTCATTCTTTCAAAACTAACGGAAAATCAACTTGAAATCAACGCTTTGTTTCAACGTTATGAAAGCAAACCAATTTTCGATTTCATTTAGCTTTGAAGAATGCCGCGTCTGACGTTGGTTCAACGTTAATTCGATGAGCAAATCAACGTTGTTTCAATGTCATGAGAGACGTCGTTTCCACGTTGATTCAATGTCAGTTTGCTGTCTGGGTATATTAATAAACACCCTTACGCTTCCTGAATCCTAGCTTTATGCTGCGTTCACACTGAACGCGAATTGAGCATCTGGAGCGAGTGATTTTTCCATGTTAAGTCAATGCAATTTCGTCTCATTCGTGTGTCCAGTTCAAGCGAAACAGGCGAATGGAGCTTCTGGCGCAAGTGATTTTATTTGGTGCTTTTTGTGCAATCACGCGTTTGAAGCGAATTCGCGTTTAACGCCCGAGTTGAAAAATCTGAACGTTGGCGTCTGTTCGTGCCGTGTTAACCAATCAGGAGCCTGCTTGCAGCTGTCAAGTAGTGAAATGACGTTATTAATGGGGGCAGGTCTGCTCAGAGTCACATGGGTGATTCTTGCTCCGATGCGGGACAACAGGTCATCAATCTGGCCGCGGGACAGATGGAAGTACAACTGAAAGCGGCCGTCATCCAGGGAGCAAATTGGTGAAACTCGCCAAACTGGGTACGCCTCCGGAGGGTCTGGCGACAATGAGCCATATGCTCCTGTTCTGCTCTCCAGAGCAAAACAGAACGGTGACTCTCTCAATGACAACGTTACCGTCTAGCACTTGCCCCTCCCACAAGAAGCAACTTTCACCTCGGACGCGTGTCCATTTCACTTCAAAATGGACGTGAAATCCATTTCACGTCCATTTTGAAGGCCATTTTGAAGGCGAATGGATTCAAAATGTTCAAGCATCCAACTAGACGTGAATTTGACACTCTATTCGCGTTTGGTGTGAACAAAGCATTATAATGGCAGTGGATTGCAACCGTCTATGGCTCCCGGGGGGTTAATAAAGGCCATCGGAAGCAAAGCGAAAATTCATATTTAACACGTTACAAAGTAATTTTCTAGCTTCCGGCTAAACTGTCATACGCTCTACTTGCGTCTAAAGCGAAACTTATGATGTCGCAAGTAGCGTAGTGCATCATGGCTAGCGTAAATATCAGTGCATTACTTGCACAAATTGCGAAGTTGAATCCGTATAATCGTTTGGCCGGAAGCTAGTTACTTTGTAACATGTTAAATATGAATATTTTTCTTGCACAAACTCGCTTTGCTTCAGAAGTCCTTCATTAACCCCCCAGAACCGTGTGGATTTCTTTTTATGATGGATGGATGCACTTTTTTGAGCTTTTAAACTGATGGTTGCAATCCACTGCCATGATAGAGCTCGGAAGCGTCAGGGTTTTTAATTATTAATATAACTCCGATTGTATTAGTCTAAAAGTCATATACATCTAGGATGGCTTGAGGGTGAATAAATCATGGGGTAATTTTCATTTTAAAGTGAACTACTCCTTTAAGGGAGCATAGGGCCTTTCAAAGGAGGGACAGAAATCTCTGAGATTTCATTAAAACGATCTTTATTTGTGTTACGAAGTAGTCGTGTTTGGAAAGACATAAGGGTGAGTAATTAATGAAAGAATTGTTGGTGAACTAATAATTGTATGGTTGGCCATTAGTCATTGATTTAAGACGTTTAAGATTTCCATGAAACAGAAGTTGTGGTAGTCTTTTCTTCTCTATTGTGACATATCCAAGTGAAACGGCTTCTGGAACATGAAAAAAATGTAGTAGGTTGAGGACTTGATTTTGTCCGTCGTGAATTAACGTGCACGGACTATTCCATAAATATTAAGAATTGTCCATTTTGATTTCATGGTGACTTTAGTGTCCTTTACTTGCAAAGGACATTGACTGAACAAAATCCAGATTTAGCGTTTAACATCACCCTCATATTCTCCATTTTATATTTTCAGTGTTTGACTACTTTTGGACATGACTATTTTCTGAAAATGAATCATAAATTCATTTGTTTTACTTTTCTTCTTAGGAATCATGGCTGGAGAGGACACATACCATCCGGGGGTGAGGAAATGCTTTCTACAATGTTTGGAGTCACAGTTGCCATTCGAAACTTATTTTACTTCAGAAATCTGACATTTTTCTGACATGAGTAACTAAGCTCAGTTTTGATTTCATGTTAACTTTAAGCTTCTGTTGCTACCTGCTGATTTATTTATAAAAAAATGTTTATTGTCATGAAGACCACATAGATAGCAGACAAGCGTGCAGGGAGCATGAAGCTTATACCTTACATTTATCTTCACAAGGTAAACATGGAACACAGAGCTATAACAGATTTATGCCTTTGAAGGCACATAAGCCTGATAGTAAATGATTAAATTTGAAACGGGACATATTAATTTCTGCAAATACCACAGCATCACACAGGAAGTGTCTCTTAGAAAGCTGAGGAGGTGTTCGTTTTTCCTGCCTACTGTGGTTGATATTTCACCCCTAACACAGCAGCTTTTAGATAGATTGAGACAAGGGTTTATTCAGTTTTGAATCCACATATGTCTAGTGTCTGCACTCACTTCATGCATCTTACAACTTTGCTAATAATCTGACTCCTAAATTCAAACGCTACACTGGAAAAGCTCTCTGTGTTTATGGTCATGAAGCTCTTTCTAAAGTACGTTGTAGCTTAAATTAAATTCTAAACGTTTACAAATGTCCGAATTTCATGCATGAATAAGCCTTTATTAAAAATCAATTCTCTACAGTATAAATGGGAACCGGCAAATAGGATTTATTATGCTGTGTTTTTAGTAATTCTAAAATTATGCTTTTTAATGTGATTTAATATGTTTGCATGACAATGCATAATATGGATATGACCAAATTATAAATATATGATTAATAATATGACTATTCTTGTGCATATAAACTCATTGTTTTTCTTTTTATACTCTGAAGTTCATGGTGGAACCAATTGAATTCAATAACGAAGCATTGTGGATGAACATGGACCCGACACCATTTCCAGGCATTCACAACAATAATGTTATGAGGACAGGTAAGAGTTTCCTTTCAGTTTGAGTTTTATTAAACTTGTCGTTCAATCAAAGTCTTTAATTGACCATGAATCAAAAGTTGTGATAATCTTTTTGTCCCCCATTGTGAATTGTATCTGAGTAAAACGGCTTCTTGAGCATGAAAAATTGTAGGGCGGGACTTGATCTGGTGGGAAATGATTGGGTGGTTGTGGTTTGCTATTACTGTGATGTAATGTGAGTGACAGGTCATCCCGCCCTCATGCCCTCATGAGATGTTGCTGCAAATGGGAGGGAAAGTTATTTTGATTAAAGATTAATAGGCCACATGAACAAAAATGATATACAGATACATCATTATATACCTATAATAAATATGGCAATATTCCATAAAACAATAAAAATTGTTCAATTTGATTTCATGGTGACTTTAATCATAAGATAATTTGCTGAACATTGGAGAATGGATGCAGTAAAACTAGCCAGCATTTCCTCTTTTTTTCTTGCTCTATTCCTTCCTCAAGAAAACAGTAACGCTGCACCCTAAGATTCAGTCAGAGGTCTAAATCTGATAAACTGCACAGTCTAGCTGTGTTAAAAATCCCTCACTCAATGATGTCAGACGCTGTCGTGTATTATTTTGGTTGTCGCTATAGGAGGAGATCTATTTTTTCATGCATTTTTCACTTCCTTATTGTATTGCTACAGAACCCGAGAAGTCACCTGTGGGAAAAAAAAAAACAATTAAAGTTTCACAAACAAACCAAATTTTGATGATTTTAAATCATCTACTCTATTCCAACATATCCCACCGTTATTGTGGAGCGCGCCGGATCTATCACTTGCGTTGTCCAATCAACAACAGTGGAAACAACTTCAAATACTAATACATAATTTATGGTCATACGGAAAAGAATAATACATAATTTGCAACCACTTTTTTTTCTGAAAACTCACAATAACAAGAAAACATTGTGCTTTTGTAAATTAAAAGAAAACAATCAGGGCGCGCTTTCATGGTCTCAATGAACTGAAAAACAACGTATACTAGCCTCACATATACCTATATAAAGGTGGAAATGTCCTTTTAAATGAACAAATTCGTATCGAAAGCAAATACCATAATCCATATGAAGGGATCATTTCTCTCTAAAGGCACATCTGCTTCACAACAGAGATTTGCAGCCGACACTGATTTAGAATAGGCTATATTCCTCCATGCACCCAGTATTTAAGCAGACATTAATATAAACGCGGCTTAAATGAATGACTACTAGTCGACTATAAAGATCTAGTTGACATTATTTACTTCTGTAGCTCTTTACATTAAATTAGTTGACTGTTTTTAAGGTTACAATCCTTTATACGTGTGAATATTATACTGTATCTTGAAGATTGTTGTATTGTATCTGGGTCATTCTATGGAAATGTAAATTTTTCTTTCCTTACCCTTTACAGAAATATTACACTTGAAAAACACTTTAGGGTTACAATTGCTTTAGATTTTAAAATTAAACAATGTTATTTGAACAATTACACATCCATGAGCCATCAATGTGTCAATATTTCTTTTTGATTTATTATATAATTCGAAGCACCACAGAAGTGCTCGTACCCCACATGTACATGTCATGTACAGAGGGAAAATGCTTTATTTTTATTTTTTTTTTATTTTAAAATATAATAATGTATACATAACTATCAAATACTGTATATTAAAATGACATTAAAAAATGCTGAAAAAATATTATACAATTTATAATGAAAGTAGTTGTCCCCTGGAGGCGTTGTCACGTTTAAACAAAAATCTCTTATTTTGAAATAAATCACACTGATGACATTATTTGACTTCCTCCTTCCAATTTCCTGAATATCTATGAAGAAATACCCATAGTAAATCCACTGTATCTTTTCATTTTTCATATGAAGCTTTTATTTGAACTCACATTGAATATTGCCAAATAAATAAAGTAACATCACCAGTGACAAAAAAATGGTACATGCAGTATTTACATAAATGCACCAAAAAATATAAAAAATCATTAAGGTGTCATTTATTTGTGTTTTCATAGTCAAAGGGTAATCTAATAATGTGGTATAAGTTTCAATGTTAGAAAAAGAAATTAATTTTAAGAATTTTGTGGACTTTTATGTAGAATTACCAATATTATTTTAGAAATATGAAGATTGAATTTGTTGAATAAGCACATAATGTAAAAATAAACAACTTATGTTCTCTTCTTCTAAAACGAGGGCGGGCCACAAATCACAGTTTACAAACCCGTTGGAACGGATTCCGAAAGCGTGGGCACGGTTTATGAATTTTTGGGAACATATTGGCAAAACATAAGGTACGGTTTACCAATATGAGAGCGTGGATTAGGAACTCGTGAGTACGGTTTATTAATCCGTGGGTACGATTTGTCAAACCGAGGGAACAGTTTAAGGATTCGTGAGTACGGTTCTAAAGGGCTGAAAAAACTATCAACAGCTCTTCACCGCCATGTGGTTACTTGAGAAACCCGCTTTGAGATAAGTGCAGTTTTGGGTCTGCCACTTTTTGACACACTCTCTTGATCTACCTGAGCATGCCTACACAGCTCCGAAGAAATCTGTACAGTTTGCTTAAAAATGTTCACTCAATTCTAACAGTGTCATTGATTTCATGATGATTGATTTCAACAGGTTTTGGCAAGTGTCCAACTCATGCTGTTTGATTGACAGCTTGATTGATTGGAAAGGGAGCGTTCTTTGATCGCTTTCTTTAAAGATTATTTTCATATTACTAAGAGAAACGACATGAAGTTGATTGTTTAGTCACTGGCTTGATTAATCGAATGAAGTTGATTTACTCTTTCATAAATAGTATTGAATGATTTTAAGAGATAATCTGTTTGAATTTGAATAATTACATCAGAAATCACAGATCAGGCATTAGAATAAGCATGACTAGCCTAGCCTACTTGCATATTTGTGGCATTGCTGGCAGATCCATAACGTAAAAGTCTGTTTGCAAAGCCTGGATTGTTGAAAAAAAAAAACCCACTATCCTAGCATTATGAAGGTAATGGTATTGATCCTGGGTCGTTCTTTTCTTGTTCTCATGTTCACTAAAGGCCAATTTATACTTCTGCGTAGGGTGCGCGCAGTAGGTACGGCGTAGCATACGCAGAGACGCGTCCCATACCGCGTACCCTTCGCCGTAGCCTGACGCGCACCTCCTCAAAAATGTAACTACACGTCGCGACGACGCGGACCGCAAGATCGGTGATTGGTCGGCTTGGTAGCATCGCGTTTCCTCCTACACATTTCCGCACGTACCATCTCCTCTGACGTCTTCTCTCATTTCTGCCTTTCAGTTTTAGTAATTTTACTAAAATTAACTGTTTTTCCACCTCAATGAGCTCCAACTCCAACATGATCCGCTCTCTTGTAGGCTTGTAGTAACCTAGCCGCAACTCGAGGAATCTAAACAGTGGAACATTAAAACCCTCCGCCGCCAACTAGTGTTTCGGAGCAGTACTGCAGAGCAACCATGTCCAAGACCTGAACGCAGAAGTATAAATGCTCACAAAGGCGTCACCTACGTGCGTAGCCGACGCCATACACTACGGCGTACCCTCGACGCAGAAGTATAAATTGGCCTTAAAGCTCCAGTGGGCGGGGCTAAAGATGCAGTGAAGTTGACGTAGACATTGATGTTCTTTTGCAAAGGCGGTCTACAGCTGCCCTGTGACGTCACAATTCTCCCTTTTTAGATTCTGTCGTTCTTGACCTTGGTTTCAATAAAAGCAGAGTTTGGAGACTTTCAGGGTATTTTTATAGTATGACGAACTCTGTCAAAGGATCGAGAAACATATGAATTCTCAGTCTATGACCCTTTTAAAGATTGATTAACCTAAGATTTATTCTTGTCCATTATGGCGTAGTGGATAAGACACATGCCTTTGGTGTGAGAGACCCGGGTTCACCAATGTGTCCCTGAGCAAGACACTTAACCCCTTAGTTGATCCAGAGGCGTGCGACCTCTGACATATATAGCAATTGTAAGTCGCTTTGGATAAAAGTTATAATAAATGAAATGTAAATGCAATAATTATTTGTTTTATTTATGTGGCCTCTTAATATTTAATCAAAATAACTTTCCCAACATCTCTTCTCTGACGATGTGTTTACTGGCATGAGGGCGGGACAACCTGTCACTCACATGACATCACAGCAATAACAAACCACAACCATCCAATCAATTCCCAATGAACAAAATCAAGTCCCGCCCTACATTTTTTTTTCTTCTTCGAGAAGCTTACACTCAGATATGTGTCACAATAGGGAAGAAAAGACCATCTCAACTTCTGTTTTATGCTGACTTCAGGTTTCAACTGGTGGGGTTATTAAGGAAGGACATCACATTAACTGCAACCAGCATCATTTATTTTCAGTAAGAGTTGGTAATTAGAGGCGACATGAGCAACACAGTCAAGCAACTTAGACCAAGTTTGAGAGCAGAGTTCAACTTTTGATAAATAAAAAAATATTGTATTGTAAGTTTTCTCAAGCATGCAGTGGCACGATGTGGCATTTACCAGATAGTAGCAAATGCAGATAGTGATACAGCTGGCGGTCAAGTTGGAGCACCAAGAAAGAGTTGCTTAAAGCTTACTACTCTGTTATCAGATGGTGTGTTCAATGTTCAGTGCAACAAATGATGTATTTCTATTTAGAGTTCAGTGCACCTGTGGTTTTGACATCTGCTTTAGGCTTGATGGGTAAATGTTGGAAATATGATAATGATTATGCCATATATAACCAAATAAATGACCTGGCTGTCCCTGTTATATCAACATTTATAGATCCGTTCCATTGTGTCAGTGCGTTGGCAGAGGTGTACACATTAAAGTTTGGCTCTAAGAGGTTCAATTCTGCAAATTTGGCAGCAGATTGATTTAGTTGCGTTTCACCAAGGATGTGGTCTTAGTCCTTATAGTGCACAGGAAGAGGAAGAGGCTTGCATCTTCTGTGGAAACACGTGGTACGGCGAGAGCTATGGCCTTGAAATATCTGCAGAACATCAGCGAAAGTTTTGATACGCTTGATGGTTAGAAAGTATGCATGGTAATCCTGATTTTCCCACACCTGGTTGAACCTTTCAGCTAGTCATGTTTGCTTTTATTGCTGTTTGCATTGTAGCGTGACATGCACACTATAAGCGGGATTACTAGAGAATAACCACAAACGGTTCTCAAATGAACAGTTCTCAATCAAACCACAAACATTTCTTATTATTATCAACGTTGAAAACAATTCTTGCAGATTAATATTGATGATTAAAAATTGATTCATATCTTTGTGGAAACAATGACGTCTCTTTTTCACTGCTCTGTATTGAATAGAAAGTTCATAAGAACATTCTTTCCTGTCACTGTTTATCAATTTAATGCACCCTTTATGAATAAAAGTATTAATTTATTTCAAAAACAATTTTACTGACCAAAAACTTTTGAATGGTAGTTTATGCAACTGTCTAAAATTTAAATCACAGAATATGTACAGTAATAACTACGCAATTTAGTTCATCCTTAAAGGCCAAAAATGAAAATTCGGTCATGATTTACTCACTCTCAAGTTGTTCCAAACCTTTATGAGCACAAAAGAAGATATTTTGAAGAATGTCATTCCTTTCTACCATGAAACACAAAAAGAGATATTTGGCACAACGTTAATGCCACACCTTTGCCATGTGATGCTTTGTGCGAGGTACACACTTATGTTGTTTTTGCTGCAGCTTACAAGTTTTACATTTCATTTGAAATATGATGCATTCAGATGTGCCAAATCATTTTTGGCATCAATGATGCTTAACGGAATTGATTGTGTTTAGGGCTGGGCAAAAAAAACAAAAAAAAAAAAAAAAAAAAAACGATTTTTCGATTAATCGTTTTTGTGGTTAAAGGTAGTGTAGGTCAGAATTTTATAAAAAATTTCTTTAAACTTTCTCTATATATCAATGCATAATTAAAATCTAAGTACTCTGAAAAAGAAAGTATAAAAATCGAGTGTCTGTAGACCTCTCACGACTATTTTAAAGACAGCTCATTATTTCCAGTCACTTCACCCCCTCCCTTCTGTGCTCCGTCCAAAGCCACGCCCCCATAACACATGAACGCATAACATCTACTAACACATAACGCATAACACATAACACATAACACATAGGCTAACACGTAACATCTACTACCGCTCGCTGAGTAATGCTGTGTTGTTAGCTATGTTAGCTAGTTAGCTGAGTAATTAGGCAGCTACGTGTGCCAATGCCAGAAAAGAAGCCATCAAGGCATCACTTTTCAGCCCCTTGAGGTCCCTCAGTTCTCGCCAACGCTGGAAAGCCACGCCGATATTTACACGGCTTCTTTGTTTATCCAACAACTTTTTGTTCATTACCTTTTCATGTAATGTTAATGACTTCCTTTTTTTGACTGGTTTGCCTTCGTGAACTGCAAATGTGAACCTAGATTGGTCTTTCTCTGCCATTGTTTTGGTATTCCTAGGTTCCGTGCCTCTTGAAATACACAAATCAAACGAGTGCGCGCAAAAAGGCAGGTCCTGTGTGGCAAAAGGGTGGTTGCCATGGTTGCGAGAGAGTGACAGTTGCCTAGGCCAATCCGTTGTTTCACCCCGTTTTGAAATAATGAGCTGCGTTTAGTGCAGATTAAACGGTCTAGAGACACTCGATTTTTAGACTCTTTTTATCAGGATACTTACATTTTAATTATGCATTGGTATATATAGAAAGTTTCAACAAATTTGGAAAAAACGTTTTTTATAAAATTTCTGCCTACCCCACCTTTAAGTGGTTAATTAATAAACTGTTTTTTTTTTATAAATATTTACGATTTGTATTACATCTATTTTCATTGTAGTCGAATCAGGAATCGAGAATCGAAATCGAATCGAATTGAGAGCCTGTGAATCGAAATCAAATCGAATTGAGAGCCTGCGAATCGAAATCGAATCGAATTGGAACATCTCGATATCCAGCCCTAGTTGTGTTTTAAAACCATTTATGATCCTGCATATATAAAGATATTTAAGAAGGACCGCAGAGTTGATTATTAAGAGAACAAATTAGGGAATTTTCATTTTACAGTTCATCACATTTTTTTGCATCTCTCCTTTTGCAGTCGACGGACCTTATCTGCGAATCATCGAGCAACCAAAACAGGTAATGCACATAATATTTGGGTATGATGCTTGTTAAATGATTTGAACTAGTCAAAAAAACGTCACCGCTGAAATGTTTTCTTGCTTCTTCAAGTGTTTTTAGCTGTGTAATGGCTCAAAGGTTCAGAAGAGACTGGTAACTCTGGCAACAGACAGTGGCAATAACAAACTCAGTGTAGCACAACATTAATTCTGACGTTGTCATCTCCAGAGGGGCTTCAGGTTCCGCTATGGATGTGAAGGCCCTTCCCATGGAGGACTCCCAGGAGCCTCCAGCGAGAAGAACAGGAAGTCTTACCCACAAGTGAAGGTATGGTTCAACCAGTTAAAGCTCTGCACATGCTTTGCGATAAACAAACCATTTTTCTACAATTTGTTCTGTTTGGGCAATATGGTTTTGATTGACAGGATAAAACTATGTTCTGAGATTGTATTTCTCCACTGTTAATCAAGCTGAGTAGGCTATTATTTATTTGTGTTCTTGGCAGACTTTATCAGCTTGAATAAATTATATATATTATTAATATATTGCTTATAATCAGCAAGGATGCATTAAATGTATCAAATTTGACAGAAAAAAACATTTTATAGTTTTACAAAAACTTTCTGTTCATCAAATAATGCTGTAAAAATATGTATCACAGCAGCACAACTATTTTCAATATATTAATAATAATAATAATAAGAAATTATTCTTTTTCACCAAATCGGCATATTAGAATGATTTCTGAAGTATCGTGTGACACTGAAGAGTAATGATGCTGAAAAATCAGCTTTCCCATCACACAGTAAAATATATTCCAATAGAAAATGGTTTTAATTTAACACAAATTAAAAAAAATAAAATAATCTTACCGACCCCAAATTTCCAGTGTACATTGTGTGATTGGTAGATATAATGTCATTGGTGACATTTGCATCCTGTATTCTTCCTTATGCTTATTACTGAAGTGTGATTGGTCTTTTTGCTTAGGTATGGGTCATCATATTAATTCTTACCTAAAACTTTAAATTAATAGTTCACCTAAAATAAAAATTCTTAATTTGCTTATCTTTGATGTTTCTTAAGTTGAACACTAAAGATGCTTTTTGTAAAATGAATTTTAAACAGGAGCTGTTAAGCTCCAAAATCCCTTACGTTTTGGCCTTTTTTTTTCCACACAAAGCTTGTATGGCTTCAGAAAATTGTACATTTTTGAGTTTGACACTGACAACCAATGCAGCTTCATTGTATGAAAGAGCCGCATGAACATCCTACCTAATATCTTTTTGTGGTCTACAAAAGATAGTTCACGTCATGACAGTGAGTAAATAATGACATCATTGTCTAAATACTTGTTTTACAAGGTTTTAATTGTAGGAAATGTGTATCTAGTTTGCATAGTTTTGAGATCTAGAGAGAGAGAGAGAGAGAGAGAGAGAGAGCTGTCTGACATGGCGGCTCTTTCATCAAGTGATAAATCCAAATGACGCAATATTTGCTCACGAAACTCGGCTAAGAATAGTAGCTGCTTATTTATAACAACTGTCTGTCTGTGCCAGGGCAGTTATTTTAAGGTCAAGGTTTCGAAAGTGAGTGAAACGAAACAAGGAAAGAGAGGGGAGAAATGAAAGAAGGACTTTGTTCTGTGATCATGTTCTTCTTCATGACGGCAGTCTGTTTGGGAATTTCCTCACTGTGTCACTGGGTTAATTAGTGGGAAGAATCGTTCTCTGTAATGTGGTGTCAGAGATGGGATATCTCGCCCCGACTAGCACACATTAAAGAGGTGTGTGTGTGCGTGTGTGTGTGTGTGTGCGCACTTTACTCCATATTATTGATCAGATCAATTTTATTTGGTGTGCATTGATGTTGTATATGGTAAAGGGGCGTGACTGACAAAACATGTTCAAATCGGTTGACCAATCACAACACACTGGTCCAACTGACCAATCAAAGCACATTGCGATTTTAGGAAGGATGGGCTTATGGAGACCAGAACTAAATGGAGCGATACTGACAGACTAGGAATAGAGATGCTGCAACAATGACAAATACGTGAAAAACAATGTTGTTGTTTTTTTAACATACAAGCATGAAAACCTTTTCTATTAGACCCCAATACAAAATCAAGAATTTCTAAAAGGGCATGATATAACCTCTTTAAAACTTTTCAATTTCAACTATGGAAATTTACCACTGTATCCACTCCCTCTCTCTACATAGCATGCAATAGCAGCCCGTTCTCATCCTTTAACGTCATATAGAACGCTATATGCAAAAATGGCGCTATACTACGCACATGGCACCCTTTATCGTTAATATAACACGCGAACCCAAGACGTTATAAATCCTTTAGCGTGAATATGACACGCACACCCTACCCCACACCTAAACTTAGCCCTCACAGCGCGTGTTATATTAACGATAACGGGTGCCATGTGCGTAGTATAGCGCCGTTTTGTCATATAGCGTTCTATATGACGTTAAAGGATGAGAATGCGTTGGCAATAGTCTTGTTTTAAAGGGGTGATGAACTGAGAAATCAAATTTTCCTTGAGCTTTTGACATCTAATGCCTGGTTCAGATTACACAATTTTTTTTGTCTGTTGCGATAGTCACTGTGTCAGATTACGCGATTTTGACTCCTAAAATCTTGTTGTGTCGTGGACAAGACATGTCAGACTACACGTTGCTTCCTTACCAGTTATCGCATGCCGTATTTAATGGCGCATGATGTCATCGAGAATGCGAAACTAGTAGCGAGTGACTTCCGGAAACGAACGTAAACAAACAATGGATGAAGCGGTGAGTGTTATATTGGCTGTGCTGTGTTCAGAAAAAAGAAAGAAAAAAAAAGAAATAAACCCCGAAAATGGACACGTTCCTGGATCGCTCGAAGAGGACAGTATGGGCTGTCAATCCTCCAAAGAGAACTTGAGGTAAAATATTGTTTTCTTGTATATTTTTACTTTCAGTTTTAACGTTAGCACCATCGTCTCTCTTACGTTTCGCCATTTTTGACAGTTGTGTACGGAAAACCTTCTGTGCTCCTATTGGTCAACCTCATACATGTGACGGAACCGTCGTGGACGACGTTAAAAAAATTAAACATGCTAGTCTTTTTTTCGTGAAGCATCGCAGACGCGACGTAGGTTGTCGCCCACTATGACACACTATACGAGATGATACGATCAAATCTTGCGTCCCGACGCCTGTTGTCGTTTACGAATCCCCACGACACCCTGTCCATTGTCCGTTTGTTCGCTTCATTTCACTGAGGATTGTTTTAAACAAGACTGGATTTTCAGACCGATTAAGAGTAAAGAACGGTGCTGTGCCGTCTATATTGGATCTGACAGGAATTGGTGCAACACACGGACTCTGGGTCGAACGTGTATGGGCAAATCATTCCGGTTTACATTGGACGTTTTTCCCCCATGTGCACCGACGGGTGAGTCGAAACTCATTATAATATGCAAAACTGTTATCCACTCACAGCAGTGGGCGTTTACTTCCAAGTCTTCAGTGCGAGACGCCCATAAAAACCAAGCTAGGCTCAAATCTAGGGTAGAAAATAGCCTATTACTTATTCATTTTAATGTTTTTGAATGCAAAATCCAAGCGAATGTCATAAGTTGACCTCAAACAACAATGTAATAAAATTTAAAAAGCCAGTTCATGACCCCTTTAAATCTGGCGGTTTTGGTAATCTTAAAGGGTTAGTTCACCCAAAAATGAAAATTAAGTCAATAATTACTCACCCCCATGCTGTACCAACCCCGTAAGACCTTCGTTCATCTTCGGAACACAAATAAAGATATTTTTGATTGAATCTGAGGGCTGTATCACTCTTCCATAGACAGCCTGAGGGACTGCCTCTTGACGGCCCAGAAAGTCATTAAAAAGAAAAGGTTTAAATATTCCATGTGCCTACAGTGGCTCAACTATAACTTTATCAAGGACGAGGACTACTTTTGTGCGAAAAAAAACGTAAATAACGACTTTATTCGACTTTCCATTACTTCTTATGGGCGCATGCGCGAGAACTGAGACGAGACCGTTCTTCTTCGACTACTTTTTGTTACCGGCTGCCCGCTTAGGAGTTTTACGCCCCTACGTATAAGATGACGTACTGCTTGTAAACAAAACGTTTTGCGCCTCCGGCTATATCAGTACGTCATCTTATACGGTAGGGGGCGGTAAAACTCCTAAGCGGAGCAGCCGGTAACAAAAAGTAGTCGAAGAAGAACGGTCTCGTCTCAGTTCTCGCGCATGCGCCCATAAGGAAGTAATGGAAAGTCGAATAAAGTCGTTATTTACGTTTTTTTTCGCACAAAAAGTAGTCTCGTCGCTTGATAAAGTTATAGTTGAGCCACTGTAGGCACATGGAATATTTAAACCTTTTCTTTTAATGACTTTCTGGGCCGTCAAGAGGCAGTCCCTCAGGCTGTCTATGGAAGAGTGATACAGCCCTCAGATTCAATCAAAAATATATTTATTTGTGTTCCGAAGATGAACGAAGGTCTTACGGGGTTGGTACAGCATGGGGGTGAGTAATTAATGACGTAATTTTCATTTTTGGGTGAACTAACCCTTTAACACATGTGCTATAATTTTGATTTCATTTGTGATCTACTATTAATTTTCTCGCTCTGTTATGTACATCATACAGATTTATTTTAGGGATTTCCGTGTTGATGAATTTGATATCATTTCTCACAGCAAGAGGAAATTAGCTCAGCTGTTGCCCATATTGCACATCAACTGCTCAGCTGTCTTCAGCTTTGTTTGACTCTTAGCCGGAAATGAGAGGGCGAAATGGAGAATAATTATTTACGCATTGGCACACGTATGTTTTCGTGTGTGGCATCAGTGTTTTAATGATATCATCCAACGATCTTTCTACAGGGGCTTGCGTTTATGTTCTTTGATATTCTCTGGGTATTTTTTTTCTGGGGGTTGATATTTCTATGTGCATGAGTCATTTCTTCCCAGAGAAAGTGTCTTATAAGCCACATTTGAACTCGCCCTATAAGCAGTCAAACCACACAGCCCGGCATATGAGTCAAGAAGAGATGATTTTAAAGTCTTTTCTTATCAATGTTTGGGATTTGCTTGTTATTCAAGTCACCGTGACACTCTTTTGTTTTCATTTTAACGTGTCTGTGTGTTTATTTAGGATGGTGTTGATGAGAATGGTCAAATTATGTTGTGGAAAAGTCCACTGATTGTCCGCCCACTTTCCCTGTGAATGCAGGGTTTTCCCCTACCAAAACGAGATTAGCATACCTGTGACATTCCTCTGCAATTAATATCTTCTGGTTTGACTTTCTGAACAGTATTTGCCGAACTGCTGCACAAAGACTTCAAATTGTATATACCCATGTATGAATAGTCATTTTATTATATAATATGGTACTATTTGTTTGTTTAGACAAAACAAAAACTACTGTTGTTTTATTAAAATATTGCAAAATAATATTAATTTATGAATAGCTTTAATTGACTAGATGATGGTGATTTATTATTATTATTTAACATTATCTAAATGATTATATTGATCATTCTCAAATGTATCAATATTATTTTACAATATGATATAAATGATTGTTATTTATTCTGAAATAAAGACAATAATCTATTGATGATATTTTTAATTCATGATTTGTTATTATTATTTCACAATAAATTAATTTGTTATTTTTAAATAATTATATTTTTGATATTTGTTTGATTGTTTATTGAGTAGATTATTATTATTATTGTTGTTGTTATTTCTATGTTAAATGAAAAATTATTTTATTCATTATAAGATAATAATGATAATTGTCATTGGATCCGTTATTAATCGATCAATAATAATTGTTTTATAAATGGGTAATGAGGATGCTTATTATTATTAATATTATTATTTCATAATAAATTATATAAATTATTATATTATTCATTGTGAATTAATAATAATAATAATTTATTTATATGTGATTATTATTATTATTTCACAATATTTTTTTTAATTGTTATATATATATATATATATATATAAAATGAAAATGATCAGTAATTGTTTTTATTGATAAATGATGATGCTGACGATTATTATGGCAAAGTGGCAATTTTTTTGTGGATTTTGATCTGAAACTGTGTTTTTAAACTGTATTTTGTCATTGATTTCTGTTTGTTTGTGGGACAACAGATCTGTAACTACCAGGGAGCAGCACGAGTGGTCGTTCAGCTGGTGACCAACTCTCCGGAGCCCCATCTTCATGCTCACAGTCTGGTGGGCAAACAGTGTGATAAAGGAATCTGCATTGCCGATTTGCAGCCCAAAGACTCAAGTATCAGGTCTGAATTTATCCCTCAACGTACCAAATTACCTCTTTCTGAGCAGCAACACTTTTGGTACATGCAATGATAATGGCCAGTCATAATTAATATCCACTTGCACTTGTTTCACAGTTTTCCTAACTTGGGCATTTTGCATGTGACAAAGAAGAACGTGAGTAAAATTTTGGAGGAGAGGATGATTGAGGCCTACAGGATGGGATATAACTACGGCATATTCATCAATCCTGAAATAGATGCCCTACATGGAGAAGTTCGCATACCCAGAGAACTCACAGGTGTGTGTGTGTGTGTGTGTGTGTCCATCCATATTCTAGTTGAATGCCACTAAAAAGAATTATAAATGTTATTGTTGTATTTTTAGTATTTAGATGTATTTTACAGTCCAAACCATTTTGGCCAGTTATTCAGCAAAGTGTCAGTAAATACATTTATGTTACATATGATTTCTATTTCAGATAAATGTTGTTCTTTTTAAATGTAATATTTATCAAAGAAAAAAATGCATTACGGTTTCCACAAAAATATTAAGCAGCACAATTGTTTTCACAATGTTTCTTTAGCACCAATTCATCATATTAGAATATATTATGAAGAATCATGTGACACTCACACTGAAGACTGGAGTAATGATGCTGATCCATCAAAAAAATACAATTTGAAATATATTAAAACAGCTATTTTAAATTGTAATAATGTCACAATATTACTTTTTTCAGTATTTTTCATCAAATAAATGTATTGGTGAGCATAAAATACTAAAACATTAATATTACCAACCCCACATTTTTAAACTGTAGTGTAAATACATGAACATAAATACATTTTTGCAGGAAGTTGATGGCATGCAGTGTGTGACCATTGTTACTGACTGGTTTGTACTTTTCAACCCCCAAAAAAGTGACTAAACTTATTGAGTCCTGAAATTGCTTATGGTTGTTCTAGCTCAATGGGTGAAGATCTGGAATAGGATCCGAAAGATTGTAGGTTTAAACTCCACAAGAAGCGAACACTTGTCACTTTGTACAAAGAAAATGAACCCCAGTTTGGTCCGAGTGCAGTGGTCCTATGAATATAAATAGGAATTGTCATGTCTCCTGATGATCTGAAGATACTCTGGTCAACAGAAAGGTTTAAGAGATGAGTGAGTCTTTTTAAGAATTCTTGAATTGTTCAGATCATTGTGACTGTATTTCAGAACCTGAGAGGACCCTGATTAGCAGTGCAGCCAATAATCAGTCGAAGGAGATGGACCTGAGTGTGGTCCGGCTCATGTTCACAGCCTTCCTGCCCGACAGTGATGGAGGGTTCTCCCGCAGGCTGGATCCGGTCATTTCCGACCCAATCTTTGACAGCAGTGAGTATCATCCTTCTTCATGCGCACCATGTCAATCAGAAGTTGAAAATGTTAATGTTATTAATGCTTTATGTTGAAAGTAACATTAAGATTGATAAATACTGTAAGTATTGTTAATTGTTCATGTCAACTATGCAGTTGACAAATTAAACCTTATTGTACAGTGTTAGATTTTATTAACATTCTTAATTCGTTTTTATTTATTTATTTTATTAGTGTTTTTTTGTCATTTTTATTCATTTTTGTTTTTTTATACAAACTTTTTTTTTCAGACTTTATTAAATTTTATTTCAAGTAACAAAATAGTTTTATTTAACGGTTTTAGTATTAGTATTAGTTAACTATAATGACCTTAATTCATTTAGCCCAACATGTATAATTTAGCAACAAACACTTTTCTTTCTCTTGTTTGTCCCAGTAGTTTCTGTCAACGTGGCGTTCACATGATTTTGAGTGTGGGGCTAATGATTGTTATTAGCTCTCACTTTCAGTCTCATTCTCTTTTTTTCTTATTCTGTCTCTCTCGCTCTCTGGCAGAGAACTGTCAGGTATTGCTTCCTCCCTGAAACTAAGCCTACACTTTCAATTTCCCCTCCCTTTTCTGATAATCTCTGCCCATTTCTACTCTCTCAGTGCTGTCAGAGTAAAAAAATAAAATGAAAAGGAAATATAAGGAAACGATAGAAGCTTGTTTCACCACAGAATGAAAAATAAAAAAAGGTAATTGCGACTTTATATCTCACAATTCTTTTATTTCTCACAATTGTGTTTACATCTCATAATTCTGACTTTATTTCTCAGAATTGGAAATCTAAAGTCAGAATTGTGAGATATAAAGTCAGAATAGCGAGATATAAAGTCAGAATTGTGAGATATAAACTATTCTGAGGGGAAAAAAGCTTTTTTTTCCCTAAGAATTGGCCTGATAACTCGCAATTGCGAGTTTATATCTCACAATTGTGAGAGAAGATGTCAGAATTTCGAGATATAAACTTGTAATTATGTGTTATAAAGTCAGAATTGCAAGACGTAAACTCGCAATTGTGAGAGAAAAAAAGTCAGAATTGTGAGGTAAAAAGTCAAAATTCTGTCTTTTTTTTGCAACTATTTCTCATAATAGCGAATTTATATCTCGCATTTGCGACTTTATTTCTCAGAATTGTGACTTTATATCTCGCAATTGCCACTTTATTTCTCATAATAGTGACTTTATATCTCGCAATTGCAACTTTATTTCTCCGAATTGCGACTTTATATCTAGCAATTGCGACTTTATTTCTCATAATAGTGACTTTATATCTCGCAATTGCAACGTTATTTCTCAGAATTGCGACTTTATATCTAGCAATTGCGACTTTATTTCTCATAATAGTGACTTTATATCTCGCAATTGCAACGTTATTTCTCAGAATTGCGACTTTATATCTTGCAATTGCGACTTTATTTCTCTGAATTGCGACTTTATATCTCGCAATTGCCACTTTATTTCTCATAATAGTGACTTTATATCTCGCAATTGCAACTTTATTTCTCAGAATTGCGACTTTATATCTAGCAATTGCGACTTTATTTCTCAGAATTGCGACTTTATATCTCGCAATTGCGACTTTATTTCTCAGAATTGTGACTTTATATCTCGCAATTGCCACTTTATTTCTCATAATAGTGACTTTATATCTCGCAATTGCAACTTTATTTCTCAGAATTGCGACTTTATATCTAGCAATTGCGACTATATTTCTCATAATAGTGACTTTATATCTCGCAATTGCAACGTTATTTCTCAGAATTGCGACTTTATATCTCGCAATTGCCACTTTATTTCTCAGAATTGCGACTTTATATCTCGCAATTGCGACTTTATTTCTCAGAATTGCGACTTTATATCTTGCAATTGCGACTTTATTTCTCAGAATTGCGACTTTATATCTCGCAATTGCGACTTTATTTCTCAGAATTGTGACTTTATATCTCGCAATTGCCACTTTATTTCTCATAATAGTGACTTTATATCTCGCAATTGCAACTTTATTTCTCAGAATTGCGACTTTATATCTAGCAATTGCGACTTTATTTCTCATAATAGTGACTTTATATCTCGCAATTGCAACGTTATTTCTCAGAATTGCGACTTTATATCTTGCAATTGCGACTTTATTTCTCAGAATTGCGACTTTATATCTCGCAATTGCGACTTTATTTCTCATAATAGTGACTTTATATATCGCATTTGCGACTTTATTTCTCAGAATTATGACTTTATATCTCGCAATTGCAAATTTATTTCTCACAATTCTGACATAATTTCTCGCAATTGTGAGATAAAAACTTGCAATTATTTTTTTTATTCAGTGGCAGAAACCAGCTTCCATAGGAAACTCCACTCCACTAAAAAAAATGTTTTGTTTCTAACACCCCTGTCTCTCTTGTTGCTTTTTAGAAGCCCCAAATGCATCCAATTTGAAGATAGTACGGATGGATCGAACTGCCGGCTGTGTGACCGGAGGAGAGGAGGTCTATCTTCTATGTGACAAAGTCCAGAAAGGTCAAAAAGCAATATCATAACGGTCATGGCATGCTCTGCCTGTCTGTTATTGCTGGACAGAATTAATTTTTTTTTCCTTGCCACTTTTGTTTGTAATATTTACAATGGAGATCTTAAAAGAGTAAAGATCTTGAAGTTATTCAGCAATTACTGTGACATCACAACCATGATCAAATTAACATAGACAATTCCCGCACAGCAACTTGGTCATTCTCATTATTTCCCTTGCAGAGTTTAGCCATTCATAAAGATAATTTGCATATACACTACTGTTCGAAAGTTTGGGGTTAGTATGGTCTTTAAAAAAAAAAAAAGAAAAAAAGAAATCAAAAAACGCTGAAAAAAGGACTGGAAGTCTCACCTTATGGTTTAAAGAGCCAATTGCCCTTTTGATAGAGCCATAACCTGTTTGTTTTACTCTTGAACTTAAATTAGCTAGACCAGCTTAAATGTAATAGAGATTTCCGTCTTTTGCCATTAATGTAGACTGGAGCTATACTTGTATGACGGGAAATAGTTGCCCGGGGCATTGCCAAGATGGCCGCCGAGGGAACCGACTTGTTTTAAAAGGGACTTTGCTAAGGGTCAGAACGAGAGAATGGTGACCGTCTTCACTTAAGGAGAAAGAGATGTAAATGTGGATTCTTTAAGGATCAGGAACATTTGAAAAAGCCATTTTGTAAAGTTTTCTGAATGAAACAGTTTTAGCCGAACAGGTGATACGCCACCTAGATTTTGGACGCCCTGCACTCTTGAAGGAAGTTTTCACTGCAGATTTCCAGCTGTAGGGAATTCCCCATTTCATATGCAAATTCGAGGGTAGGAGAAAGTTAGCTTTACGTCAGGTTTTCAACAACCTACCCGCCATTTCCCTTCCCTCATATTATCCCCACCTTGCTCACAAAGATGACATCTCTTCATGGACAAATCATAGTATGATTAAAAAAAACAAAAAAACATCAGTCTGATTCTGGTTAAACCTGAAATACAAAATCAACAGTGTTCACCATTACTACCCACTAAATCAACTGAAACATTGACAACAAGCTCTGTCTGGAGTGTTTTAAAATGAGCAATAAGATTCATATCACAGTTTCAGTCATGGTCTGTTAATGGCATTGTGATGTATTGAATGACAAGTTTTACTGCGTGAATCATATTGTGGGGGCATTGGGGTCATATAAAAAGACAGTCCTACATGATTATTTTATTGTTTGGTATCATGGTACAGTATATCATCAAAGTACCGTGGTATGTCCAACTGAAACGTAGAACATCTGATATGTTTCTGGATCATGTGTCTGTAATGTGCTTATCTGTTGAGTGAAGTGTGTATTATATTAAATCGGGGCTTTTGAGGAAGTAAGAGCGTTCTGCATGGTGATGACAGAGCTATTCAAATTTTACTGTGTGTCTGGCCACCGTTGTTTCCTCTTTCTTTCCCTGTTGGTTCACAGTAATTTCATTTTCTTGTTTTCCTCTTATGTGATGTCATTGTGTTTGTGACAGATGACATCCAGGTGCGGTTTTATGAAGATGATGATTCGGGTCTAACCTGGGAGGCCTATGGGGATTTCTCTCCGACTGACGTCCATAGACAGGTCAGCACAGGAACTTGTTTGCCCTACTGGTCGAAACCTGATTCTTTATGTTTAGTGACTTGCTTTGTGGTTTGATGATGCCTTCAGTCTGTTTCTTATAGACAAATCCTAACTCCTCTGGAATAAATAAAAGATTGAGGATTTATTAAAGGAGTAGTTCACTTTTGAAAAAACTTTTGTTGATAATTTACTCACCCCCATGTCTTCCAAGATGTCCATGTCATTTTTTCTTCAGTCGAAAAGAAATTAAGGTTTTTGATGAAAACATTCCAGTATTTTTCTCCATATAATGCACTTCAGTGGGAACCAAACGGTTCAAGGTCCAAAAGACAGTTTCAGTGCAAACTGCAAACTGTTCAAAGGGCTTTAAATGATTTCAGACGATGAATAAGGGTCTTATCAAGCGAAACGATCGCTCATTTAAAAAATAAATAACAAAGTTTAAGTTTTATAAGCTCAAATGTTCAAACTCGTTCATCATAATGAATGAGTCTTTTTCCGAGTCATTTGGTTAATTCAACGAACGAAACGAACAAACTGACTGGGAAAAAGATTTGTTCAAAAATCATTTTGAACAAAAACTTTAATTTCTTTTCGACTGAAGAAAGAAAGACATGGACATCTTGGATGACATGTGGTTAGAGAGTTATCAGCAAAAGTTTTTTCAAAAGTGAACTACTCCTTTAAGGCAGCATTGAATCAAAACTGAGTGCATCTTTATACACTATTGTTTGAAATTTTGGGATTTTTAAAATATATTTTATATGATTTTATTCTGCATTTATTTGATACAATAAAAGCGGTGATACTGTGAAATATTATTACAATTTAAAATAATGTATTTCTGTTTTAAATATATTTTAAAATGTAATTTACAGTGTTGTAGTACTCGAGACTCGGACTCGTCTCGGACTCGGTCTCGAGACCATATTTTAATGGTCTCGGTCTTGTCATGGACTCGTGTCCATTATTGGGATTCGGAATTGACTCGTACTCGAAAAAATTTTTTTTTAGGACTCGGAATTATTCCCGAGTCCACTCGAGTTCAATTAAAAATATTTTTCATGATTATTAATGTATGTTAATAAAATATTTCTTTAAATTGATTGACATGCCCAGTGATTGGTGATTTTCTAGTGCGCAACTGCACATGACAAATTGTAATAAAATTACTTTTAACACCACCTACTATGTGGCCTTTTTACCCTAAACTGATCATATTTTTTAAACTCTAAGTAAATTCAGTAAAAAAAAAAAAAAAAGTAAATAAAAGTAAATTAGGTAATCAACCCTCACTGGTTTCGGTCTCGACTCGGACTCGACCATCTCTGGTCTCGGACTCGACACGGACTCGACTCTCTCTGGACTCGGTCTTGACTCGGACTCGACTCTCTCTGGTCTCGGTGTCGACTTGGACTCGAGTGAGGTGGTCTCGACTACAACACTGGTAATTTATTCCAGTGATGGCAAAGCTGAATGATCAGCATCATTACTCCAGACTTTAATCACATGATCCATCAGAAATCATTCAAATTTGCTAAGTTACTTATCAAGAAATGTCCTATTATCATCGGTGTTGGAAGCAGTTCATATTTTTTTTTTTGTAAACCTTGATGCATCTTTTTACAGATTCTTTAATAAATAGAAAGTAAAAAAATAGTGTTTATTTGAAATAGAAATCATTTGTAACATTTTAAATGGCTTTATTGTCACTTTAGATAAATGAATGCATCCTTGCTGAATTTTTTTTTTAATTATTCCTCAAGACACTGTTACATATCGACTTTAAATGACTTTAATTGTATAGTAATATTATTATAATTAATAAAATATTCTGGCGGAATGAATAATCCACCTTTAATTTCCATCCCTTAGTTTGCTATCGTCTTCAAGACGCCTAAATATCGAGACCAGAACCTCCAGAAGCCCATCTCTGTGTTTGTGCAGCTCAAGAGGAAGTCAGACAATGAGACAAGCGAACCCAAGCCATTCACTTACCATCCACAGATTATAGGTACAGTCTTTACCCATCTCCCACAAGTTTTGATGGTAACCACAGCATCAACTCTCTCTTTTTTAAGGATTTTTGCCACAATTTTGCGAGCTAAAAAAAAATTGCTGACAGGAAAAAAAAAAGTCAAAAAAAATTATAATTTTTTTACTGCATAGCAATCAAGTAAAAAGTCTAATCTCTGCCCATATACTGGTTTACTTTTCCACTGAATTTCTCCTTTCAACTGTTTTTAGACAAAGAAGAGGTCCAGAGAAAGAGACAGAAAACCCTGCCAAACTTCCAGGACTACAGCGGCGCAGGAGGCGGAGCTGGAGGCATGTTTAGAGGAGGAGGGGGTGGGTCTACAGCAGGGGGCGGTCCCAGTGGAGGAGGTGGAGGTACTTCAATATTGCATTGGACCTTTTAATTTAACATTTCAGTATCCCACCCTTGCACTGCTTTGATGCATTGATGTCGGCCAAATCTTTTAGATCAAATGATTTAAATGGTTTTGTCTTCTAGGGCATTTTTTCCAGGGATATTCAAATTATAACAATTATGGGACTGGATACAACTTCTCAGGCATGGGAGGAGGCGGGACTAGCATCAAGCATAGTGAGTGTCCATGCTGTCAATCAAGCTGCCATCATCACAGCATATTCAGTGTCACATGATCCTTTATGCTGATTTAATGCTCAGGAAACATTTCTTATCAATGGTGAAAAGAGTTATTTAACTTAAAAAAATAAAATAAAAATTAGGACCTCAGGATTTGTACAAATGTTATAAGAAAATATATATTTACATATATATTTTGGGAAAAATCCTTCCTCTTTTAGCATATCAAGACCCAGTAGAAGACAGTGAAGAGGATAGCGACAGTGATACAGATGATGATCCTGCTTCAGGTGGAGGGGTGCGGATCTGTGCCCAGCCTGAACCTGTTCCCCTGAATCGGGGAGGGGCTAGTGATGACGCACAGCCTACAGAAGATCTCGAGTTAGACGCCACAGGTTAGACTTCCCGGTATAGTCAATGCAGCTAAATCTATAAACTTGTCTCTGGATAAATTTGTGCATTTCTCTTTTCAGGCTGTGTGTTAGAGCCACATTTGGCTGAGCTAGCTGGAAGACATGCTCAAGCTCTCTTTCATTACGCATTAAGCGGTGATGCTAGAATGCTTCTGGCTCCACAGCGCCCCCTCATGACCACTCAAGACGAGAACGGAGACACGTAAGTCAGACAAACCAAACTCATGTCTTTGTAGACGCTCTATTCACATAAACTATACACTTCTCACCAAAACACAATGTTGTTTTTACCCAAAAATGATTTACTGAAATTTTGGGTTTGGTTTTTAGGGGTTTACATCTGGGAGTGATCCACAGTCAGGCAGATGCCGTGCGAAATCTAGCACAAGTCATCTCTGATCTCCCTGGAGAGGATGTACTCAACATGAGGAATGATCTCTATCAGGTAGGGCTGCTCAATTATGGCCAGAAATCATAATCATTGTTTTTTTGGTCAATATTGAAATCACGATAATTGGTAGGTGATACTATCAACGTCTTATTTTATGATGGGAGTAATTTTAGTAGGGATGCACAAAAAAATGGCAATTTCAGTTTCGGTTTTAGCCAAGTCCAGCCCTAATTTTGATTTATTTTGTTGCACCCCTAAATTTTAGATATCAGTGAAATTTCACAATTATCGATACTTCCGCAAACACTAATATTAAGTTAACTAATGTAGCTAAGTAAAAGATCCTCAAAACAGTTAGAGAAGACGAGTAAACAGTCAGCAATACTTCATTGTGTACATTAAAGGGACGGTTCACCCAAAAATGAAAATTCTGTCATCATTTACTCACCCTCAAGTTGTTCCAAACCTTTACGAGTTTGGCTTAGGGAGGAACGAAAGTGCTCTGGGCGGCAGCGGCACAACAATCGTTTTACCTCGATTATCTTGTTTTCATAATGTTGGAAGCCGAAATCAAAATCGAAAAACAATTTTGATTAACCGCACAGGCACATCCCTACGACCAGGTATACTAAAAACTCACACAATGCTTTAAAAACAGGTTTTGTTTCTCACTACAACTGAGGCCTGTGAAATTTCCAAAAACTCGGTAGCCAATTAAATCCTCTGACACTTCTGTCCCAGACTCCTTTGCACCTCGCAGTGTTGACGCAGCAGAAAGAGGCAGTCGAGGCTTTACTGGAGGCTAAGGTGGACGTCACGCTGACAGATCGCCATGGAAACACGGCGCTTCACCTGGCGGCTCAACAGAAAGAGGAAAGCATGCTGCGATTGCTGCTAAAGCACAAGTCAGTGGCGCAGTTAACTAGCATGCCCAACACAGCAGGTACGCTGGACTTACTGTCTGAGAATCATTCATGCGTTCAAATGTTTTGGGCTCTGATTATATGTTTATATGTGTGTGTTCAGGTCTCTGCGCGCTTCACCTGGCTGTACAGGCGAACAGTCTGAGTTGTGTGCGGGCCCTGTTGGATGGCGGGGCAGACGTGGAGGTTCAGGAGCTTACGTGTGGCCGCACAGCACTTCATCTGGCCACAGAGCTGGGAAACCTTTCCCTCGCCGGCTGCCTCCTGCTGGAGGTACTACTAACACCTCCATACATGATCAATGAGGCGATGAATGGCTACTTTAGTGCAAATATTTCTATTATTTTAAAGTTTACTCTGCTGTTGTATTGTTTTTTCAACTGAAGCCCACTTATAAATGTTAATTAGTGTATATTTTAGGTGGTCATGACCTCACTAACTGTTAAAAGTTAACTTCACTTTCTCTTTAAGACTTTTATTGCTAAATAATGTCTGTTACAGTATGTTTGGCTAAACTTGTTTCATGTGAAATGAGCAACAATAACCCTTTCAAATTTATAAATACTTAATGGTTTAACTGCTGTTGGGGTCGGTGCATTTTTATATACATACATATATATATATATATATATATATATAAATAATATTTATAATATATATATATATATATATATATATATATTATCGATGTTAAAAACAGTTGTGCTGCTCAAAAGATTTTTGCGGAAACCTTGATGTTTTGTTTTCCGAGTTTTCTCTTTTCAAAAGAACAGCATTTATTTGAACTTATTTGTAACAGTTTAAATGTCTTTACTGTCTCTTTGGATCAATTTAATGCATCCTTGCGGAGTAATTTCTTCAAAAATAATTATAAAATCTTACTGACCCGAAACTTTTAAATGGAGGTGCATATAACAACAAATATGGTCACATGATATATCACAGTATACACTGACAAGTCTGACATCATAGCCGTAGCGGTTTCTGAAGGACCAACAGTCAAACTCGACAGTGTAAAGAACTTAAATCTTATATATTAGAATATGAAGGACAATCTTATTTTCCATAAATCGCTTTGAAAGTGAGGAGATGAATGCAAATGTGAATCCAGAAATATCTCTTGATGAATAACCCTGCACGTGTTACATTTTGTCCATGCAGGGTAACGCATATGTAGACAGCGTCACATATAACGGCTCCACTCCTCTGCACATTGCTGCAGGACGGGACTCAACCAAACTGAGCGCACTTCTAATGGCTGCAGGTGAGGAATTATGTGTGTCTTTGCATGCTGCCATTAATGTTTTATATATAGATCTGGTAGAATCATTCTAAAGCAAATTCATCATTTATTAAAGATGTTTCACGACTCACTGTTGTGTGCTTTGCTTTCAGGAGCAGATCCTCATAAGGAAAACTTTGAACCGCTGTTCTTTAAAGATGATGAGCTGTGTGGCACATGCGAGGACGAGGAAGAGGATGAAGGCTATATTCCTGGGACGACCCCTCTGAACATGGCAACTTCCCCAGAGGTTGGTTTTTCAAATGTGGGATGTAATGTATTTGTACTGCTGGTTGTGAAAATAACGTGTGGTCTGTTCTGTGCTGACAGGTGTATGATATTCTTAATGGAGAAGAGTATCAGCCGAACACTATCGTCGTTCCACCGCAAGGTATGAGCTCCTTGTTTTCTTGTAATGTTTAATTTTTTTAATTGTTCAGGGCATTTTTAGGTTCAAAAGGTTAAATGAATAAAATCTTGGGATGAAAGTAACATTTATTGTAGAAATATAATATAATTATGCTCAGCTCTAAATATTTAAAGCTACACTGTTTAACTCTTAGTTTATTCTTAGCTAAAAACACTTAGTTCTTTCAAAAATATATGTGCTCATTAATGTATATTTACTTCGTTCAATTAATAAAGTATTCTCGTGAGTGTATAATATGCCATTGAAAATACATGCGGGTAAGGGGTTCTAATGTCGGTCGCCATGTTGCCCCTCCATCTTGAATGTACATTAGCCAAAGAGGGACATACCCGTTAATTCAAGCTTCGCCTTTCGCGTTTACGTTTGAGTTGAACTGAAAGCCATGTTAATCTTGGACTACATTGGCCACCATAGGAGTTAAAACGAAATCGGAATTGAGAGGAACAGAAACTAATATTCACTGGATGGTCATATAACTTTTCACCACTAGATGGGGGTAAAAATCACACAGTGTAGCTTTAATAAACTATTTAAATACTCTTTATAAACCAATTTAAAAAAAAAAACCTTATCCAGTTATCATGAAGTCAGTGGACTGGAAAAGTTGTGGATATTAATATAAAGGTGTGGGGACTGGGAACCCTGACTGTTTATTTTCAGCTGCTGAAAATTGTAATGCTTTTAGCAAAAAGGAAAACTATTTTACTACTATGTACAGTACACTTCCATTCATACGTTTGGGGTTCGTACAAATTTTTTTAATTTTTTTTGAGTCTCTTACGCTCGGCAAGGCTGCATTTATGTAATCAAAAATATTGCTATGTTTTTAAATATTATTACAATTTAATTTAATTTAATATTTAAAAATGTAATTTATTCCTGTGATGGCAAAGCCGAATATTCAGCCATCATTACTCCAGTCTTCAGTGTCACATGATCCTTCAGAAATCATTCTGATATACTGATTTGGTGCACAAGAAACATTTCTCATTATTATCAAACTTAAAAACAATACAATTTTGGTGAAAACCGTGATACTTGTTTTCAGGATTCAGCATTTATTTGAAATATTTAACTCTGTAAATGTCTTTACTGTGTATTTTAATGCATCTTTGCTGAACAAAAGTATCAAAAGCCCAAACTTTGGAAAGTTAGTGTGTGTTGAGAACACATGGCTCGTGTTGGCAGGTGACATGAAGAGCTTGAGCTCTGAAACGAAGCAGGATCTGTGCCAGGCACTGGAGGGGCAGACGGGAGGATGGGAGAGTCTGGCTCATGCTCTGGGGCTCGGGATCCTGACCAGCGCCTTCAGGCTCACCTCCTGCCCGGCTGGAAAGCTGCTGGACAGCTACGAGGTAAACCAACTTCCTTTTTCAATCTTACAGAAACACTGGACAGTGGTAAGAAAAATAGTTAACGTTGGCGTGAAACGGAAGTTGAGATTGTCATTTTTTCATTGTCGTGACGTATATATCCGAGTGAAACGGCTTCTGAAATTAGGAAAAAATGTAGGGCAGGGCTTGATTTCGTCCTTCGGGAATTGATTGGATCGTTGGAGGTTGGGTGTTGCAAACGAATGCGATTCTCTGAGAGGCGGTGCACTGTTTTTGTTTGTCTCAGTTAGGAACGGCCTGATGTTGTGCATAGCAAACCTGACATCATTTTCATATGACATTAAATATATGAATTCCTCTAATACTAACTATATCAGTATCTGAACTGTTATTTTTTTTGCTTCCTGTTGTTGTTCTAGTTTCAGCTGCTAATCATCTGTCTCCTTCAGGTGTCTGGAGGAACGGTGCATGAGCTGCTGGAGGGACTGAAGCATGTTGGGAACAGCAGTGCTGTCAGTTTACTCCAGGCTGTGTGTAAGGAGCCTGAAGCTGTCCAAACCACACCTCAGCTCACAGGTAATATTGTTTGATATGTGTGGTCTAAGTAGTTGAGAAGCCAAACGTTGTTGGTTTTAGCCCATGAACCATTACCATTGTGTCCAACTTTCCAACCGTTACCAACTTTTCCACTGTAAGTCCCTTTGGTTATGTTAGTAAATGAGTAATTTGTCAAATAATATTAAAAAGAAAATCTGATCAGATACGCTTCGTTTAAAGCCATTGTAACATTAAACAAAAAACTGACAACACACTGACATTCAAATGTCTGGGGTCTAGATTTTTTTTTTTTTTTTTTTTTAAAGACATTTTATGCTCACCGAGGCTGAATTTATTTTTTCAAAAATTCAAAATAGTAATATTGTGAAATTGTGTAATTTATTCCTGTGACGGTAAAGCTATTCATTATTTATGCGTCAAATGATCCTTCAGAAATCACTCTAATATGCTGATTTGCTGCTCAAGAAACATGCAATTCTACGTGACTCTCCTATTCGAACTCGTTCATCAAAATGAATGAATCTTTTCCAGAGTCAACTTATTCATTTTGTTCGTTGAATGAACCAAATGACATGAAAAAAGATTCGTTCATTTTGATAAACGAGTTCGAACAGGAGAGTCACGAACGTGCATCACAGAACAGAGCAAGGCGACCATTTGAGCTTATAAAACTTAAACTTTGTTGTTGTTTTTTTTTTAATGAGCGACCGTTTCACTTGATAAGACCCTTATTCATCGTCTGAAATCGATCGTTTCACTTGATAAGACCCTTATTCATCGTCTGAAATCGTTTAAAGCCCTTTGAACAGTTTGCACTGAAAGTTTTTTTTAAAAAGTGAACTACTCCTTTAATATTTTGTCTTGTGTACCAGAACATAAACCTCAAAGATTCATGTTGTCAAAAGGTATTTTTTGCTCATTGGTGAGTCATTTGAGATCTTTTCCCAAGAGCACGTCGTCATTGTGACATTTCGTAGAATGAGTGAGATTTTGGACTGAGAGGTTGTTTTTTTTTGTCCCACAATATGGTTTGTAAAAACCCCCAGATTAAATCAGTGTCAGTCTCGATCCCCTCGCTCCGTAACAATAATATCACGTTGTGGTTCTGACATCACCTCGTGTGCACTCAAGCATGATGTCAACAAAACAGCACTGCCACTGCATTCTAAAGGAGTTCCCCTCGGTCTCAGGGTGACCCGACACATTGCTGTAGTGTTCACTTACAGTGATGTCTGTTTCGGGGGGAAGTGGACACTTGAGAGGGGGATTCCCAGGAACAGAAGTGAAAGCCAGATATGGCACTTCTGGTTTTCGTTTCTGGCGCAGTTTCTTTGAAACAAGTCTTTCCACCTTGCTGTCTGATTTGAAGGTTTCGTCATCAGGGTTCAGTGAGCATGTGTAAGCCAGTAGGGGAAAGTTTTCTTCTTGTTGTTTTTTTTGTCTCGGTTTCCTTCTCGTGGTTGTCCATATTGTTGTGCCACGTTGTTTTTTTTTGTTGTTGTTCAATAAATAGAGTGGGGTTCAAAAGAGACCTCATGAAATTTGGGATTCTAAATCTGGAAACAAATGTTTTAGGAAACATTATGATGTGAAATATTTCATATTCTGAGGATTGTTGTTATTAATGCAAAATAGGGACAAACCAAATATTCTGACTTATTTTATTTTTAAATTACTCTTTTAACTTGTCACTCAAGTGGTTGACCTGGTGATATTAGTTTTTTTATGTATTTATTTTGCAAACTTTTAGACCTATCTGTAATTAAACTTAATAATAATCAAATAATATATTACAATTGCTTGTGGTTTATGATTGCCAAGCAAACACAATGATCAAAAAGAAACAGTTTTAGCACAGTATTATATAATTAATTTTATAAACGTCATAGTTTGTGTATATTGGCAATTTCATTTGAACATTTTCTTTTTATAAAACAACTTTTATGACATTTTTACTCTATATAAAGGTAGTAGTAACACTTTACAATAAGGTTCATTAGTTAACATTAATTAATGTATTAAAAAACATGAACTAACCATGAGCAATCCATTTGTTCGTGTATTTGTTCATCTTTGTTTACATTCGTTAATAAAAATAAAGCTGTTCATTGTTAGTTCATAGTGCATTAAATAATGTTAACAATATTTTAATAAAGTATTAGTAAATGTTGAAATTAACAAAGATTAATAAATGCTGTATATTTGCGGTTCATGTTAACTAATGTTAAGTTAAGTCAAGTCACCTTTATTTATATAGCGCTTTTTACAATACAGATTGTATCAAAGCAGCTTCACAGTGATAACATGGAAATAATGCAACACAGATCAATAATATTGTTGAATATTAAATGTCCCCAACTAAGCAAGCCAAAAGCCAAGGCAACAGTGGCAAGGAACCAAAACTCCATCAGGGACAGAATGGAGAAAAAAAAAAAACATTGGGAGAACCCGGGCTCAGTCCTCTGGCCAACAGTGTGTGATTCGGGTAGAATTTGATCGAAACATTAAGAGTATTTGTCCATTTCCATCTGTTTGGAAGTCAAAGTAATCACGCCGGTTTGGAGACGAGATGTTGAGGATCAGTGCCGATGGCTGCCGTGTCGATGAGGCCGGCACTTAAGGATGGGTCCCTCGGGATAAACAGAGAAACTAATATTAACGTAGACACCATCCTTCTTATGATGTACCAAGTACATCAGGATTTACGGGACGTGTTCCCGGTTCCAGCTGATCTAAACTATGCAGCACTCTAATTTTGAATTAAGGTAGTCTATAGTGTGTTATGTGTAAGCTAGGCCAAAGAGATGTGTTTTTAGTCTAAATTTGAACTGACAGTGTGTCTGCTTCCCTGACAATGTTAGGAAGATTGTTTCAGGGTTTTGGTGCTAAATAGGAAAAGGATCTCCCGCCTGCAGTTGATTTCAATATTCTAGGCATTATCAACTTTTGAGATCGCAATAGATGTGAAGGACTATAATGCATTAAGAGCTCGCTCAAGTACTGCAGAGCTAAACCGTTTAGTGCTTTGTAAGTAATCATCGATATTTTACAATTTATACAATGTTTAATAGGCAGCCAATGCAGGGTTGACAGAACCAGGCTAATATGGTCATACTTCCTGGTTCTGGTAAGAACTCGAGCGGCTGCGTTTTGAACTAGCTGAAGTTTGTTTATTAAGCGTGCAGGGCAACCACCCACAATAATCTAGCCTTGATGTCATGAACGCATGAACTAATTGTTTCGTATTTGAGAGCATATGGCGTAATTTAGATGTATTTTAAGATGGAAAAATGCGGTTTTACAGATAACTAACGAAAGTAGTTATATTCTATATAAATAAAATGTGTTTTTGATATATAATCAGGGAAAAGATTTGAAATGATTCTATGGTGATATTAATATTTTTTTCTCAGGTCCAGGGCTCTGTAAGTCCATTCAGGCTTTGACACTGGGCCCCCATCAGGAGGAGAGTGGGATATGTGACAGCGGGGTGGAGACCTCTTTCTAGAGCCCCAGCTTTGGTCTCGCCGACTCCAAACACAATCGCACAAACTGAGGCCTGACCCTAAAGACCAGCTTCTCCCTCCTCACTACAGCAGCAGTGCCACTCAACCTCAGGACACGCCTCCAACACCTTTGATTGGCCACCACCCTCTGTGGATGCTGCTCAGCCACGCCCAAAATGCAAATGAGCTCTGAACTCTGAGGAGTCTTTAAGCTGGGGAGTCCCCTGGCCATGGGGATTTTATTCTCTTTTTTTTAGCTTTTTAATATTAATAATACCAAAAAGCACTTATTTGAAAATGTATTGTTTTCCTTTTATAAGAGCTATATTATCTTTAAATTGCCATAATATAGCTTTTAAAGGGTATATTAAAGTGGCTGTTTTCATTCGTGCTTAAGCTGAACAATGACATCCACAACTAAATATTTAGTTGGTTATGATGTCTTGGACATTATTAGATTCTCAGGCCTGATTTGCAAAAAAGAAAAAAGAAAAAAAAACATTTCTTGCTTGAATTTCTTGCAACTATTTCCTTTGTTAATGTATTTTAACAAACAATCCGATTTAAGAACAGCACCTTCAGTTTAGATAACCAATTATGCAGACTTCCTCATAGTCATCTGCTTGCAAAGGATTTTCTCTTGGAACAGCAATGCAATGACATACAGGAAGAGGAAGAGAGGAAAAGGAGGTCTACTGGGTTATTATGACCCTCTGGACCAATCAAATCTGTTGGATGATGGAAAAAGTTCTTCCCTTCATATTCAACCTTTCAGCTGTTATTTAGGTTGGCGATGGATTTTATTTTGCATTTAGTGGTGCTAACGGGTTGTGATAAAAAAAATAATAAGCTTTGAGAGATTATTCTCCCTTCCACTTGTTTGATTGGTTAAAAAAAAACAGAAGGGTCAGTCCTAAGCAGTGATTGGAGTGTGTGTGCGTGTGTGTGTGGATAGCTTCAACCAGATGCCTCAAGTGCCCTTAAAGAAATATTTTTGTTGTTACATTTTTATCATTCTGTTTAAAAAAAAGTGAACTGTCATTCCCTTCTGTTGTGTGTGTGTGAACTGTAGAAGACAAAACATCACTCCGATATTCTGCTAATGTAGAATCAGTTCTATTCATGCATCACAGAATATTTGTGTCCCAGATCAGCTGTCTTTCTTTTTGCTTTATGAAATGTTCTAAACATGGCCTCTGACCTTTGAACTGACTTGGGGACTCGCGTCACCAAAATGCTTTTAGCCTCCGTGATATTATTCATACTACAGTAAATAATGTTCCAATAACCATCCAAAACCCCAGGCTAAAGGTTTGACAGGCACTGTAATGTATTTTTGGCTGTAAATTGGTATTTATGTCTGTAACCTGTGAAGCAGTGTTGTACAGAGGGAAAATTTTTTGTGCTTTGTTACTGGTTTTATTGTGATACTTTTTATAATAAAACGATCCATTGTGTACTACTGTTTTGAAATTTTATTTTACATCACCTGTACTTTTCAGACTATCCATATTGCATACAAATTTGATACAGCAATTTTCATTTTGCCGCTTGTTGTGATGTGTTTTGTAAAATCACCAGCAGATGGAGTCCTTTCTTACTTTTTAAAACATCCGATTAATTATCTGAATTCTCATAATACCTCATGTATTTTCACTTTTATATTATAGTCTTAAGCTCATTAAAATTGCAATAGGATAACAGTAAGCCTAACAATAAAGTATAACTTATCATTTATATACTGTAATAGACAATATTTTTCATTAACTATTATTTTTCAACCCAGTTGTCCTTTTTTTTTCTTTTAGCAATTTAGTTGCCATAAGTATAAACATAATGTTAAATGTGTATGCAGTATGTTTTTGTCCTAATGAATGTGTTAGCATCTGATACTGAGTGAAAAAACTACTCACAAATTAACATATACTGAAGGCTATTCTACAATGAGTGCCATCCACATACATTTATAAAACATGCTCTTTTTAAACATCATTCTATAAAAAGGAACTGAAGAAAAAACGTGATTATTCAATGTAATTTAAAATTTGTATATTTGTTTGTTTTACAGTTTACGAAGACAAACCTGAATCCTTGGTTGACAAATGACAATCACTGCATCACTATCACTACAGCATTGCTTCCTCATTGAGCTCAGAACAATCTACCATTGAAATTTAGTCCCGGGCCCTGTGGATTTTAGCAACATTGGGCCTACACTATTATTTCAGGTATGTTAAAGGCGTGTCATCAATGTGTTTAGCAATCTGAGAAACACGTAAAAGAAATGTATATGATAACAGGAAGCATGGCTACAAAGAGCTGTGACCACCCAATCTGTTGTTGATTGTATCTGTCTGAAGGTTTAGCTACACTTCGGGGACCAAATTGCCTACAGAAGTTAAATCTGACAAAGCCTTCTTCTGGGGATGTCCCCACACAAGTTAAAAAAAAAACTTTTTTATTATACTACTCTATGACATAAAACACTTTATATGACTAAGTAAGCAGCCAGGAGGGCGTGGAACTCTCACATCTGCAGAACATCATGATGTACTGCGAGCGTCGACGTCACAACGGAATTCCGCATTCTAAAAACAGCCTGTGGATCCAGCTTGGAGCTCTTGTGTGTGTGTGTGTGTGTGGCAAGCTGTGTAAACATTTCGCCTGATAACTTTACAGTGTAATATTATTATATAGCCAACTACGTCTTTTTTTGTATTACTAATAGGTAAGCTTGTTTCAGCCAATGAAAAAAAAATATTCAAAAGTAGGTCTAATCGCGACCTTTTTTCTTATGACTGAGTGATATCAGAGAATGTCTGGTGATATACATGGATTTCTCGGCGACGTCATCACTGCTGCTTGCGCACGCAACCAGGGGCAAAACACCTGCGGTCTTATTATTTTGTTTTTTGTTTCAAACGAAAAAACAAACTATCAAAACGTACACGGACCGTCTTCGTACCTGAGTAAAGGGTTTAGCCTAGTACCATAGTGGTGGTGTTGTCGCTAGTGAAGAAACCGGAATGGTTGTGGCCCGTCAGGCCCGATCATCGGCCGGAACCATATATATACGACCAATGTTTCCACGCGAACCCCTTTTGATGGTGCACCAGCTCACGGGACTCCCGTATCAAACAAACAAACAAAAACAACGGTAAGAATAAACTTAAACTAAACGTTAAAGAGTGTGCGCACTTAACTCCAAACGAACGTTTAAATAAAGTTTATTAAACCAATATAATGTTGTGTATTCTTTACTGTAAACAAATTCCATTAAATAAAAAGTCAAACTGACCTGACCCAGGCTCACCAACATCCGCCACAGTCACGTCTAGTCTTAACAGCTTTTAGTGATATCGTTCAGGAACCGTTAACTATGAACTAAATTAATATTGTTATTACTTGTAGAGTTACCGGACATTTTCTCACCGGATCCCAACTCCCAACATGCACAGCTGCACACGCACACACATCTGTAGCCTACATCAGCGTTACATTATCTCATCCCATCTCACCAACAGTTTAATACTCGCACATCCAAACGTAGTCAGAAAAGGGCCTCATCTTCTTTCTGATCGCATGAACGTTACGAAACAACAGTCGCCCACAAATATGTGTATCAATAATTTTTTCTTTTTTTATATTGTTTTAAAAAAAAACATCACATAATAACCCATATGGCACTGTCAGAGTTCAGAGAAGGAACGGACTATTTTCTTTAGCGGAAGCAATACAGTCATTTTTAAATCAATAAACTGCTTTTTAAATCAATATTTTGTTACATTATTGATTTATTTGGTAGGTTGCCATCATGTAATAAGCGGGATAATGTATAGTGAATACAAAAAGCTTAAAAAATTAACAACCGCATCGCTATACATTATCCCTTACATAGCCTATATTATATTTTTATAGATAGCCTACTGACTGTACACATCACATACTGTGACTTGTTGTGTTTAGTGCAGTTGTGACTGGCTTATAGAACCGAGGCAGGTATCATCCTAAAATTTCTTGAATGTCTTCAGTGTAATCTGATTCTTTTTATACAATAAAAACACTATTAGAATTAAAATAACTGCAAAAAAAAATCCCTCTGCACGTGCACCAAGGTCACTCGCATAAAAGGCCTCTCCATCTTAAAGTCCCCGTGAACCGGAAGTTGCAAACGATTTTTCTCCAGTGCTGTGACGTATTTCCAAGTGAAACGGAATATTGAACAGAGGGCAGGGTTTTACTCTAGCGCTCCTCTTCTCCATCTCTCGCTCATAGCAAACTAACGGTTTGAGGGGAGTGGTTAAGCGTTTCCCCACCCAAGTTGTGAAACCTACGTCATCAGAAAAAGAAACCGTTCCAGACCGGAAGTAACTTTTCAGATTTTGATTAAAGATTACCAAGGTAAAACATTTTTTAAATATATTTTTACTTGCACAGATTAATTGTTCACCACAAGACTAGTTGTAGCGACAATTGACCATCTTGTCACTCAGAGGTGTTTGTAGGGATATCTGACGCGTGGCTCCTAAACAAACTCACTTCAGTCCAGTACTTCATTTACACAGTTTATTTTGGTTTCAGCTCAGATGCTCAAACAGCTTGCCATCACCAGTTATCATGTCCTCTCTTGATCTTGACACGGTCAAAAATTGTTTGCTTCCCATTACACCTGGCTTCTCTTACTCGTTGGTTACCTTTATACCAGTGGCGGCTGGTGAAAATTATAGTAGGGGGGGCTGAATAAGAGGGGGGTCTGGGGGTTCCCCCCCAGAAAATTTTGAATTTAGTAGATGTGATTTCCTGCATTCTGGTGCATTTTAGGCCTTAGGCCATGCCCTTACCTATACCAATAAAATAACTTAAACCAGTCAATACCAATGGTCAAATAATACAATAATAATAATAACAGTTTGACAGTTAATGATAATGAACAAGTTGAATGTTTATTATGCTCTGTGTGCTGACAGAAAAAGTGCAAATGCATAATATTGATAAATTATAATATAGGTAATACAAAAAATAATAAGTAATACAACAATCTAGTTTAATCAATCCCCAGCTGTAGACTATATATTTTTGACAATTGGATAATGGATAACAATGTGTTGATACTAGAGAAAGAGAGAGAGAAAAGGCTCTGAAAAAGAGGGTGGGACAACGTTCTTGATTGTAACACCCAAGTATGAGAAGAAAGTTGATTTTAACACAGTAATCTAGCTCAGAACTTAAAAACATCAAAAACAAAGCAAACACACAGGTATTAATATTCCTATAACTATTTTAATATCAAATGTGTGTGAAACAGTGTTTATGTGTGTGTGAGTGAGTGAGTGAGTGAGTGAGTGAGTGACAGAGACAGACAGATCAATTCCCACGACTAACTTTACATTATTTCCACTCGACGTCACTGGCGCTGCCATTCTGCTCTCATCTGAGGTAAAAAAAAAATGTCCCGTGGTGCGCGTGCACGGTGCACTCCCCTAATCTGATACTGTGGGCGATATTTTCAGCGCCCCCAAACCATAAAATTTGACGGCGCTGATTGGCGAAATGTAAACTTTTTTGCATAGCAACCGGGGAACCATGGCTTAAATTCCAAAACTGTGGGGCTGAGCGAACTGGCGCCCTGAGAAGACAGCCTATTGGCTATACTACTACACCAACATGATAAAAGTAACGAAAGTGAATGCAAATATCATTCTGGTGAGTTCAAAACACTTTTAAAAGTAAAACCATTATTAGCATATAATTAACACAGATTATTTTTCAAAATGATAAATTATAATATATATTAAAAAAACAGACAAACAGGTCGGAGGGAGGGCGGCGCCCCAGCGCCCTCTATGGGCGAGCCGCCCCTGCTTTATACCAAATAAAACCCATACTCCACCCAGTGTTCACCAGTGGAAATACAACAGACATTAAATGAACATAATGGCTCTTACACTAGTAATATGCGCTAAAAAAGTAAATAGGTTCAATTTTGATTTCACGGGGACTTTAAAGTCCCGGGCTGAATTTCAGTCTCAGTACGTTAGAGTTTATTCACCCATAACAAATGTACATAATATCAGAGTTTTAAAATCAAACATTTTAAAAGAGAACAATATATCACTGTTGTTTAAACCAATGAGCATTAAGCTGTGTCGTCAGCAAGTCGTTTCCCTTCACGCAGTCAGTGGAGAGCAACTGCGCGCGACTGCAGAAGCCGACACTTCCGCCTTGGTCCTAAGCCTTCCACAGATGATTTATATTTATAAAAAATACATAAAGACTGCTTAACATATTGCTATCAGGATATGAGGAGACTTTCAACCAGCATAACAAAAATGTTTCTGCAGTGAATTACTTGCATGTAGGTTCGCCTCAGGATACTAGTAATTTCAAATGAATATTAAAACGGCTTGCCATAGCTGAGGCTGCTGGTGTGAAGCTCGTGTGAATATGTGTTTCTCTCTCTGGCCGGAGCTCTACTATAGGCGGAAGTTACAGGCGTTTTGTGTTGATCTCTTCAGCTGAGAAAGTGAAAATCATCGTAAATGATAAGCAGCAGGCGTTTTATAACGTTTAAAACCTCCGCGCATCACATAAGTGGACGCGGTGGCTTTATTTTCCCTCATGCATTTGCAGACTGCGCTGGTTGTCGTCGATAAAGGCAGACTGGCATATTTATTGAGTTTGATGTCTGGTTAGATGGTCAGATAGTGACGCTCATTCAGTAACTTACTCGCGCTTTGATCGGAACGTTTGGACATTTTGTTACAGTGATTCATTGTAGTGCGTTTCCGACTCTGATACACTGTAGCGGAGAGAAGAAACATTCACTTTATTCAGTGATGACTCGATTGGGTTTAACATAACTGCCAAATCACATATGTGACTTTCACAACAACCGATCTCGTGGAGCATTTTCTCTTTGAGCTGGATTTTCCATTGGAACCGACAGAGATGGCAGACAGCGGTCGGATGAAGATCGACAGCCCAAGCTCGAGCCCCGGACCCGGGAGGAAAAAGGCGCAGCAGTCGCCCGGTTCAAAGGCGCGGTACTCTGTCAACGCTCCCGGACACTGCTTTCGAAAAGTGACCCTGACCAAACCGACCTTCTGCCATCACTGCAGCGACTTCATATGGGGGATTGTTGGGTTTGTTTGTGAAGGTAAGAATCTTCACTTGGTCGGCATGTTTCATTCAGCAAAGCAATGTCAACAAAGTGCTCTTACTAAAAACAACAAAACTGCTGTGGTAGAATTATGGCACATAGTGATGGTATTAGACGACACTATTATGGTAATTTGCTATGTACCTTACTAGTATTGGATGAATACTCTCATAAACATCCTAAAAACACAATATTTGTCAGAATATATTTGGGGTCATTTGACTATTTCATTCAAAATGCAAGTGCTTGTGTTCCAAATTAAAATTTGCCCATACCACTTTGATTGACAATTTTGATTGGCAGATTGTTATCTGTGCACGTGCCATCCTGGAAAGGGAAGGGATGAAGAAGGTGTGTTAGAAAATATATGGAGGATTTCAAGCAAATCAGTCTCTCCCCTCTACACCTCCCTCTTGACAGAATCGAATCGCTTGTCTACTAACATGGGGAAGACAGATTGATGCAGATCGATCCAACACACTCCTCCTGTTGGACAGGAATCTGTGCGGACACTTTGATGAGGTCCATCTCTAATTGATGGAGGCCGGTGAGAGTGAGAGAAGATCTGTACCATTCTCACTTCTGTTAGTTAGATACTAAGCGTCAGTTTTGTTCTTTACAGAGCTGCTCAGTTGGGTAAACAATAAGCTAGTAGCTCTCTTTAGATTAGGCTTTAATTCAAACCAATGGACAATCCGTCAACAAATCTCTAATGGCTCATTGATCACCTTTTGCAGTATCCAAACCTATAATAGCCCAGATTACAATGAGTTATAAAGTGCAGATCAACATGCATTCCCTTATTCACTGATAAACTTCCCAATTCCCATCCAGTCAGTTGTCAATGACTGCGAACAAATAATTGAACAAATGGGCTAGGTCAGGGCAGTTAGCAAATTAATCATTTGCGTCTTGTCATAATCTCAAATGAAAGCTAGGGTGGATATCAATATTTTCAACACAAACACAAAGTAAGACTTGGAATATAGTGCCATATGAGTCACATGGACCACTTTTATGATGCTTAGTTTTGGGTCCTTTATGATGCTTGACAGTTTTTATTGTAATCATAGAAGAAAGCATTTTTTTTCCCTTTTGTATTCAATACTGGTGTAGTAACCCATGGCCTTGTAGAACCTATGATATAATATCTTCTCTAAAGACCAGTCAGAGTGTAATCTACGCCTGAGCTTATTTCTTTTGACTCTTTATGAGGAGCCATCACAAAGCTGCTGATCTGTAGGTTTTAAACATTTATGGTCTGCAAATGACTTCAAAATGAATCATTGATGGGGCCAAATCCCCTTCCATCTGATTTCTATACGGATATTTATTTTCTTCATACATATAGAGGTCATGTAAACTAGATCAGCCGGTTTTGTCCCTTTAAAGCCTGTTGCTGTATCCATAGGGAGAAATTAATCCACAATGCTCTGCTATTCATCAAGGTTTCACCACAATTCCTCTATGAATGATTATGGCAACAAGCAGCATTACTTTAGAGACAAGTGGACTGGATTTATGTCGCCACATGAGATTGTCATGGCAGGGAAAGCAGATGTTGATTGACAATGTGGATGTTACCAGGCAGAGTTAGGCAGAAATGAGACGTTTCTGTTACGTAATGTGCTGCAGCGAAGTCGTGATTGACTCTTCCAGGTTGGCATGGCAACACGTAGTCCATTGGAGCAAAGCGGCGGACTGGATTCTGTAGCTAGACAGACCGAACATAAACACACATGCATGCTCTATGTTCTAATGCTCATTGTGTGTTTATTGCACTGGTGAAGAGACTTGTAACGTGCCAGGCTCAGACTAATGAATTCATGTCATTATATATTCATTACTGTTGCTATTAATGCAAGACATGACTAGTAGGGGTCAAATTATATAATCCTGATAATAAATATGTACTTAATTGAATTTCTAACATAACATTATTTTCTATTTGGAATAATTATTCATTCTATGAATGTTAGAAATGTAATAATTTAGGGTAGATAATGTTTTTCATAAAACGTCACATCCTAGCGATCAATAATAGAAGTATGGTCTATATAGACCATATATTTAGGTTATATGATAACCTTTATTCTATAATATGACGTTTAGCCTCGATGAACCAATAGCAGCCTTCAAATGCGTGAGCAGAAGTTGTATTGAAATGCCGTGAATTTCAGTTCGTCCTTCATTCTAACTTCTTTTGCCTCACCTTACTAATGGTAAAAATAAGATCCATTTAATACAAGACTTTTTATTTTTTTTTATATATATATTAAATTACATTCAGTTTCAGAAACTGTATTGGAAATTAAACACAGCACACAGCAGCACTGTTTAGGACGAGGATAAGCGAGTGTAAATGTCATCATTATGCCTATTATATAGCCTATGTCTAAAGAATTGAAGTCTGTCAGGTAAAAGAAGAACTTATTGATGCAGTTCAGTCTGATATTTGATTACAAACGTTGCCGTAAATATTTAGTTGGAACGTAGAGTTTAAACTAAGTTTAATGGTGCAACATAAAAATATTTAGTTGTGCGTAAGTTGTAACTTAGTGCCCATTTACTTCAAAACTAGGCTAAGTTGTAATTTGCGCACAGTTGTTTACTCTCATTAATATTGTAATGTTATGTGATTTGAGAAATGTGTGTGATTTAACGTCGTCTCTCGTTATGCTTTGCAGATTCTGGCTGTGAGTGTTCATGCGTTTTGAAGGAGGCGTGGCTTTGTAGAACCTCTGAAGGGAGGGTGGGATCGTATGCTTTCAAAACTAGCTTGCTTCAGTAGCTTTTTTCAATCGTCGTGGATGTACAATAGGCTCTATCAATTTTTTGAATATTGTTTAAATTAACAAATGTAAAGGAAAAAAAACTTTTTAAAAATGTATTTTGTAAAATTTTTACTTATCAAAAAATGTGCATACATAATTATTACCTTATTTACAGCAGTACCATTTTTAACTGGAAAAAAGGCTGTGGAGGTTGTGAGGATAGACAGGATAAATAGGGTTTTTCTGTTATTTGATGTGTTTTTTGACTGCAAAAATATCTTTCCAATTGATATCAGTGGACAAACCCCCTTATTTGTGATCTAGGAGCTTTATACAGCTTTTTGCAGCGGATGCCATTGATAACACGGTCTAATCAAGTTTATCCCTCACAGCCTCGCTTTCATACCGGACAAAGCGCAGCTCTGAATAAAGTCTTTTTTTACAATACTATTTAAATAGGATTAGAACTGAAAAAAATTCATGGCCAAAATTCTTTGTTTATGTCAAAGTATTATTATGTGTTTCAGCTAAGCTATTTGGTCTACCGTAAAAGTATTTTTAACCTAAACGTATTAATTTATACCAACTAAACTTAATTAGCAAATTAAATGGAGAAAATCTTGAAAAAAAGGATATATTTTTTTTATTTTTGCAATTAACATTGGAAACCCTGGCTAAATGGTCACTAGTGTGACTAACAGTTGCATGTGTTCATATGACATATGTATGTGTTGATTAAGAATATATAAACAGAGCAGTCTTTGTTTCTAACTGTTTCTGATTTCTCAAGCGTGGTGGACTTTACAGTGTGCATGAGAACGCGCCTGTGTTACGTTAAACTTTAGAATGTTTTCCTTGCTCTTGTGGTTGTGATAGTGAGAGGAGCTCACCCTGGCCAGCGAGATCACTTCCTGCCTCTGGTTAGCTTGAAAAACCAACAAATGCATCAGTCTGTAGTGAGGGCCAAAGTAGGCTCTGAGAGCAGCATAAATTGGGCACACAGCGATCCAGCAGTCACCGACCATAGAGACAGCCAATCGGTGCGGTTGTCCTTGGTGCGAATTGTTCTCTTGAGCAGTAAATGCTGCTGCTTGATGTTTGGAAATCTTCCTGAAATTTTGTCTTGTCATAGATTGACCTTCCCTTATATAAGCATTACTTTGTTTTTATGAGCAGTCCAACAGGTCGATTTTTCACTCCACAAATGAAATGAGTTTCGGGCAGAAATTCTTGGAAGAGTGGCAGATGGGTTTGGGAAACCGGTTTAATTACAAGTGCTTGATTTTGCTATAAATGATTTGTTTTTTTCCAAAATACAAACTGACATTGGCTCTAAATTGTGAAAATTATGATGACATGGTTGTGAATTCACTGCTGAAAAAGAATGGCAAGTTTTCTTTTTGCTAAAGCTGCTGTACCTGCATAACCTTGGCACCATAATTCTGTGGCCCACACTAAATCTCTCTCTTTCTCTTTCTCTGCAGTGTGTAACTTCATGTCACATGAGAAGTGTTTGAAGCACGTCAGGACTGTGTGTTCCTGTATGGCTCCCACACAAGTTCGGGTGAGTGACACGTGCCACACATCTGATTAAGAACCGACAAACATCAGTAACTATGAAAGGAAACATGCCCTAGTCATATTTTACTTAAAAAAATAAAATAAAATTAAAGAAAAAAATGCTTGAAGAACATTATTTTCACTGAAAAGGTTTTTGCATTGTGCCTTTTTTTCTCGCAACTAAACTCAAAATTCTTCTTACTGCAACCAAAAATCATTACTGTAATACACTCTAAAACATGCTGGGTTGTTTTAAACCAACTTTGGGTCAAATATGGACAAACCCAGCCATTGGGTTACATTTTTTAATTACATTTTTAACCAAAAGTTTGGGTTTGTCCATATTTGACCCAACGTTGGGTTAAAACAATCCAGCATTTTTTAGAGTGTATATATTATGTTTTTTTTTTTTCATAACTAAAAAAATACTCCGTTACAACAATAATGAGAATCTACTATGAATCACTATTCAAATTGAATAATTAAATCTTCCTGAAAAGTCTATCATATGGATGCAAAAAGTATTAATTTAATTAATTTAAATTAATTAATTTATAATTTTTTTTTAATATAAAAATATTAATTATGCTTAATTTTCTTTGTAATATATATGTTACTACGACATGATCTTGAGATTGATTGATTGATTATTTATTGACTCATCCATCCATATAAGACACTGTGAATATTACACTTACACACATAAGGCAATACAAGGTTTATTTACTCGGACATCCCACTAACAACATTATTGAGGCATCACGATCCTGGATGGATGCTCTGATAACACAGGACATGAAGTCTCGAACAATTATGCTGTTAATGAAGAATGATCAAACTGTTTCGTAGGGTATGATCATGCAAGAAAGATCATAATTTGCAGCTGACGCTTACCTGTCGTCTTCGTGGCATTGCATTACAAACAGGAAGTGCAAGTGCATTTTGTCCTGAATCTACATTAAATAATTTAGTCCTCGTATACTGACTGGAGCTGTTTCGCTCCGTGACACAACAGTCAGTGACCAGCCTTCATAATGAATTACTGATGACTTCCTGTCGCGTTGTGGTCTTTCATGAAGGCCAGCTGTCAGCCAGCCTTTGTGCCTTTGACAGCAGCTCATTTGGCAATCTAGAAGAGCTGCTATCAGCCTAGACCGGAAGTTGTTTTGGCCCATTGTACTCGCTACAGATTATAAACACAATCTATAGTTGATAAACTCATTGTACTGATTTGATGCAGGTCCCGATCCCTGTGAATTTTAGAAGTGGCCTTGCTGATATGAACATATTGTGTTGGCAGGCTAATTTGGTTTATTATACTTTGCTCTGAAATAATTGACTCTGATTGGTTAGTCACATTTGAGAATTTCAAATTAATTTAACTTTTTTTTAGCAATTAAAATTTTGTCAGAACCTATAGAAAACGTTGTTATTTTGTTTAGTTATCTGTTCTTTATCCTTGGAGAATCGTAATGTCAGTTTGAAACAAAAATATTGTAATTGTTAATTTTTCTGCAGCTCTAGTGCTACTTTATTGCATTTTGTATCGTTCCGTAGTCTTCATATACAGATGCCGTAGCTACGGTAACTACGGTGACTACGGTAACTAGTCCATAGGGAAAAAAAATCTAAATTAATAATTATATATATATTATAATAATGTAACATTGTTTCAGTGTTCGTCCATTGTCATTTTAATATTATTTATATAGTATTATTGTGTTTATTATTATTTTGAGTATTATTATTTGTATACACTTTATTTGTATATAGCTTTAATAATTTTAAGTTATTTTAGTACTTAAACTCATTTATTTCAGTTAGTTGCCAAGGCAACATTTAAAAAAATAATTTTTTATCAATATATATATATATATAAGGGCTGTGCAAAAATTAATTGCGATTAATCGCATCCAAAATAAAAGTCTGTGTTTACATAATATATTTGTGTGTGCTGTATATAATTATTTTGTATATATAAATACACACACATGCATGTATATATTTAAGAAAATGTGTTATTCATATATAAAATATTTATATTTATATAATATAGATTATGTATTTATAAATATATACAGAATTTAAGCGCAAATAATTCTTAAATATATACATGCATGCATAGGTATTTATATATACAAAATAATTATATACAGCACACACAAATATATTATGTAAACACAGACTTTTATTTTGGATGCGATTAATCGCAATTAACTTTTGCACAGCCCTAATATATATATATATATATATATATATATATATATATATATATACAACAACACATCAAAGACGCTCGCAGACCAGCTTGCTAGATATCCAGAGCTGTCGCGCAACTCAACCTCAGTGATGTCATGAGCTCCAGCCAATCAGAGCAAAGGCATGGGTTGAGGTCACCGGGTAAATCTTATTTTTTTTTTTTTTTGCATTTTTTTTTCTCAGAGCAAATCATCGCGCGAACAGTTTGAAACACTAGTTTCTGTCTGACGTCCATATTCGCATGTTGTGTTCTTCTCTTTTTCGCTGGGTATTGACGCACGTGCCGTTTTGCGCCGTTTCCGATTCGTCTTATCGCGTGATTTTTCGTGACAAAACGTGGTTTGTAGACAAGTTAGAATCGTTGGGTGACAGAGTTGTTGTCGTGTTGTGTAGTGCAATACCTCCTGTTGTGGATCAATCACGTTGTGTTGTGTGAGCAGCTCAACAACTTGAACTCTCCTGATTTCACTGAGAGCAAGTCATGTAGTGTGCACACCGCACAGTTCAGCCCGACGTGTGAGCAAGGCATAAGAAAACACGCCTTGCTGGTTACCAGCTATCGAAAAAAGTAACCACATGAGATGCTCGCTTCTTTGAAACTGCATCCTCTCAATGTGCTGATGCCACAACAGGGCTGAGTTCCCACCCTTTGCTTTAGCCAAATGACACAGAGGTAACACTGACCAGCCAATCGCAACAGAGCAGCCTCGGGGCAAGACAGGAGGCCGAGTCGAGCACTATGCAGCAAAACTTAATTTAGAGCAAAAGATAATGAGGTGGAACAGAAACCACTGGTCTGAATCAAAGACAGGCCCTCAGAGAATCTACTAGAAGTTTGCCTTCATGCATAATGAATGAAGAGACGAAATGCAGTGTTTTGATTCTCGTTTTCTAGTTTCTTAGGCTTAAAGAGTGGTGCATCCAGTTTGAAAAGGAAGTAGATATCACTTTTTCTCTGGCTGAAGACTTTTTTCTTATCTGTGTGTGGGTGGGTGGGTGGTGTAGGAGTGAGTCAGTCTTTGAGCCAACTGCTCCATTAACCTTTATTCAACAACTTCTCTGAACCGCATCTGAGGGAATACAAACACAACAGTCGCAACCATTCGACACTATTATTTCTGAAAGTCAAGAATATGTCCTTTAAGACTTGAGAAAGTCGTCTTTCTACTTCTGTGGATAAAAATGTAGTTAAAATAAACAAATAATTGAAGTCTTTACAGAACACATTTAACGCCTGGAATGGTACGTATTTCCATGTCAAACAGAATATTTGGCATAGTGGAAGTGGACATCATTTTGGTTGGAACTTAAGTGTTTTGACTGAGGATTGTCATTGTTTGGCTCTTATATTATTGGATAACATGATGTTTCCCTGTCTGCACAGCTTTGATAAATGGTAATTTAACCCTTTGAAGTCCGCACCAAGAAAAAAGTGATGGCATTTGTTTTATTTGCATTTCTTATTTCTTATGTCGCTACACTCTAAAAAATGCTGGGTTGTTTTAACCCAACTTTGGGTCAAATATGGACTAACCCAGCCGTTGGGTTAAATTTTTACATTACATTTTTAACCCAACATTTCGGGTTTGTCCATATTTGACCCAAAATTGGGTTAAAACAACCCAGCATTTTTTAGAGTGTAGTAACCACACTCAATGAATTTTTTTTTTTTCAACACATCCCATAATTTTTAAAATATCGGCCTCTACCAAATGGTTGAGATGTCACTTAATGGTAATAAATGGTACCGGAATTCATACACATACTTTCCCATACTTTTTCATTACCCATCATAATTTATGATCAAAACCTTAGTCTTGACAAAACACATTGTCAGAAAGGCCTCAAGTCCTCGAGTCTCAAGTTTCCATATTTTGTAACAAAAGTGATATTTGGACAGAAATTTGATGATTTGTTGCAGCAGAATGCATACAATTAAATTCAATGGAATTTATGTCATTGTTAGTATTATGCCTATAAACAATTTTTCTGATATCAACTTCAAATTTGGAACCAAACTTGGTTAGATATACACTCTAAAAAATGCTGGGTTGTTTTAACCCAATTTTGGGTAAAATATGGACAAACCCAGCCATTGGGTTAAAAATGTAATTTAAAAATGTAACCCAATTTCTGGGTTTGTCCATATTTTACCCAAAATTGGGTTAAACCAACCCAGCATTTTTTAGAGTGTATATATGGCTTTGATTTTATAGTAATTTTATAGGAAAAATATTTTGTAAAATATATATTTAAAAAAAAAAAATTAGTACAGTATTTGAGTTAATGTAAATTTAAAACCTCCATAACTTTTTTTATACTTTTATTTTTTTTAGTGTTTTTACTTCAGGAATAATCAGCAGTGTTTTCAGTTAACACAAGACTAAACTTAGGTCTTTATTCCGAAGCATACTTGGATTACAACCAAGTTTTACTAGTGCATTGTCATGTCCATTCTCAAAAAGTGGGGTGACAGTTAACCATTATGTGCCAAATCAACCGTTTGGTTGAGCATGTTTTCGAAAAATTATAAAAAATATACTATGTATATTTTATACTATTTATATAAAAAAAATTATGTCACCAAAAACAGTTCACATGGCTGGTTTATTTGTTTCTGACATCCATGTTAGAAGTGTTGTGACAAGTGCTGTTGACCGACACTGTGAAATCTAGTGGATTTTTTGGGCATAATATACCTCAACCAGATGACGGCTCAATCAGTTTGAGTTAAGTTAGGTACTCCTCTCAATAAAATATAGTGAAGTCAGTTAAAGGGTTTTAAAGTGTGGACTACAGACAGTAAATTTAATTAAATTATTCAAAAACATTTTTTAGATTAACATGTCATATACACTGATGAATTATAAACAGTAAGACCAGATACCAGTGTTCTTTTAGTATTATTTATATGCTATTAGTTTTTTTCTTCCCTTAGATTTATTTCATTTAATATTTAAATTTTATTTTATTTCAGTGTTATTTCAATCCCTAAAAAGTTTAATATTTATATTTATTTATTAACTTTTAATGTCTTTCACTTTTACTCACCATGAATATAGCCATGGTGGCTGACATGGCATTATATTAACAAAAACAATTTTTTTATATATAGTTTTAGTTACCAATAACAGCACTGCAAGGACGTTTATTAAGGAAGTAAGTATTGTCATTTTATTAGTAATTGTAGTATTTTAAGTAATTACTCACAATTTCAGTTTGATGAATTATGAATCTTAATCTGTAATATGAATATTACTCTTAAAAACCATCCAAAACAACAGCAAAAAAGAGTGAATAGTATTAAATATATCTCACCCAGAACTCAAGAACAAACAGTTTGCTTTTTAGCATTTATTCTCATCCATTTGTTCTAAAAGAACAGATGGCTACCAGAAGTAGGCTACCTCAGCAGTAGCCATTTACAGGAGCCAATCACCTTTAGGATCAGAGAGATGGCGGTTAATAACAGGAAACGAGGTCATGTCCGGTAGGATGCTCTGCAGTCTACTGTACCAACTCCCCAGGGAGAGCAAGAGCCAGCAAGGATGTGTCCACTGCAGGAGGGAGAGATGGGCCGCAGCTCAAGGACACATGCAAAGTGTGTGTGTGTTTGGGGCCTCATCAGCAGAGATTTTGAGTATTTTAGCAACCTTAAACCCAAAACCTCACCATAATGTTCATAGAATTTAGGTATTTTTTGTGCAGTGGTCTTATTTTGGTTTGTGACATTTCACATCATTATGAAAATGTAAGGCCATCCAGACATTTAAACAGCTGTTCCTTGTCTGTGAGCTCACAGACATAAGCGAGTTCGATTTCTGGAACCCTGACAAGCATCTAAATATCCTGATTTGCTTGAGCGAAGGTCAAGCTATTTTCCTGCGTATTTCCGAGTCCATAAATTCAAATCTTGAGTAAAACACCTAATCTATCCCGTCGTTCACTGAGCTGTGTGCTGTTGTGAGAATGTCTGCCCTTAAATGTCACTTTAATTTTTCACTGAAGCTGACCGGTATGCCTTGCAGCACAGAAATGGAGTTAATGTCCCCTGCCTTTTTACAGTGCTTGTATGTTAACAAATTGTCACTGGACACATTTGTAGCTATCTACCCCGAAAAAAAGACATATTATGTACAGGAACATACAGTATTTAATGCTAATATGGACCATTTAGGGCTAGATCAGGTCAAGAGTCTTAAAGGAGTAGTTCACTTTAAAAAAAAATTGCTGATAATTTACTCACCCCCTTGTCATCCAAGATGTCCATGTCTTTCTTTCTTCAGTCGAAAAGAAATTAAGGTTTTTGATGAAAACATTTGTCCATATAATGGACTTCAATGGGAACCAAATGGTTCAAGGTCCAATTGAGAGTTTCAGTGCAGCTTCAAAGGGCTTTAAACGACGGCAGGCGATGAATAAGGGTCTTATCTAGCGAAACAATCGGTCATTTAAAAAATAAATAAAAAATGTAAGTTTTATAAGCACAAATGCTCGCCTTGCTCTGTTCTGTGATGCACATTCGTGACTCTCCTGTTCAAACTCGTTCATCAAAATGAACAAATCTTTTTTTCGAGTCATGACTCGAAGGGTCCTAGATCAGACCCTTATTCATCGTCTGGTGTCGTTTAAAGCCCTTTGAAGCTGCACTGAAACTCTCATTTGGACCTTGAACTGTTTGGTTCCCATTGAAGTCCATTATATGGAGAAAATCCTGGAATGTTTTGATCAAAAACCCTTAACCTCAGTGTTTTCCTTGAATAGTTTCTCTGCGTTTCAAACTGGGGCAGGAGAAACTGGGTTGTGGAAAAATGACACACTTCACTTTTAAGAATGTTTAATGGAAATGTTCAGCAGCATAGTCATCCTAAAGGGAGTTTTCCGTCAATTAAAAGGGAGTTTTTCCTGTGTGTGGGGAAATAAAAGGATGTTTGTTTGCTTTTTTTTGCAGCGTGGCTTTGAATATGCGAATGGACCATCATGAGGCAGTGCAAGATATGGCTCTCTAGATTTTGCTCATTCTCACTACCCAAAATGCATTAGATGTTTGGTTTGGTGACATAAAACTTTTAACCGCTAATTCACCACCCCAAGGAAATATTTGTAGAATTGTTTACAAACCTGCACATCAAACCAAACCAAAGACCTGGAGATATTTATCCAGAGTCACAGTGCCGCCCATCACGAGTGAGAGAATGGGAAGGAGATGGCAGAAAGGCTGACTTCTCCTCCCCCCGTTTCTGTGCCGTCACAATCTTCTGTGTGATTCACAATGTGTTCCCGTGAAATCAGTCGTTACAGATGGGCACACGCATCATGACAGCCCAGCTGGGATTTGTCACCATATCTCTTCACTATATCAGAACATCTTGCTATGGGTTTTGGGTAGTTCCAGACAGGCTCACATTTATATTCCAGATAACTGGATGTCATTTCGCTGGATTCTAGTTTGAAGTTGTAATCTTCACAATATGATTCTGTTTGATTTATATTTTTTTGTTGTATTCAATAATGATTCGAATGCTGTTTATGTGATCCGTGATTCATTTAAACTTGGACAGAGTGGTCAAGTGCTACCTGATTGTGATTTTGACAAATGCAATTGCATGTTAGATGTGAAGAGAGCCTCTGTAGGAAGTAAATGCGTGTTCTCAGGCCATTCCCCCTTTCTTTGAGTGCGTGTAATTGTATATGTTTGGTTAAACAGGTTAAACACTTTTAAATATAAAGCTTGAATGCACTAACGCCTTCAGAGGAAGGATTGGGTTTCAGTGTTGTATTACACTCTTTTGCCAATGTGTAAACATCCAACGCACATGGCACCCTTTACCGTCAATATGAAACACACATATATATATATATATATATATATATATATATGGGCCAGAAGGCGCCTCCTAGTGGTCTAACCCTAACCCTACCCCAGACCTAAACCTACCCATAACCGAAGCGTTATATTGACGCTAAAGGGTGCCATGTGTGTTGGATGTACACACATTGGCAAAAGCGTCAGTATATGACGCCTTGAGATGAGAATGCGTTGGTTATTTCAACCCAAATTTGGGTAAATATGGACAAAACCAAATATTGGTTTAAAAATGTAATTAGAAAATGTACAGTTGAAAGTGAAAGTTGAAGTTGGGTTAAAATTGTAAATTACATTTTTAACCCAATTTTGGGTTAAAAAAAACAGCATTGTTTAGAGTGTATGTTCACTTTTATCGTATTGTGCTTTACTGTACACTGAAACAAAAAAATCTAAATATGGCCCATGCTTAGTAGGGGTATTATTCCCATTCCTTCATTTATCATTAAGACATATACTGTACATTATAACCTTCCTCTATTATATTTATATACATCTGTCTATTTGTGGTCTGTGATGCTGGTACATGAGGTCAAAGGGAAAAGAAATCAGCTATTTAAATCCTTAAATACTCTACTTCCCTCCCCCAGACGGGAAGGAAGTATGGGCATCTGCGCACTTTCCCACCATTCAGACCACTCAGACAGGAAGTGATGTCACATGGAAGCACGCATCTACCGGTTTGCTCCCTGATACATGATTAATCCATTAGTGATGTCTGATTTGGGACTTATAGTATGATTAAGCCAGTTATTTCAGACTTTTCTTGTTGACCTGACCTTCATTGAAACATACTGATACTCTAAACTGAATGAAATGTGAATGAAATTAGGTGAGTTAGTTTCAGTGTGGATCAGGGCAATGTGCCCTTCGGAAATATCGTAGTTACCAATTCTAAGCACATGAATGACTAAGAAAAATTCTGGGAAACGTTTTAGATGATGTAAGTTGGAAGGGGTACGTCTATTTGAAACATGGTGGAAACCAGAAACCCTGATCTATAATATAGAAGATACATCTAACAATCTTTATAGAGATCTGTTAGTGGAAAGCAAATGTTAATTTCTCAACTTTCACAGTTTGCTTCACGTTTAAATGGGATACCACATAGATAGTTAAATTTTGTTTAGGCTGCTTCTACTTTAGCCTACTTTCTGACTTTGATTTTATTAATCATCATGCTTCTCCTTGTTTGTGGTCCAGGTTCCTGTAGCACATTGCTTCGGTCCTGCTGGTCAGAAAAAGAGGTTCTGCTGTGTTTGCCGGAAGCATCTGGAAGGCAGTTCGGCTCTGCGCTGTGAAGGTGTGTGAGAGTGTGGAGGAGGATGTTATAAATTAAGAATAAACTAAGTGTTGATTATAACCTAAACTAATTTGGGCTCATATGACTATTTTTATTTTTCTCTGGCCAAATTGATGCATTTAATGCAAATTAGTCATTTAGTGCAAATAGGTCATTTAACCCTCTGGGGACTAAGCCCTTTTTGGTCCGTTTTCTCTATTTTTTCATTTGGGCTTATAAACTATATATAATGGAGATGGAACACTATGTGTTTGGTATCTATGGATTCAGAAGACCATGAGCTAACATAAACATGCATGTAATGTGTTTATTAATGAAGTATGTGTAATTGTTAAATAAAAAGAACAATAAAGAACGGTTTGACTTAAAAATATCAAAATTGAAAATACTGCGTAAACAAAGACACCTACATCTTGGATGCCCTTGAGGTAAGCTAAAACATATCAAAAATTTATTTCAAAGTGAACTATCCCTTTAAGCACTCAAAATATAATTTCTGGGGACTAAGCCCTTTTTGCTCCGTTTTCTCTATTTTTACATTTGGGCTTATAAACTATATATAATGGAGATGGAACACTATGTGTTTGTTATCTATGGATTCAGAAGACCATGAGCTAACATAAACATGCATGTAATGTGTTTATTAATGAAGTATGTGTAATTGTTAAATAAAAAGAACAATAAAGAACGGTTTGACTTAAAAATATCAAAATTGAAAATACTGCGTAAACAAAGACACCTACATCTTGGATGCCCTTGAGGTAAGCTAAAGCATATCAAAAATTAATTTCAAAATGAACTATCCCTTTAAGCACTCAAAATATAATTTCTGGGGACTAAGCCCTTTTTGCTCCGTTTTCTCTATTTTTACATTTGGGCTTATAAACTATATATAATGGAGATGGAACACTATGTGTTTGGTATCTATGGATTCAGAAGACCATGAGCTAACATAAACATGCATGTAATGTGTTTATTAATGAAGTATGTGTAATTGTTAAAAAGAACTATAAAGAACGGTTTGACTTAAAAATATAAAAATTGAAAATCCTGCGTAAACAAAGACACCTACTTCTTGGATGCCCTTGAGGTAAGCTAAAACATATCAAAAATTAATTTCAAGGTGAACTATCCCTTTAAGCACTCAAAATATAATTTCTGGGGACTAAGCCCTTTTTGCTCCGTTTTCTCTATTATTTACATTTGGGCTTATAAACTATATATAATGGAGATGGAACACTATGTGTTTGGTATCTATGGATTCAGAAGACCCTAAGCTAACATAAGCATGCATGTAATGTGTTAATTAAGGAAGTATGAGTGAAAAATGTACAAAATACAAGAGAATTTCTAAAACGGAAATTCAATTTTTGTCATTTATTTCTGAATATCACACATCACACAACAATAGTGAACAGTTTTTGAACAAAAATATATTTGTCAAAGCCTTTGGTTGACAGACATGTGTAATTGTTAAATAAAAAGAACAATAAAGAACGGTTTGACTTAAAAATATCAAAATTGAAAATACTGAGTAAACAAAGACACCTACATCTTGGATGCCCTTGAGGTAAGCTAAAACATATCAAAAATTAATTTCAAAATGAACTATCCCTTTAAGCACTCAAAATATAATTTCTGGGGACTAAGCCCTTTTTGCTCCGTTTTCTCTATTTTTACATTTGGGCTTATAAACTATATGTAATGGAGATGGAACACTATGTGTTTGGTATCTATGAATTCAGAAGACCCTAAGCTAACATAAACATGCATGTAATGTGTTTATTAAGGAAGTATGAGTGAAACATTTACAAAATACTAGATAATTTCAAAAACGGAAATTCGATTTTTGTCATTTACTTCTGAAAATCACACATCACACAACAATAGTGAACAGTTTTTGAACAAAAAATATGTTTTTCAAAGCCTTTGGTTGACAGACATGTGTAATTGTTAAATAAAAAGAGCGGTTTGACTTAAAAATATCAAAATTGAAAATACTGCGGAAACATAGACAGCTACTTCTTGGATGCCCTTGAGGTAAGCTAAAACATAAAACATATCAAAAATTAATTTCAAAGTGAACTATCCCTTTAAGCACTCAAAATATAATTTACCTTATTTTAATATTTTTTTCCCCCCAAACTCTTGGTCTTGGTCTAGGTCTTTTCTTTTTTTTCTGTTATTGCTCATTTGTCTCTGCTGGCTGTTCCTGTTTGGAAAGCTGCTGTTTCCATGGAAATGGCAGAATGGCCTTTTGCAGTGGGCTGAATTCTAAGAACTGAGCTGAAAAGAAAAACATCACACTCCAAATCTCTCTTTCTATTTCTCTTCCTCTCGCACATACAAAAGGCACAAATGAAGCTCACAAGGAAAGTCGATCTTCAGTTCCCACACTCACTCAAACAGTTGCTACAATAATATGAATTAAGTGGCTTTTTCCTCTATTAGGCTTGCAACACGTCACAGGCAGTACTAATAGTGCCCGTGCTAATAAAATGAAAATAACAAATGTTTCACCTCAGATGATGCTTGCTTAGTGGGTAAACCACATAAAGACACTCCCTATTCTTTCAATAACCTTACCTCACGTGTCTTTCAGTGTGTGAGCTACACGTCCACAGCGACTGCGCCCCGTTCAGTGTTAGCGATTGTCGTGTCTCTCATCAAGATGGAGGGCAAGACATTGTGAGTATGAGAACCAGGACTGCACCATCTCTTTCTGATATATTAACCTGACATTTAAAGGCTGACCTCAATTTGAAAAGTAATTGAATGTTTTATAGCTTGTCAAGCTTTTCTTCACACTTTAAATTATGTTGTTTGGTAGATTTTAATTACATCAGTACTGATTCACACTGCATGTTGCCTACTTGTGATTGCACAGCGTTATTGCTGTCTACACATTTGGGAGCTTAAAAATACGGCCTTCGAAGGTAGGGTGGCATCAAAGCACGTCCGAATCCAATGTTTGCGTCTTTACTTTTTTCCTATCAACTGAAATGCCTTCATCTGATCATTTTTGAAGGCAGCATAGAAGTACTTAGCTGCCTTTGATATCCCACAAACCTGTGCTTTCCGTTCTGTGACAGTTGAGCTAAAAAAAGAAATGACGGTAGCATCTGAAAGTTGTGGTTGGTGGTTAATTTGTGTGTAAATGTACTTTATTGGCCAACATTTTCCACTTTTGATGTCATTTCTTGCGAGTAATTACTATTGTAGTAATTAAATGTATGCTTCGTTCTTACCAATGATTTGTTGTAGATCATTAAACCATTATTCTACCTCACGAGGTACCTTCGTGTGCTAAAGTCATTACCTATAGGGCATTAAGGCATTATAGGTAACACTTTACTTAAAGGGGTGTGCATAAGACTAACATGACATCGTCATAATCATGATATGACACATGTTATGAAATATGAATATGAAGGAAGTTTTATGCATGTTTATAACAACTGTCATTAAGTGTCATTCACTCGATTATTACATTTTGAATGCAAATATGACATTGTTTGAGATGTCTTTGTTATGACACCTTGACATGAACCAATAGATCACAACCTGTCTGTCTTAGTAATGTCAAGTTGTCATGACAAAGACAAACACAACCTGTCATAAACATGACATAGCAGATTAATCATCAAACTTAAGAAACCACCTAGCTCAGTAGTTGAGGTCACGAAAAATATTCATGACGCACTTATAATGGCCTCATGACAGCCAATCACATGACGGTTTGACTTAATTTTATGTCAAGTTGTCATGACAAAGACACTGACAGGTTATGATGTTATGGTTTGTCAAGATGTCACAACAAAGACATCTTAAACAATGTCATATTTGCATTCAAAATGTCATTATTGAGTGAAAGACACTTAATGACAGTTGTCATAAACATGCATAAACTCTATTTCATATTCATGACATTATAGATCAAACTCTAAATTACAGCTAAAAATTCAGAGGGAAATGTTTGGTCGATAAGAATGTTGTTCAATCCCAGCAAGCATTGTTGATCCAGGAGCATATCCTGGGTAAATCACATCTCTATTATTGCTCTAGATTGTGGCTTTTCTTAACCCATCATCTCCTCCTGTTCTGATAGGACACGTACCAGCATCACTGGCGGGAGGGCAACATGTCCTCTGGTGCCCGTTGTGAGTTCTGCCGTCGCACCTGCAGCTCCTCAGACGTCCTGGCTGGCATGAGATGCGAGTGGTGTGGCGTCACGGTGAGTGTTTGTTTCTCGTTTTTACAGTGCACCCAAACTTTACTTGTCTTGGCATTCAACGCTTTCAGTTTGCCTGTATTCATCGCACAAACATCTTCATTATTTAGTCATAAGAATGAAGGTGAATGGGCTCTTAGGCTGTCGTGTCTCAAAGAATCGATCAATTATTTAACAGGATGCAATATGCGATGCAGCTCTTTGTCAGTACTCATAAAATTGTACTTGGTCAAAGTTGAATGCAGGAAAAAAGTCTTGCTGCTTGCTGTGTTTTTATTCCTCTGGCATCTTGGAAGTTGCTGTTTTTTCTGTTGCCTGGCCTGGTTTCTTAATTTTGATTGTTGCCAGATTGCCTTTTGTTTCAAAACTAATTATATCCTATAACTAATATCATAATTATATTATGGATACCATTTTATGGCATCAAAAGGTAGACAACCTTTTTCTTTTTTCAGATCCTAAGAAAACATCTCTTCTATTTTTCACAGAGAAGGCAATCCCAGAATGCATTACTCTGGCCTGAAATAAAAAATAATAATTCCAAGATGACTGATGAATGATGCAATAGAAATGTACTTATAATGCTTAAAAGACTGAATAAAAATCATTTTTTAAATAATTTGTTAATCAATAGTTAATAGATTATCAAATGTAATTTATTCCTGTGATGCAAAGCTGAATTTTCAGCATCATTACTCCAGTCTTCAGTCACATGACCCTTCAGAAATCATTTTAATATGCTGATTTGTTGCTCAAAAAACATTTCTAATTATTATCACTGTTGAAAACAGTTTTTCTGCTTAATATTTATGTGAAAACTGTAATACATTTTCGTTCGATTTTCGATTTTCGATTTTCTAACATTGCAAATGTATGTCTCTTATCTGTCTCTACTGACTCTTACTGGTTTATTATGCTTGTTGTTAGTCATTTATTCATTTAGCTGACGCTTTTATCCAAAGCGACTTACAATTGCTATATATTTCAGAGGATTGTCTTGCTCCAGGGGTTAAGTGTTAAGTGTTAAGGGGTTAAGTGTCTTGCTCAGGGACACATTGGTGTCTCACAGTGGATTCGAACCCGGGCCTCTCACACCAAAGGCATGTGTCTTATCCAATGCGCCATCACCACCCAGTTAGTCCTTTCATAATGCCTGTATTTAAATCAGTTGTTGAATCAGCCACTTTGCACTAATTGTATGGCGATGTTCCAAATCACTCACTTCAGTTAGAATGCTGACTTAGAAGTCACCTGTCTACATCGAAGATGCCATTTTTGCAAGAGAGCCACTGTGTCAATAGAGTTACATACTGTACCAATGGCTCCCTCTCCACTTTTTCCCCAAATATTATTTTTAACAATTAAAAATAATATTTAATATGATTTATTTTATAATATTTATTAAATAAATATTATTAAATAATATTTAATAATATTAAATATTATTTAATTTAATAATATGTAATATTATTAAATAAAATGTAATATAATTTAATAATATTATTTAATCATTTATCATTTTTGCAAGAGAGCCCCTGTCAGTAGAGTTACATACTGTACCAATGGCTCCCTCTCCACTTTTTCCCCAAATATTATTTTTAACAATTAAAAATAATATTTAATCTTTTTAAATATTTTTTAATAATATTTATTAAATACATATTATTAAATAATATTTAATGATATTATTTAATTTAATAATATTTATTTAATATAATCAAATAAAATGTAATATTATTTAATAATATTAAATATTATTTTATTTAGCTCCAGGTGCTAAAACGCTCTACTCGACTGCACTCCAGCTAACACAACATGTCCCTCTGAACACTAGCCTCTCCCCAGCTCTCAAGTTTTTCAGCATGTGCTGTAGGTTAGTAGATGATGTAAGCAGTAGCGCCTGAGCAAAGGTTTTTTGAGGACAGAGCTTCGGGGTCTATATTTGAAATGGCTGTTTGCAGCTCTAATACTCTGAAAGCACAAACCTCTAGGATTTTGAGGGATTTTGAGAACAAAGGCACAAGAAAAAGATCTTATACAAGACTGTAGCTTTATTTTATTTTAGTTGTTTAGTGTGGTCGAGTGGTCAAAAATCAAGACTGGTAACCAAAAGATTGTTGGTAGAAACCAAGCCTGTCGTACAAGCCCTCAAAAGTGAAGCCAAAATGTCTCACTGGCCCCCAGTGACCGGTCCTAGTATATGTCATAAACCCCGCCTCCCTGTGTTATCGCGTCAAAGGGACGTGAGACCAACTAAACAATTAAATTACACTTCACATTTCCTATTTCCAAAGATAGTTTCTGTCATTTACTGTAGTTTCTATCACGCTGATGTAATTTAAAGATTTGTTTTTAAAATAACTTTGTTTTTAGTTAATTATTTGATGCTATAAAAACGGTGCTGTGACATCATGATTGACTGCTGTGTGAAGGAGTCTTATTAGAAAAATTGGAGTTGTCTTAAAGCTGTACTATAGCTTGTGAGCTTATCTGTGTTTATATGTTTGCAGGCACATGCGTCATGTTACATAATCATGTCTCCGGAGTGCAGCCTGGGACGACTGCGGGACATGATTCTTCACCCCAGCTGCGTGTCAATCTGCTCGCGAAACTTCAGCAAGATGCACTGTTACAGAATCTCAGAGAACTCCCAGCACGGCGAGATGGGTAATGCGGCCTAGACACTTTCCCATTATCCCTGAAATCTGAGCAGACACCTTAAAGGAATGTTCCGATTCACAACACGTTCTGTGCACAGCATCTGCATTCACACAATCATTGAGTTGATGATAAAAACGAGCAAGAAATGTGTTTGCACTTAAAGGGGTAGTCTACTTTTAAAAAAACTTTTGCTGATAATTTACTCACCCCCATGTCATCCAAGATGTCCATGTCATTCTTTCTTCAGTTGAAGAGAAATTAAGGTTTTTGATGAAAACATTCCAGGATTTTTCTCCATATAATGGACTTTACTGGGTATCAAACGGTTCCCACTGAAGTCTATTATATGGAGAAAAAAAATGCTTGAATGTTTTCATCAAAAACCTTAATTTCTTTTCGACTGAAGAAAGAATGACATGGATATCTTGGATGACATGAGAGTGAGTAAATTATCAGCAAAAGTTTTTTTAAAAGTGAACTACTCCTTTAAATATAAGTTTGGAGTAAGATTTAAAAACGTACTTTTAGCAAGGACACATTAAAATAATCAAAGATTTCTTTGATGAAAAAAAATGTTTCTACAAAAATATTAGGCAGCACCACTGTTTTCAACATTGATAATAATGAGAAAGGTTTCTTGATCACCAAATCACCATATTAGAAAAATTTAGTCGAATGAGAAAATTCAGCTTTGCCATCAGGAATAAATTACATTAAAAAAAAATATTAAAAAGGTACAATTATACAATTATAAAAATATTTCACAGTATTAGACTTATGTATTAGTATGATTTTTGCATCCTTGGTGAACTTTAAATGTCTTTCAAAAGCATGAAAATGTTGTTTCGGACTCTTATTCAGACCTTTTGTGTTATCTCTGCATGTGTCATGTCAAAGTGATAATTTTAGATATAACTTTGCACAGTTTATCAGTCAAGTTTTGTGATTACATCCATAATCGGCAAGTCTTATGGATGTGCTTTAGAAATGTTGTGGTTAATATCCCCCCTGCAGTGCCCTATAGATTTCCATTACTGGAACACATGATATTTGCTTGTTTTTACAAACTGTGAGGCATGTCACAATCGTTTTCTCTGGTACTCGACAGCACACGTCACAGACGTATTGAACTTGTATTGAACCCAGAACATTTCTTCAGTGTCAATGAGCACGATAATTATTTTTCCGTTTTAATTACAGTTTCCTTGAAAATGAGATGGTTGTGAAATTGCACATTTCAAATTTAGCCTTTTAATTCATTGTTAGACTGTCCTATTCACCTTTGAATATCAAATAACAAGATCACATGTCTGTAAATGCTCATAGAGAAGTGTGTTTTCTCCAGATAACCTGGATGAGGTCGATACTCCGAGTCCGGTAACGTCAAAGGAGACTCAGTCCACGGGGTCACCTGATGCGGGTACAAAACTGGTCAAAAAATGACATCATAATGGTAATCACACTTGCACCCAAAGTAAACTCCCATCTTTTGGCCTAGGTAAACAGACGGTTAAAGTTTTCGATGGAGACGATGCAGCTAAGCGCAATCAGTTTCGCTTGGTTTCGATCCCTCGAATAATCAAGAATGAGGAAGTAGTGGTGAGATGTTTTTTCCTTGATCAGGTTTCACCTGAATTGCAATGTATATAAATTTTACAGTGAATATATACATCAAACGTGTTTTATAAAGATCATGATTGAATAACATTCAAACTTTATTGTCAGTGGTATTCTGATGTTCCTGATTTCCGGTTCTGACAGGAAGCGGCGCTCAGAGCGTTCTTCATCCCAGATGAACCGCAGGATTATGAGCTACAGAGTTCCAGCCAACAGGGACTGTTTACAGATGACATCATCAATCGTAACGGCACCCCAGACAACAAGCCCGTTTTTAAAGACACGGTGTCTGATCCCTTGGTGCTCAGAGCAAAACCCAGAGAAACAGAAGTGGTGAAGATTTACCCCAGCTGGCACAAGTGAGCTCTACTTCTGGTTTTTTAGTGCATCATGTTCTGCCGTTTTGTTTAGTGTTCTCCGACTGCCATGCATATATTGATTCACAAGGTACCGTACAAGAATGTTGAGGAAATGCATTCTTTAAAGCAATATTTCAGGTTAAATTCAAGTTCTGTCAACAGCACCTGTGGCATGCTATTTAAAGTCAACATGAAATGGCGTTTTCACCACATATTCTTCCATAATCCAATATATATGAACTGAAATGTAATATTTATTGAGAAAAATCCTTGATTTTATATATAAGGACTTGAAACAGGGTCCTGCACGGGTTTGGGTACCCATGGGTTAAAAACTTAAAAATATATGCATATTTTTAGGAACACATCTACATAAATATGCCTGTATTTGAAGTTGATAAAACAATTTAAAAATCCATATCAGTTTATCTGTACCCTCGCAGGAGTCTCAAGGCCTACTTTTACTATTAAAAAATCCCAACCGTGCGATCTATCCGCTGTCGCCGAGATGGATCCTGGGGAGTTGAAGAAAAGAATAGCTAGTGGAGATTGTAAAGTTGGTGACAATACGTCATCAAAAGTCAGGTCCAGTGTGTGGGAGAAATTTGGAGTTATCTCAGATGAAGAAAACAATATTGTGAAAGGCTTTGCTGCTTGCAAAACCTGCCTTAAAGGAGTAGTTCACTTTTAAAAAAGAAATATGCTTATAATTTACCCACCCCCATGTCATCCAAGATGTCCATGTCATTCTTTCTTCAGTCGAAAAGAAATTAAGGTTTTTGATAAACATTCCAGGATTTTTCTCCATATAATGGACTTCAATGGGAACCAAAACGAATCAAGGTCCAAAAGACAGTTTCAGTGCAAGCTGCAAACTGTTCAAATGGCTTTAAACGATTTCAGACGATGAATAAGGATCTTATTAAGCGAAACGATCATTTTAAAAACAAAAAAATAAAGAAAAGTTTTATAAGCTCAAATGGTCGTCTTGCTCTGTTCTGTGATTCGTCTTTATGAATCTCCTGTTCATCAAGATGAACAAATCTTTTCCCGAGTCAACTCGTTCATTTCGTTCGTTGAATGAACCAAATGACATGAAAAAAGATTTGTTCATTTAGATGCGCGTTCGTGACTCTCCAGTTCGAACTTGTTCATCACAGAACAGAGCAAGGCCACCATTTGAGTTTATAAAACGTAAACGTTGTTAATTATTTTTTAAATGAGCGATCGATTTGCTTGATAAGACCGTTATTCATCGTCTGGAATCGTTTAAAGCCCTTTGAACAGTTTGTAGTTTGCACTGAAACTGTCTTTTGGACCTTGAACTGTTTGGTTCCCATTGAAGTCCATTATATGGAGAAAATCCTGGAATGTTTTCATCAAAAACCTTAATTTCTTTTCGACTGAAGAAAGAAAGACCTGGACATCTTGGATGACATGGGGGTGAGTAAATTATCAGCAAAAGTTTTTTTTTTAAATGAACTACTCCTTTAAAGTTTTCGTGTTGGATAGCCGCAAATGTGGAACTTCATCGCTGCTGAGGAAGCACGCAGATAACCAAGCAGTTCTATTGAACAGTATTTTTCAAAGAGGACAGAACTGAAGGTGAACATTTTTGTAAGCGTGTCTATAATGTGATAGGCTAAACTGATTTTATTTCGGGTGTGGGTCGGGTGTCTCTTCTGTTTTAAGTGGATTGGGTGCAGATTTTGCTGTCGGAAAATGGGTCGGATGCGGTTTTACAAAATTGGACGCGTGTAGGACTCTGCATTCATAAGGCTTGTTCGGAAATGGTTCGAAAATGAGATCAGCCGGAAATAAAGCAAGTTGGACACAAATATTGTGTTGTATGAAATCAATTTCACATTTGCAATCATGCTGATATTTGAGAAGAACAGCACGCTTGCTTGTGATATTGCTTATATTTATGTCATAGTTAAGACTAAAACATACAGAGGCGCTTGAGACGCCCATCTTGAATTCTTGAGAGCGTTCTGTATACTAATAGGCCACTCTTAGTGTCAGCTTGCACTTTGTTATATTATCGTAGACAATACATACCCGCACACCCTTATTTGGAAGACGAAATTCGCTTTATATAGGTAAGCAGAACAGAATGGAAAATGGATTTTACATATAAACACATCATAAAGAGGCTCAGTTCTTGCGTCAGAACGGAGGTTCTAGTGTACAGTTTACTTATCTGAGGGTTTTATGGCACATCAATCCGCTCGCTGCTCCAAACAAACCATATATCATCTCCTTGCATTGCAAGGAAATGGACAATAGTTGTGTCGTGTACGAGGGCAAGTGTATATGAAACCCATCAAAACACGCACTGCTCGACTGATGACAGTCTTGCTGTTGTGTGTCCAGTTGCCACGGAGATGAGGTGACAGCATCCGTGGTTTACCCAAGATGTTTTTGCAGAAAATGGATCACAAATGCTGATGGACCCTCATCGCCTACATAAACTCATCAGGGAACCTTTAGATTTATTAAAAAAGAAGAGCAGTGCCACTGAAGTGTATTTGATGAGGCGTTCATTTTGTTAACATGGGTTTGGAACTAATGAAGAATTTTATATTTTATTAACATAGGGAGGGATTGAGTCACATGCGACCAGTTAGTGAATCATAAACCAGAATCAAGTTTATGTTCTTATGTAATATTCACCACATTAAATCAAAACATTGTCAGAAGTTTCAGTGGCAGAACGGCAGATGATTTATACAGTGCCACACAGCTGCTAAATCATGGGATGGGTTGTTTTTTGATGCTTTACGCTTTCAAATGATGGTGTAATGAGGAACTTCATTGGGTTTCACATTTGTGTTTCAGGGTAGGAGTCTCCTACATCTCAGTGACTGCTGGGAAAAGCAGCACGGTAGACTCAATCATAAAAGAAGTGCTTCCACAACTAGGAAAAAAGGTAACTTGGATTTCATTTCTCAAAAATCCTGCATGTTAGTACGTACAAACAACTTATTTGTGCCACAAATGTTGATGATGCCTCAAAACAAGCATGGAAATGTGTGCCATTATTTTTTTATAAGCAATCAACCTTTTTTTTCCTTTTTTTACTGATTTTTTACCTACCACTTAGCGACTGCTTGTGGCAAATCCCACAATAGATTCTTAATAAAATGCAAAAATAGTCAACTTTTTATGCACAATTTGCATGTTAATCCTCATGTTCTTTTTGCTAATTTCTATAGAATGAAAACCCTGCTGACTTTAACCTTGTAGAAGTTTTCATGAGCAGCAAACAAGGTAAGTTATCCTACATGTATTATAATATATATATATATATATATATGTGTGTGTGTATATGTATATATATCATATTATACAGCTGTATAAAAAATTAAGAGACCACTTAAAGTCTCATAAAGTCACCCAATAGCAATATAACTGACTAATAGAGAGCATGCCAAGGTGCATGAAAGCTGGGATTGGAAATCAGGTTTATTCCACTAAATATTGATTTCCTAATTCTTCCTAAGTTAAAACATTAGTATTGTGTTGTTTAGAAATGCATATAAACTTGTTTTCATTTTCTGCAAATAAATGACAATATTTTTATTTAAAATTTGGAAAACAATATTGTCTGTAGTTTGTAGAATAAATCAAAAATGTTCATTTTCCTCAAACAGATACATATAAATAATAATTCCAGAGAAACCACCACCGCAGTGGTCTGGTAAAATAAAATTTAGAGAATAAGATTTTCTAATCAAAATGTGTTATGTTAAATCAAAACGTTTAATGTGTTTATATATGCACTCAATAATTAAAGTGTATATTTTTATAAGGAGTTTTATTTATTTATTTATTTATTTTATAGTTGACAAATACAGACCGTAATGGGAAATGTAATTTGCCTGATTTTATATATATATATATATTCTATTTCATATTAATTTAACAAACAAGTATTCATTACTTAAATATGCTAATTGTTTCTGCCTTAAATTAATAAATCCTTAGCTAACTGTATCATTCGTAGTTGTACATTTCTGAAATTACAGTTACCTCTAATAACAGATCACTCTAAATTGTAATGCGGATGCATTTTCTATAAAGCTGCTTTGAAACGATGTGTATTATGAAAGCTCTATACAAATAAATGCGAATTGAATTAATTTTGATATAATTTCCTCCAAGTACCTTAAGAATCTGATTGGCATCATGAAAAGGATTTTGGCTGAATCCTTTTCAACATATAGAACAGCTTCGAAAAATATGGAAAGGTTTCATGATATCCTAACCTTGTGTTTTTTACCGATCTTCAGTTCAAAGGCAAGTCCTCAGCGGTCAGGAGCTTTTACTGGACAAACTTCTGGAGATACGGAAGGTATGTGGGGCGGGTCATGCTGATATTGCTTGGCATTTGGAAAACACTCAAGGTGATGAGCCCTGATAAGCACAGCACGCAAATTTTACAGTGCATGTGTGCTTGTTACATACAAAAATCTTGTGAGAGCTTCTCGGTTGTCTCAAACTCTGATTCCGAGCATGTGACTTTCAGACATCGTTGCGACAGATGAATCAGACACGGTTTTACATCGAAGAAAGCAGGAATCGAACGGTGCAGGTCAATCTGATTCTGGGAGGCTTTCCGACGCAACTCGACAAAGAGGAATACTCACACCTGCTATCCGAACACCTCGCCGTCAAAAGTGAGTCTGCACATCTGTGTGTGCTTGAATGATGTGTAAGCTCTGCGATCCTTTGGATTTTAGCCGTTCGTTCCATATAAATCTCTTTGGATTCTATTAATCTTTCCATGAAATAGACAATGCTGACCTATAACTCTGACATAAGTCATCTTGTGTACTCATTGTAAGTATGCCTGATGCCACTCTGCTGAGAGGGATTAGAGCAGATAATATAGTGACAGCTGATGATTTCTTGTGATTGCATGGTTTACACTGACATATCTCATATCTCTTTCTCTCTCTTCCCCACCCAGGTCACTTGGCCACCATCTCTCACGTATACACCGGACAAGGTAAGAGTGACCACATCCATAAATCACAGGGTTCTGTGGGAGAACGGCCACAGGAAATGCATCCCTCCATTAAAGGCGACTCACAATGTCCGTGTTTGTTCCGAGTACAACTAAACTGCATGACTTTATTTGATAACACTGAAGGTCGCTGGTGCATGCTGCAGAACAGACCGCTCGCTGTGTCCATGGGCCATAATCTGGCCTACTGTCAGCGCTCTGTAAATGAAAGCCCTTGTTCTGCACACACACGCTCCGAACTGCCGGTTGTTCTCAGTCATCCACAACATGCCCACTGGCCTTGGTGCTTTGAATGCATTTATAATGTTGTTGCAGCGGCGTGTTGGTTTGTGTGGAGGTCTTAAAGTATGTAGAGGTTAACACACAAGCTCTGATACCTAGAGCTATTGCTATTCTACTCGCTATTACTTTGTGGTTGGCTATACTAGGAAAAAATGGTACTGTGGTGCATGTATGTATATAATATTATCCTAATTAAACAAAATAATATGTGTGTAATATGAACAAATATATACTGCTATTATTTATATATATTTTATTCAATTAATTTATATATAATCATTAATCTATAATGTACTGATCAAAAGTTTGGGGTCGGTGAGCAGTGAGCAATATTGTGAAATATTATTACAATTTAATATTATTGTTGTAACAATTTAAATTATTCAAAGTCAAAGTTTATTTATAAAGCACTTTTAAAAACAACAAGTGTTTGACAAAGTGCTGTACACTTGTATCCTATTTCACAACTAGTATTATTATATTGTAAAATGTATCTATTCTATTTCTATTCTATTTTAAATTTTATTTAGTTTATTCCTGTGATGGCAAAGCTAAATTGTCAGCATCATTACTCCAGTCTTCAACATAACATGATCTTTCACAAATCATTTTAGAAGCAGAAGAAAATCCAGCAACACTTGAACTTTTAATGAATTTTATGTCCGAAATTATTGTAATATACTGATTAACAGCATTTTATATATATATATATATAATTACTGACCACAAACTTTTGACTGGTATATACACTCACCTAAAGGATTATTAGGTACACCTGTTCAATTTCTCATTAATGCAATGGTAACACTTTACAAAAAGGTTCATTAGTTAACACTAATTAACTACATTAGTTAACATGTACAATATGTGAACAATACTTCTTCAGCATTTATTAATCTTAGTTAATATTATTTCCAACATTTACTGATACATTATTAAAATCAAAGGTTGTATTAGTTAACATTAGTTAATGGACTGTGAACTAACATGAACGCACAATGAACAGCTGTATTTGTATTAACTAACATTAACAAATATTAATAAACACTGTAAATAATGCATTGCTCATCGTTAGTTCATGTTAGTTAATGCATTTACTAATGTTAACTAATGAACCTTGTTGTAAAGTGTTACCAATTATCTAATCAACCAATCACATGGCAGTTTCTTCAATGCATTTAGGAGTGTGGTCCTGGTCAAGACAATTGCTGTGTCTGAAACCTATATAGGCGGTAGGGAGTAGAGCACTATATAGTGAGCTTACCAGCTTAATATAAACACCACTTTTAAAGACTACTGCCGTTGATTACATCATCTGTCAGCTGGTGCCGAGCCGGCTCTGGGCTAAATAGATTTTTTTTTTAATAAATACATCACATTATATTGAGCTTATTTCTCCAAAATTTAAAATGTTTTTTTTTATTTTTTTTTATCATTTTTATGATCAGTGCAATGCATGATGGTATATAGTGCTTGGGTTAGTGACCATCGGTTGTGCACTACTTTTCAAAATGCATTCTGGGATAAATTGAATAATCATCACTATACATTCGGACAGCAATACAAAATGGCGAGCTCACTATATAGTCCACTGTATAGTGACTAGTGGGTGATTTCGAACACAGCAAATCTCTTGAACTCCAAACTGAATGTCAGAATGGGAACGAAGGGTGATTTAAGCAATTTTGAGTATGGTATGGTTGTTGGTGCCTGAGTATTTCACAATCTGCTCAGTTACTGGGATTTTCATACACAACAAAGAATTAAGGGTTTACAAAGAATGGCTTACTTGAACATGACAATGAGTTCACTGTACACAGTCACCAGATCTCAACCCAATAGACTATCTTTGGGATGTGGTGGAACAGGAGCTTCATGCCCTGGATGTGCATCCCACTAATCTCCATCAACTCCAAGATGCTATCCTATCAATATGGGCCAACATTTCTAAACAATGCTTTCAGCACCTTGTTGAATCAATGCCATGTAGAATTAAGGCAGTTCTGAAGGGGAAAGTGGGACAAACACAGTATTAGTATGGTGTTCCTAATAATACTTTAGGTGAGTGTATAAAGGATTGCATTTGGATTTGCATAGCCTTGTTCCATCATATCATGATAGGTGGTAAAAATAACTGTGTCTCAGGTTTGAGCAGGTGTTAGTGAGTGTGATTGTGTAACTGAGCTGGTGTGCTGTTTTCAGGTGCTGTGGTTCTGCAGATCAGCTGTTTCTCAGAGGCAGAGAGGATTTACATGCTGGCCAAAGACATCAGCATCAGCGGCAAACAGCTCTACTCGCTTGTCATACCTGAGATCATGGTACAACACCTTATTACAAAGCCGTAAATCTAATAGTGACACTCATTGGGTGCAACAGACTCCTTTTTGTGAATATGGAGTGTTCTTATACTCTCTCTTTAAAACAAATGCCACATGGTTTGATATTTTATTGTATAATGCAGTGTGATTTATACATGGACATTGCGTATTTAAGTGAGGCTCAAAGGGATAGTTCCCTCAACAATGAAACCATGTCATTCCAAACCTCCATGACTTATTTCTTCTGCAAAACAGATCTTTAAAAAAAAATAAAAATTGTTTAACCAATGAAAGTCAGTGGGTTCCAATGTTTTGTTTCTTTGCGAAAGAAACTTTTGTGAAGGAAATGAAGTGGGAGGGATGTATTTTAGTGCTTTTTCAGAGGGAACACAAATTTTTTGGGGGAAAAAACACTAAAATTTGCAAGAGAATGCAAAAGTATTGGAAATAACTTTTTTTGCATCTCATATATTTTCCAACACCATGTCATAGTCATAGGACATAGTAGGCTTGAAATGACATGAGGGCGAGTATATGACAGATTTTGTATTTTGTGTCCAAATGTCAGATATGGATCGCACAGCTGATTCAAAATAATCACCTGTTTTGACTTAGTTGGTCACATGCTGTTCATTAAAGTTCATAATGCTGTTCCAAGCTTTAGATGGATCTGCCATCTAGTGGCCCGGTGAGAAACTACAATACAATTCAACAACAAGTGTAACAAATGTTCTTTTTTTCTCCCAAAAGCAAAGCAAGCTGGCCAAAAGAAGCTGTCCCCTGCTGGTCTTCGTCAACCCTAAAAGTGGTGGGCTAAAGGGCAGAGAGATCTTATACAGTTTCCGGAAACTTCTAAACCCTCACCAAGTGTTTGAGCTGAGCAGCGGAGGACCACTTCCTGGGTTAGACCTCCTCTCCTTTTGAATGATGGTCAAACTGATATTAATGTCTTGATAGGAATATGTATGGATGAATCCTGCTCACATGTATGTGTTTTGTACAGGCTGCACACGTTCAGGGACGTCCCTCACTTCCGTATCCTGGTGTGTGGAGGAGACGGCACAGTGGGATGGGTTCTGGGGGTTCTGGAGTCCATCCGACATAAGATTGCCTGTCCTGAGCCAGCGATCAGCATCATCCCGCTGGGCACAGGTGCGTGATGGATGAAAAAAGTTTATTATTTAGTTAATGTAGTTAGTTTATTGTTGGTTTAACTATTTGCAACCATTGTGGTTTGTGTTCAGGGAACGATCTGGCTCGGGTGTTGCGATGGGGGGCGGGATACAGCGGCGAGGACCCCTTCAACATCCTGGTGTCTGTGGATGAGGCAGAGCTAGTGCAAATGGACCGCTGGACAATCCTTCTGGACGCACAGGATATGGCAGAGGACGGCAAAGAGAACGGCGTCCTAGAGCCGCCCAAGGTACGCAATCAATCCCTGAGACTTCAAATTACAATTAATATGATTTCTGCATGAATGCACCTATAGTACATTTTTATTTGATTTATTTATTTTTTTAATTTTTTTTTTTATTAATGCAATTATTATAATATGTACATTAATGAAAAAAATCATATTAATTATTTTTAATGAATATTTTATATTTTAATAATAAAATCAGAATACAAATTTTATTTGTATAATTAATGATATTCTAGAATTGATTGTTTTAAAATAAAGTATATTTTTGAATTTAATATTTAACATAATTGAACAATTATAATGAATGTAATTGTAATATGCACACATTAATGTACAGTATATATATATATATATATATATATATATAAAATTACATAATAATGAAGTATAATTAATTCATATAATAATAACAATAAAATAAATTATTACAATAACAATACTATAATAAATAATTCTACTATTTATTAATTCAACTTTAATTTTTAATAATTTAGCTATTAATTTTTCATGCTTCTAGCTCTGCTAAGGAATTTGTCACTGCACATATTTTGTAAGTTACCAGCGTAAAGCAGTCAAACATGCATAACAGGGTTGTACCTGTCTGTGTTATAGATTGTGCAGATGAATAATTATTTTGGCCTGGGAATTGATGCTGAACTGAGTCTGGACTTTCATCACGCACGTGAGGAGTATCCAGACAAGTTTAATAGCAGGAAAGTATTGTTCTTCACTCTAAAGGGTGGCCATGTGACTCAGAGTTAAGGTGAGGGAGGTCTGTGTGCATTGCTATTTTGACTTTGTCATTATTCTCGCAGGTTCCACAATAAAGGTGTGTACGTGAAGGTGGGCCTGCAGAAGTTGAGTCACACACGAAACCTTCATAAAGACATCAGACTGCAAGTGGACAGACAGGATGTGGAACTGCCCAGTATAGAAGGAATAATATTCCTCAACATTCCCAGGTAAACACACGTCAGTCTCACACAATGAAAGTGAAGACAATTCCACACACGGGAGTTTGTTACAGAAGATTAAAGGTGCTGTGTGTGTGTGTGTGTAGCTGGGGTTCTGGTGCCGACCTGTGGGGCTCAGACAATGACTCTCGGTTTAGGCGGCCCAGGATAGACGATGGGATGCTGGAGGTTGTGGGAGTTACTGGTGTGGTGCACATGGTGAGTTCTTTCTACACTCTCAGAAAAAAAGGTACAAAAGCTGTCACTGGGGCTGTACCTTTTCAAAAGGTGCACTTTTGTACCCAAAGGCTGCATATTGGTACCTTAGTGGTACATTTTAGCACCTAAAATGGACATATTGGCTCCTGAAATATACATATTAACACTTAAAATGTACAGATATTAGCACCTAAAATGGACATATTAGCTCCTGAAATATACATATTAACACTTAAAATGTAAAGATATTAGCACCTAAAATGTACATATTAACCCCTAAAATGTACTTATTAGCACCTGAAATGTACATATTTGCACCTAAAATGGACAAAAGTTTACCTTTTGAAAAGGTACAGCCCCAGTGACAGCTTTTGTACCTTTTTTTCTGAGAGTGTAAGGAAATGTTCTCCTTTTAGTACATACACTACTGTTCAAAAGTTTTGGCCCGGCGAGATTTTAAAATACGTCCCTTATGCTCACTTTATTGCTCATTTATTTGATAAATACAGTAAAAACTGAAATATTGTAAAGTATTGTTACATTGAAAAATAACCAATTTCATATATTTTAAAATGTAATTTATTCCTGTGATGGAAAAGCTGAACCTTTAGTAATCAGTCTAAATGTTGATTTGGTTATCATCAATGTTGAAAAACGTTGCTGCTTAACATTTTCGTGGAAACCGTGATACTTTTTTTCAGTTTAGCATTTATTTAAAATAGAAATCTTTTTATTAACATTATAAATGTCTTTAACATCACTTTTGATCAATTTAATCGATCCTTGCTGAATAAAATTATACATTTCTTTAAAAGAAAAACCTTACTGACCCCAAACTGCCAAAATGTCCGTTTTATAAAAAAAAATGTTTACTGTATATCGTTTATTAAACATAATTTGATACGCTTTCTCTAAATCACAGTATAGATTTGTTTTATGTTCTATTTTAACATTGTTTAATACATTGTTGGTCTTTTTTTTTCTTCAGGGTCAGGTTCAGAGTGGGCTGCGGTCTGGGATTCGTATCGCTCAGGGGAGCTATATTCGCATCACTGTGACCAAACCCATTCCAGTGCAGGTGGATGGAGAACCCTGGATACAATCACCTGGACAGATCATCATCTCAGCCGCAGGACCAAAGGTACTTCTACATATTTTTTTAACACAGTCATATTCCCTAAATTGCTTGCCCAACTCCATGAACTCCAGATCTGCTGTGTAAAGACGACACAACATTAATGACGTGGAATTCCCAGATTTGAATCAGTCTTACAATGGTAGAGGCTTGATTCATTGAATTAACATTATATTTTTTACACTGCCTGGTCAAAAAAAAGTTGCAGTTTGGATTTAAATAGGCAAATGTTTAAGAGTCTATGATTTGATCATTATTGCAGTGATGCAGTTTCTAGCATATATGTTTGGCAACAGTTCTTCTTCTAACCCTAAATAATGGAGTGTGTAGCTTTTCATTTATTAAACAACCATGTAGGAAGACATATCATGGACATATTCCAAGTTGACAAAGTCAACACTCATCAGGCTCAAACTGAAATAATGGTTGGGAGAGAGCATGAAGAATCCTTTTCACACATGAATTGGCATTGAAAGTCGTTGGGATGTGCTGGAGGAGACTTTACAGAGTGCTCAACTCTTGCACTGTCAATACAACATCTTACCAAAAATGATCCTCTTGTTAGAAATAAATGTTATTAAGATAATAAGATGTTTTTTGCATCAAGAGGTGCATACATTTTTGTATTGACAATGCAGATCAAGCACTAGACTCTTAACCATTTGCCTATTTAAATCCAAGCAGTAACTTTATTTTGACCTTTTATGTTAGATGATTTGACAGCACAAATATATATATATATATATATATATATACGTATATATATGTGTGTGTGTGTGTGTGTGTGTGTGTGTGTGTGTGTGTGTATATATATATATATATATATTAGGGCTGTCAAACGATTAATCGCGATTAATCACATCCAAAATAAAAGTTTGTTTTTACATAATATATGTGGGTGCACTGTTTATAATTATTTTACACACGCATGTATATTTAAGAAAAAAATATTATTTATATAAATATAATTATAAATATATATAATTATAAATATATACTAGCATGTGTGTGTATTTATATGTGTGTATATATATATATATATATATATATATATATAATAATTATACACAGTGCACCCACATATATTATGTAAAAACAAACTTTTATTTTGGATGCAATTAATCAAGATTAATCGTTTGACAGCCCTAATAAATAAATATATATATATATATATTAGGGCTGTCAATATATATCGAGATTAATCGTTAGGGCTGTCAATATATATCGAGATTAATCGTTTGACAGCCCTAATATATATTAGGGCTGTCAAACGATTAATCTCGATTAATTGCATCCAAAATAAAAGTTTGTTTTTACATAATATATGTGGGTGCACTGTGTATAATTATTTTATATATATAAATACATACACACACACGCATATATATGATGTTGTTACTGAAGACTCATGAAAGGTCACTAAGTTAGCCTTGATCTCATTAATATTCAATATAAGAGGTAGGTCTTCAAAAAGTATTTGTTTTGCACAATTAATTGAGTGAGTGCAAAAATGTGTGTTCCACAATCCAGAACCGTTAACGAAACCAAAGGCCATTCTGTTCAAGTATTTCATTTTGTCACCATCCGTTAGCCTTTAGTTCTAATCTAACGGCTTTGTTTTCTGTTCTAGGTGTGCATGCTAAGAAAGTCCAAAACCAAGCAGAAGAAACAAACGGGCAGTTTGAAGGAAGTCCGTTCCGACAGTCCAGCTCCCAGTGAGGGTGGGCAGTGACAAACCTCACAAACACTTCATTGACAGCCCTTTACTGTTGCCTTGACAACTTTTCATTGAGTCTTTGTTTCACTTTGGCTGTGTATCAACTTTGACTTTAGCTGAACTAGAATATATGACTCAGATAGACATCTCTAACATCTCTATTCTGTAGTGTTCAAACGCCCCATCAGATGATAGCACTGCAGTCTGTTTCTCAGGACTTTAGCTGCCCTCGGCCTGTTTTTGCCTTAGATTCATGCTGGTGTAGACCATTGTGTCGGTTTTATTTCGACTGCCAATCCGCAATATTTGTCTTAAAGTAGTCCATCACTGAAATGCTATGGCACATGAGTAAGCAACCAGTATTTAATCCCATTGTGCACATCACAAATGCCAAAAACGACCGTTTCGTGAACACCGCCAAGTTAAGACTATCACTTAATACTCACATCTTGCCTTTTTGGTTTATGGTAAAAACTGGCCATTTTTGTCTTTATGATGCTTATCATTAATGTCTTACTTGAAGTTTATTTGCAAAAGCAGCCCCTTGTAGCTTTCTACAAGTATCTAAACCAAAACAATGCAGTATATATGTACAAACAACTCTAGTTCTTGTTCATTAAAAGCACATTTGAATGTGTCAGTGTGGAGAGATAATCGTCTTTGTATTCAATTTTCTAGCCTTCTTAGCTGTGAGACAATCATGTCTCGGCAAACAAGCTGGTGTCATCACGGCCGTTTTGTGATTAAAAAGCTTTTCGAACTGGAGCGGTACCGACAAATACTGTGACTAAAGAGTCGTGGATTTAACAAAGGATGAACGTTTTGTGGACAGACGCACCACTTTTGGTGTTAATAGTAATTTAACGCTGTACGATACTTGATAAAACATTCCGCGCAAGATCACGTAGCAAGTTCTGTATTTATAATTGAACTGGTCATATGAACTTTTAAGCCAAGCGTAGCTTCATCATGTTCTGGTGAAAGCGTTGATTTGTAAGTAAATAAATATGTTACTGTTATCTGACAGAGTAGACAGTCGTGTAAATCTTAAGCTAGAGGCGAGCGCAGTGCTGTAATATATATATATATTTGCTAGTAAGTGGTGTGTATATGTTGTTTCTGTACAGTGACTGGTCAGCCCTGCTCCAGCTGTATGGATTCATGAGGCTGGCCTTAGATTTTGTATGTATGATCAGTTAGACGCTCCACTTCCCATCAGGCATGCATTAAAGCCTCGGCCACCTGAGGGGATTGTCTGACCTCATCTACCTCACCAGCACACATCACTCTGAGTATCAAATTCCGCCAAGCTCTTCCAAAGACTTGCGCCTGCTTTTCTTCCTGCACTTCATTGTGTCTGGGAATATTCGGATGATGACAGATATGAAAAGCTGACCAAGTGCATTTGATTATATATATGAGTACGACCAATGATTTAGGTCTCATTGTCATTTTTCTTCAGATGCAATCTTATCTCGCTGATTCGCCCTCTCTCGTGTCGTTGATTTGCCTGCAGTGTGTACAGTGGTGATTTCTGGATTAGTTGTGCCTCTTGCCATGACAAGCCCTCGGGTTAACGTGCTGTTCTGTGGTGTGGTTTGGCCCGTTTAGTGCCTCATATAAGTGCTTCGAGAACTTACGTGTGCGTTCAACTCCATGCCATTCTGTTTGTTCTGCTGGTTCAGTGACTATGAAGTAGAACCGTGCTGTTCTAGGCCCTTTAGAACTGATGTGCCTCCTAATAGAGTAAATCTCACGAAAATCAGTCTCATTTTACTCCTAAAATCAAAAGAAAAATATATTAAATTCAGTGCTGTCAAATCGATTAATCGCATCTAACATAAATGTTTTTGTTTACGTGTGTGTCTGCGTATATACATATAAAGTAATGTATATATATGTGTGTATACATATATATTATGCAATCAAAATCTTTGATGTTAGATGTGATTAATCAATTTGACAGCACTAATTATAATTTTTGGACCAACATATTTTTACCCCAAATCTCTCTAACTTTTTTTTTTATGTGTAAATCACATAATTCACACTGATTATTGTTGTAAGATTCTCAGTAGTGTAGATAGTGCAGTGTATTATTGTTTTTATTTATGATTTTTAAAAACTTGACTAAAACAATGACTAAAATTCTGTGTAAACACTTGACAGTGTGATGAAAATAACATCGAAATATCTTGAAGAATTTATTTTGATTTTGGGTGAAATATGGCCCGGACATGTTCTTGACAGGTTTCGTGAGATTTGCCCAATAACTTATTTTACCTCCTTGCTATGGTTTTAAGTTTTATTCTTACTACTTGTAAAGTGGGTTAGAATTAATGTTCTGAGGTCAATATAGATGTATATTTTTGAAGAGAATATGTTTTTAATTTGGTCTGTAAAGATATTGCACTGATTGTACTGTTTTAAAGATGTTTTTAAGTGTACATTGTGTTAAATGAATATTAAATAACTAAATGTATAGATATATCAATCAGCTGTATAACAGATGGATGTGTCCAATGAGAAAGAAAAAAAGACATAAATTTGGACTTTTTAATACAGTTCTGTTCTGTTTTTATTTTGTATGATATTAGAAGTTCCTATTGTACAAAGTAACAAACTTGCTCATTCAGTTCACCAAATGGACCAAAAATTAATCTTTTCTACAAAACATGATTAGCAGGTCAGTACAGTTTATTTACAGCAGTATACAGTGGCTAGAATTGTACATAATAATCAGCTTATACCAATCAAATTACTTTACACCTAATGATTTTAAGTTTTCTCAGTACAAATGATTAAAAAAATAGTATAAAGTATTTTTTTTTCTCAAATAAATAGCTTAAATGAGAGTTTCATCTGGAGTGGGAAGTGCACAGAATGAAATGGACATTAGCCCAGGCTAATATTCCCACAAAACATTGTGATGAGAAGAATCAAGGTAAATCCTGTCAATATTCCAGCATTCTGGATTGTGAAAAAAATGATATCGTCCTTCGTGCTCCGCACTTGTTCACTGGCAATCATGTTCATTTCAGGCAACTAGGTGAGAGGAGGAAAGAGGATTTAGGATATTTGCACCGCTAAAACAGATTTATGTTCCGTTTAGTGATTGGAAGTGGAGTCAAAGTCATTTTGTTCCCTAAATAAATGAATACTTCTAGGTTTAAAATCATCTAAGCTCACATACAATGAAGTCTCCAGTCATTTGACAAGCCTAATTATAGCTGTTTTATTTTGCATTTTGGAGACATGGCCAATCTGATATGGCACACTTTTATCTTGTTAACACCACCATTATCGGTCACTGAATGTATTATCTGTGGCACACTATGAACAGTGTGTTTCTCCTATGCATCTGTAACCACTTTCAATGCTGCCTCCACAACTCTAGGTGTCAGTATAAGTCCAAGAATGATTTGACAGGATTTGTTTAGATACTGACAAAAATAGTAACATATTGTTGCTTATTTAGCTGAAAACATCCACCAACATCTATTTGCTTGGTAAAAAATGTAAGCATTGAAATACTGTTCAAAAGTTTAAGGGTCGAACAGACTTTTTTTTTTTTTCAGAACTACAGTATAAACTGTAAGATTATAAAATATTATTGGCATAGCTGAATTTTTCCACATCATTACCCCAGTCTTTAGAGTCATTTCCTTTACAAATCATTCGAATATGCTGATTTGATGCTCAAGAAACATTTCATATTATTATCAATGTTGAAAACAGTTGTGCTGCTCAGTAATTTTGTTTTAAAGTTACATTTTTCAGGATTATTTTATAAACAGAATTTCAAAGAAACAGCATTTGTTTTACTGTAAAAATGATCGTATATTATATAAAATATATTACTTTACTATTAATTCTTGTTTTTTGACCAAAATTAAGTGAGTTTTGCTTAAAAACTTGTAGCTCTCAAACCATATTCACTTTATAGCCCTTAATCCTGTAATTGTGGACAAATGTGGGCACAGAGGACTCAGGTGTGACCCTAATTTTTATTTATTATAAATGTTACGTATATCACTGTCTTCGATAAAGTTTTGTCTATCCATTTATGGAGTTTTTTTTTATTTGGGGGGTATTTTTGAATTTATTTACATCAAAAAGTACCATATTTTCTATGTATATTATGCTTATTTTTATGTTTTATTTATTTTTTTTTATTTTTTAACTACATTAAAATATCATTCCAATAAGTTCTTAGAGCTAAAACCTAATGATGAAGTGACTTTGCTGTCTTATTTTGGCTTATTTTAGAATGCTCTAAATTACAGTTTTTCCCATTAATTTCTATGGGTGCCCATTTTTGACCCAAATACAAGATTAAGGAGGGGTTTTTTTTCACCCACTTAACATTGTAGAATTGAGTCCAAAAAAAAAAGTGTGTTCAGGAGGCAAACTTAGGAAAAGTAGCCAAGTCTTGTACCGCTCAGATCAAGGGAAGTATTTTTTAAAAAATAAATCAAAACTATTTAGCTTTTTTAAGAAAGCGTTGTTTTCCCTTTTTTTTTCAAGCACAAACTCTTCATTTTGATTTTTTTTCTCCAGAAAACAAGACTTTTGTCTTTACTGTGACTTGATTTAATAAAAAAAGTATTTTCTAAAAAAAAAAAAAATCATACTGACCTTAAACTTTTGAACGGTAGTGTATGTTTTTTTTTTAATACGCCAATGAAGACAATCCTATAATGTGCTGTATTTACTAACCCACACTGCTCTTACCATATCAGCCAAGGATATGTAAAGGAACATGCCACCAGCGAAGGCAAAGATGATGTTGGGGGCGAAAGCGTTTCCCAACAAGATGCCTAGGACCAGGCCCACATAGCAGGACATGGCAGACAGCAGGTTGAAGAACACGGCCTGTGGGATGCTCAACCCCGCGTTCAGCAGGATAATGAAGTCGCCTACAGGGGGAGACAGAGCGCAAATGTGCCTCGCATGTTTTTTCCATAAACATTCAGTGAAGGTCAACGTTCAAAGGGCAGTAGTTGACGACTGAATCAGAGCTCTCTCAACTGAAAAACCGTTGTTGAATCCCTGTATTACTCTTACCCAGCTCGTGAGGGAATTCCTCGCAGACGATAGCAATAGAGGTGCTAAAGCCATTGAGAACAGACACCGTGAACGAGGCGCCGATGGCCAGTCCGTCAATGAAGTTGTGTAGAGCATCGCTCAGGGAAATCATCCATGCCACCGTCTTCACGCTGGACAGCCGTCTTCCTCTGAGCCATCTGCAAGACCCCTGCAAGCACATTCACATCGAAATTAAAACCTCATTCTCTTCTCTAACAACATTACTATACTCTCTTGAGCTTGGGTTCATATTTCAAATACTATTTACTTTTAGCCCTAAGGTCTAACTTTTTGTATTGTTACAGGGTCGAGATGACTATTCTAATGACACGGTGCTCGTGATTTAGGGTCAAAGGTCAGAAGACAATCTTGTTTCTGCTGGCAGCTGTGACAGATGAAAGTAAACACAGCTGTGTGTGTCTCCACGGCTGGACGGTAAGTTGCACTGACCTGTACACTATGTACAACTTAATACACTATGTACTTAGTACACTATGTACTACTTAAATTCAAAACCCTCGAAAAAACCCTTGTGTGTATGTGTTTTACGTTACATACATGATTGAAGGCATTCAAAGAAGTGCACTGGATCCCGCTGAAGGACAACTGTTATCACATGACCCTGGTTTAACCATTGACTACAGTCTGATGTTACACCTAAAGGGATGGTTCACGCAAAAATGAAAATTAGCCCATGATTTACTCACCCTCAAGTCATCCTCAAGACTTTGTATATGACATTCTTCTTTAAGACTAAAGCCTGATTTATACTTCTGCGTCAAACCTACAGTACGCTGGAACCTCTACGCTATAGACTACGCGTTGGTTTTCATTTACACTTCTGCATCGTTGTCCACGTTGACGCGCAATTACACATGCAGAGGGAGCATGTAATACCCGGGGAGTGGTTCTAGAAGACCAATCACAGCGTGTATGCGTAGAATTGACGCATTGTTACATTTTTTAGAGAGGTGCACGTCTGGGTAGCTACGGCGTGAATCCGACGCAGAACTATAAATTGGGCTTAATATAATGAGAGTTATATATTTATTAAAAAAAAATGTCCTGGCTCTTCCAAGCTTTATGATGACTGTTTCTGTTTTAAAGTCCATAAAAGTGCATCCATCCATTATAAAAGATCTCCACATGGCTGTGGGGGTTTAATAAAGGACTTCTGAAGCAAAGCGGTGAGTTTGTGTAAGAAAAATATTCCTATTTAAAACTTTATAAAGTAAAACAAACTAGCTTCCGGCCAAACGAAACGAACATACGGATTCCACTAGCCTAAACGCAACTTGCATGAGTAATGCGACGCCCTGCTGATATTTACACTAGGCCATGACGCACGACGTCATACGTTGAGCTTTAGTCGCTAGTAGACTGTGTGTGTGGCCATTTATCCAGAAGTAAGAATATTACTTTGTAACATGCTTTTTTCTTACACAAACGCATCACTTCACTTTGGAAGTCCTTTATTAACCCCCCCAGAGCCGTGTGGAGCACTTTTATGATGGATGCACTTTTATGGACCTGTATCGATGCATATGCATTTGGCAGACGCTTTTATCCATAGCGACTTACAGTACATTGCATTCAAGGTACACATTTACATTCATATCAGTTCTTGCTTTCTCTGGGAATCAAACCTACAGGATGACCTTGGCATTGCAAGTGGCAATGCTCTACTGTTTCGAGCTACAGGAAAGCCATCCACTGCCATGATAAAGCCATTTTTTTTTTCATATAACTCCGATTGTCTTAGTCTGAAATAAATTGTCCTATACACCTCGGATGACTTGAGGGTAAGCATTTTTGGGTGAGCTATCCCTTTAATAATGTAATAGCCTGGTATGACAAATAATTAGCATTTTTCTTTATTTGATAATTGCAGACATCTTCATGTAGACATAAATAGGCTACCGCTGCAATAATCAAACAGTCTTTTTTGTAAATGAAATGTACAGTTTGCTATATATATACCTATTATTTAGTTGACTCAGTAAGCAACCAACTAGAACACCCTAGTAACCGTAATGCGACGGCACCCTGTTAGCATGTTTTACAAGCGCCACTTGCAAAATAGAAAAATGTAGTTTTCCTATAGTACATTTACTTGGTTTCATGTGCGAATGAATCAGAATTGTCTTGCAGCTTTATTTAGGTCAATCACATATCTCTTGGAACTGTTTGTGTTTTTTGTGAGATGTGACCAGTTGTATAGTACCTGTTCCACTGGGGGTTCAGTGGTTATGCTGGCTTTGTCACCGCTGGCAAAGTTGAAATCAGAGTCGGCCGCAATGATGCCACCGTTCTGTTGGACACTCTCTGAGGGGACGAAGTGACTGTGTCCGTGCTGAGGTACCAAAGCAGAAAGGATTAAATTAAATAATTACTTGCATATTAATGAGCCAATATAGTCAACAGGTCAACTATATATATATATATATATATATAGTATATATATACTGTATATACCCTGAAGTTGATTCAGCCATACTGACCAGCTTACTGTACCTTTCCTGCTCACTCTCCAACTACTGTATTTGTAAAAAGAATATTATATACTGATTTGAGTAATTATTTAATTATTCTATTACATGAGAACAAATTTGATGTGATATGTGAATATGTGACTGACTAATCAGAAGCAAGTATGCCAGAGAGATTTATTTATTATTTTGAATCATACGAGGAATGAAAAGAGCCAATTGAGTTCTGTGGTGTCCTCATTATACTGAGATGAACCTACCTACCTCATGTCCTGGTTTGAGGAGCATCCTCAGGATTTTTTCAGTGAAGTAAAGCGCATAGAATCCACCAAAGATCCCAACAGCTTGGAGGACGTAACCGTCTGCTTTTGGGTCAAACCCAAAGGCCTGTTCAATCAGGAATCAATCATGGAATCATGAGTCTTTGAAGAAGTTAAGCCAGATATCCAGCTTTCCCCATGTTATTAGTTCAAAGTTAAAACGTAAACCCAAAATAAATATTACAACATGTAATCAGTGCAAAACAAATATTACGTCATGCAGCGATGATGCCATCACATATCAAGAAACATCTGCACTCTTCAGGAAAATACAAATGTCTGGAATTGAGTCCAGTTCAAAGAGCATTTTGCATTTTATTATTATGAAATGACTGTAGGCTAAGCATAAATAACCCGCATCATTGTGCTGATAATTAAAGGGGTCATGAACTGGCTTTTTACATTTTTTTATATTATTGTCTGAGGTCAGCTTATGATGTTCACTTGGTTTTTAAATTAAATAAACATCAAAATGAGTAAGTAATAGGCTATTTTCTACCCTAGTTTTGAGCCTAGCTCAAAAACGCTCTGATTTTATGGGCGTCTCGCATTGAAGACGGAGAAGTAAACGCCCACTGCTGTGAGTGGATAACAGTTTTGCATATTATAATGAGTTTCAACTCATTCGTTTATGCAGCGACTGTCTTCTTCCACAACCAGGCACAGCACAATATTTTGTAACGGCATGTTTATTGCTCGGTAGCTTGATCTGGTTTGTCATCACGAGGTAGGCCTGTGTTTTTTAGCTATGCGTGTAATGCACAAATCTGTGGGCGGGGCTAAACCGTCCGTGTTGAAGTAGGCATTGATCTTCTTCTGCGGGGGTGGTGCTTTATCTTTTTTGACGTCATAGTTCCCCACTTTGAAAAACGAGTCGTTTGCTGAGGCTGGTGTCAATAAAAGCTTTTATTGGACTAACAAGGACGTTTTCAGTTCTGAAACTTGCAGGATATTCTTATAATATGATGACCTCTTAGATGTCACAAGCTCAAGGAAAATTTGATTTCTCAGTTTATCACCCCTTTAAAGGGTAACTAAACACCAAAACAACTTTTTTTAGTTAATGATCTGTAAGAATGGAGCTTCATAAATGCTGTTCATTGATTCGAGTACATTTTTTGACAATTGAGTATAAAGTGTTTTGATTTTCAAATATATGGTGTAAAAACGTCTGAGTGCTGCCCTCTTCAGGTTAAACGGAAAGCTCCTGCAGTAGGGGTACTTTCTGACGTAGGGAACTCTCAGACGCCACTCTGTCACGCCCTTGGTGCGAGCTCACCACGCCCTTGGCAGCCCCTGGTATAAAAGCATCTGGTTCCGTCAAAACTACTGTAGCGAGTCAGGAGTTGGATTTATGAGTATTGAAAACGATCAGGATAGCATAGCTTATATTAGCATCTAGTTAGCATAGCATTTATATAGTTATTTAGATTATTTAGATTATTTTTGAAAACGATCAGGATAGAGTATTGTTGCATCTATTTAGCATAGCATTATATAGATAATTTAGATTATTTTGTGTAGCTAGTAGCATAGTACAGTTAGGATAGCTTCAAGTTAGCATAGATTTATCAGTGTTTAGTACAGTGATCAGGATAGTAACGGAATAGAGGTGGACATGGGCTTCTCCACACGCAGTGCCAAACACTGCTCGTCCTGCATGGACTCCTCCACCGCAGCGGCGTCTTGATGTGAGTGATCATGGATATTTTAATCACAATTTATGGTTAGGATAAAGTTAATCCTCTGGGGTCGACAAACGAGCCGGCGCATTTTGCTGGATTTTTTCACATAGCGGCAGAATATCAATATGAATACATGCCCACAGAGCGTGCGCTATTGAGATCAACTCGACGACAAAACTCATCAGATGCCGGTCGCGATGCGGGAGTTAAGACCGCAGTTTGAGCCAGCGTCTCGAATGGATTTGGCCCTGTGTCTACATACAATTCACCCTCATCCACTTCAGGTGAGTGAAGGTGAGGGAGAAAAGTCCTCGACTTCAAATGGCCGCTCTGTTGCAAAGGCAGCTACTTGCGTCACTCCAGTCTCTCTCTATTTTAGAGTCTGACAGCAGCTGTCCCTCACGGCGGGTCTCAGGTGCACGCCCCCTGGCCCCGCTGGGGTCTGCCCATTTTTTCAGCATTTTTCAAATATTGCTAGTGGGTGGAGTCAGGCTCTGACCAGGGGTTTAGTTACCCTTTAAAGATGAGAACTAGTGTTGGTTATTGGGTTTACACTCAAACAATACCACCGATTTGACCTAGAGGACTGTCCTAAACTGACCTAAATGACATCATGAAAGCTTATAATGTAAATGAAATAAACTCAAAAATGAAAAAAGCATTTTACCTCGGGTATAAGTTGGAGAGCAGCATTGGAGAAGAGTGTGCCAACAGCCAGACCAATGAAGTAGGTGAGCACTTTGGGGAAGTAGGGCTTTTTAGTGACAGGAACAAGAGCCAGACCCAGCAGTGAGGCCAGATTAATGATGGTAACAGCCAAGAAGCCATATCCCCATACTATATGCAGAAGGACAGGTGAGAGCTCACAGTTCAACTTATACAGAAAGGTACATCATTTTTCATTCTAGTATCTTAGAAAAGAGAAAGAAAATGCTTTGTGTAAAAAAGGGTTTTTGCTGTAAACAAGTTTCTGTAATTGCCATTATTCCCAATTGTGATTTTCATTACTGTAATACAGAGCATTTTTAGTGTATTGCAGTATAAATGTGTGTAAGGCTCCAATAAAATGAAGAGATGAGTATTCCCTCACAAATACAGTATATCTCTCAATGAGTAAAATTGCCTCTGTCTATTATAAACTACACAATGTTATAATTATTTTCAAATAACATAAAAAAAAATCAAAAGTTTTTTTATTAATTTAAATTAATTTCAACATTTACTAATGTATTTTTGAAATCAAAAGTTGTATATGTTCATATTGAATAGACAGGACTAACATTTAACTAACAATGAAGAGGTTTATTAACTAACATTAACAAAGAATAATAAATACTGTAACAAATGTATTGCTTACTCTTAGTTAATGCTTAAAATAATGTAAATTGTTTGTCATATTTGATATTTTATCTATGAGACTAGAAAATTGTGTTTTCTTTCATTTCTAAGACAATTAAACAGTTGTGTGTAATGAATTATTATTATTGACATTGAATTTTCATTACTGTTATAAGGTGCATTTTTGTATTTTATAAAACAAAAAATTATTGTCATACAGTGCTATTTTTATTTTTAAACTAAATGTGTTTATTTCATTTTTATGTTTGTGAGAATCTTTATTATTCATAAAGAAAGATTTGTTACATTGTATTGCCATTGTTCTCAATGGTAATAATACAGTACATTTTAATCGATTTTAATCTATTATTGTAAAAAACTATTGTCATGCATCAATCTTTTAAAGGCAGTACAAAAATAGAAAAATACTAGTTACTCTTAGAACTTTTAAAAATACTAATACTAAACAAAGTAATTGCCATGGAATTGCCATTATTCTCAACTCTGATTTTCATACAGAATATTTTTAATGTATTATAGGAAAACTTATGCAGTGAGTAGTAAAAAAAAATAGTACTAATACAAATTAAAAATATTTTAAATGATATACTTTCCCCCCAAGATTGTTTTGCATTAAATTAATGAGAATTGAGAGGGGAAAACTACTTTAATTGACATGATTATAATTTAAGATAAAGTGTAGGGCCTTCAACTTTATTTCATGTGGCACATCCATCCCATCATTCTCTGCTTTTAGGATAAGCTGGTTTACATCAGGAGAAAGGTCTTTGACATCATATGTAGGTCTGTGATGGCACTGCACCATTCACCCTCTGTCATGTGTGTGTGTGTGTGTGTGTACTGATCCAGGTTCTTCAGCACATGTAAGAAGACTCACCGTGAAGTTCTGTGGGATCAGTGAGGACAGGAGGTTCTGTTGAACAGGGTGGCAGCACTGCTTGGTTCAGCAGAGCCGGGCAGACAGTGACCAGATGCTCCTCTGTTAGATGGGAGAGGTTCTGAAGCCCATAATGCACCAGAATATCTTCTCCGGACACACACTGATAAACAGGGTCACAAGTCAATGTAATAAGGCCACAAGAACGACGAGTCTAAACAGTGTGAATATCAGAGTTTCACTTGTTTTTCTGTATTCGTGCCCTCAAAAATGTAAGACATGTACAAAAATGTAAGACAAAACATGTCAAATGTTCTGTGTTTGGTAGGCCTAACTTAAGTTAAAGTGACCATTTTACCTGAGCATGCGGAGGAATGTTCGTATCCAAGGGCTTGTCTTGCACAATTGTCTTCAATAAACTGTTAATGCCATTGAGATCCAGTGAACCGTTTTTCCCGTAAACAGCTACGATATCCTTTATGAAAATCTGCTGCAGAGAGTTGGCTCTTAATCCCGAGATTACAGTTATTAGAAAGGCTAACACATGAGTAAAAGCTTTGGGAATGCCTGCCATGCTTACAGAACACACGTTTCAGTGTGAAGCGACACGAATGAAGTAAAAGCAGCGAGAGTTTTAAATGTCCCCTCTGGAGATTATCCTAGGAGCGGCGCGCGACTCCAGAGGACTAACGTTATCGTATACGAAGAAAGTTGCATCTTAAGAATAAAGATAAGAACTATGAAAAGAGTTAATTATTTCTTCCCCAATAGTATCCTCGGTGACATGACTAATACGTCGCGCCTCCATTTGGCACACAGCCCACCGTGATAAATGCCGCTAGTTTCACCCACAAATAAAGAATTTAGCGTAACGTTACGTTCCTGTGGTCGAAACATCCCGACTGTTATTCAAGCAGAAGTGGTTCTGGCTCCATAACAACAACCCAGTGAGCCCTTTACACTTAGGCTAATTCACTTTTGCAAGTTAGTTTACAAAATCGAGTTAATACAGAGCTAAATTCATTACAGTGATTAATTTAGTGCTAACAAACTTTTTGCATAATTTATTGTTTGTGGGCTCCGCGGAGCCTCGATGCGCATTTATTGGATTCAATTTTGATGACAATAAATCGAACATTTTAAAATACTTATGGATCCACATGTAACATACAGTCAGTGCAAATATATTTACATTATTAATTACAAGAAAAAATTGAAGTGGCAAACTCTGCTTATTATTACAGTGATGCTCAGTTACAAATTGTGATGCCTACAAAATGGTGAAGTAAATGTACTATTATTCAATACAAATGGCTTTATATTGTAAATATAATTTGTTGGGTTTTTTTTAGCGTCTGGAAACTGCATCTGGAACAATAGGCGTTTTAAATTAGTGAAGAAAAAAATATTCTTTAATGTCCAACATATGAATATAATGCTGGAATTTGTGTACATGTTGTAATCCTATAAGAATATAATATAGAGTTAGAATATAATTTTAGTACAGTAAAATTACTATATTTGTAGAGTTCGACTGTAAAATGTCCCTGTACAACACTGGCATCTAACGGTGCAACCGAGTACTCCACTGCCGATCATGAGCGTAGAAGAAGAGTTACTACTTCCGGCAGTGAGTTGAACGCTGGGATGGCGCTGCACCATCAAATGGAATTCGCCCTCTGTCATGTTCATTGATCCAGCTTCTTCAGACAAACACATCTCCGTCCTTTTAGCACGAGGTATATACGTATTTATTTGCGTCCATTGATCCGCACTTTGTTTAAAAGTATTTGTGGGCTTGAACTTGTAACTTGTAAACAACTCTACTGCAGCTTCCTCACTGACAGCTGATTAGGTTAGCAGTAACTGTTAGACTTATAGACAGTCAGTGTAGGATGTTCAAACACTGGTCATCTTTTAGGGGCAATGTGTGAGAAACCAGATAATCATTTTAATGTTCTAGATTTCACACAACCCTATTGAAGTGTCACGGGATGACTCAATAGTCATTCATTATGAATGAGATGTTATGACATGTCAGTGTCTAACTTATGTTTTGTTTCAAAAACTAAGTAACATCATTTTTTAATAATCAAAAACACCCTCTAAAGTTTATTAACATAATTTAATAGACAATTTGTATTGTATATGGGTTTTAAACTGGGGTCCGGGCCTCCATAAGAGTGACAGTTAACAGTTAGTTCAAATACGTAAATTAATCGACTAGATTAAATCAAATCAATAAAAATGTTATTGATCTTTGAAATAGATTATATTAAACTATACTAAAATAAACAGACATTTAGATTCATGTAAAGAAAAAAAATAATTAAAATTGAATTAATAAATCATACGTTTAACAGTACATTGCGATAGTGAGTAGAAAAAAATATATAATATTAGAAACTAACACTACACTTAATTTTTCAGTGTATAAATTGGGTGCTTATAAAAGATAGATGCCTTTTACATTTTAGGATGGGATCCGTGACACGGGGATGATCATATTTGGGGGTCTGTGGCATCTAGCCGGCGTTTTGTTAAGTGTGTGTTGTGCTGCTCAATTCATATATATTGGAATGTGTAAAGCCTAAAGCTGACTGACGGATTATGTTGATTAAGCGTATTTTGTTCTCTGCAGAAGAATGTTTTTTTGTCAATGGGTGTGAGTCGGCTTGATGTTCTGTACAGAAGGCTTCTCCTCACCAAACTCTTCATCCAAGGATGGGGGAAGCCAGAGGACCTGAAAAGGTAAACTAGACACAATAAAACAAATGCATCACATGACAGACAAGATAGTGGGGTGAAATTTTTGATAATTATTCACACAATATTGATGTTAAAATAATAATTAGCAGTGGTATAAACATTCTATTTTGATGTATGTCTTAGCAAAAATAAACATTCATAACAGATGGACATGTGTGTAGGAACAAAAATGCACACTTTGTTTGAATAACATTTTGAGCATGTAGTCTTGTGTACTACAGAAAAATATTACATGATCAGTCACACCATGGTAATGAATAGTAGTGTATGAATAGACAATGAAAAAAAAACACTGAGTGCACCTTAAATGATATTAACTTGTTTAATTTAAATTGTTTTTTGGATATTACAGAATATTTGAATTCCGGAAGATTATTGGCAACAGGGAGAGGTGCAAAGATCTGGTACAGAGGGACTACCCAATATTTATTGACAAAGTAAGAGACATTATTGTTAGTAATAGTAACTATATTATATGCATATACTGTATATTATTATAATGACCTATTCACTGTGTTTTACCGCTGTGCCCAAAGGTTGAAGATCAATCAGATTGCAAAATTCACAACGGTTATTTCATATCACCACTGGAGCACTATGTCCCGGGCATCTTGCCAACCGAGTCCGTCAAAGCCCGGTAGCCAAAACAAATCACCCGCAAACATTGAATGCATATGTGAAGGATTAATGTGACTTACTGTGTGGCTTGTACTCAAAGTTCTTTCAAATGAAGACATTTTGTTTCAACTTTATCACCAGATTCCAGTTCATTGTACCTAAGAAATGGAAGAGGCACAGACCAGTCTGTATTCACCTGGCTGGAACAGGAGACCACGTGAGTGCAAAAACTGCCATTGTTTGGCTGTGCTTTTATTCAATCTCAGCATTATGAAGTTTTTCTTTGGGATAAACGATATACTAGGGGTGTAACGATACCCTCATGTCACGATTCAATACAACTCACGATACGATATTATTGACATATGGTGAAAGGTTAACAAAAAGAGTTAAAATGCTAAATGTGATATAATTGAATTGGCTTGGATTTGGTGCTTGTAACCCAAGGACAATGGTGACACCAGAATAACAATATTCATTGATTCTGAAGCTGAAATTACTGAGTTATTGTAGATGAATATGCTTGCACACTTTCACTGACTAGATGTATTTAAAATAATGTCAGACACCTTTTACTGGTATTATCAGGACCCATAAATATCCTCCCATTGCATTATTATACATTATAATCAATGTTATATATATATATATATATATATATATATATATATATATAGTAGTTCAATGTATTTACACTAAAACTCTGAATTTTTTCTCACACAGTAATTTTTATTTTGATTGATTGATTCCTTTATTTTCATTGTACTTGCATACAATGAAAATTTTAATACTTCCAACATTCATACACAGTAAAGAGTAGTTAGTTCATATTGCAAGTTGCCCGTTATAATAAAGTGATTAGTGCTATCCACTTAATTGTGTGACATATAACATGTCAAAAGAGTCTTGTGGTAATGACAGGTGGTAATTTTGGGGGAACATTTTTGTATTGCGATATATTGTGTTATGATATATTGTTACACCCCTACAATATACACTAAACTTTAAAAGTTAGGGGTGTTCATCTTTTTAAAAAAAAAGTATTTTATGTTTATTTAAAATGTTTTAAAACTATTAAATACTATTTAATATTAATATGTATTAGCTAGAATTTTATTTGAATTAGATTTTTATTTTTAATTTTTTTCAGTTTTTCTGGAGAAGGCGCACACTAATGGCCAGGCCGATGGTTAAAGAATCAGGGATGGCATCCCTTCTGTTGGAGAATCCGTATTATATCCTTAAAAATGCTAAACTTGAGAGACATATTAGTTTGCCATGTAGACTCCTATTATCAAAAATGACTATATCTCATCTGACACCTCCTTGACTCTGAGCTGTACATGGATACAGGAAACCTAAAGACCAACTGTGAGTGTTTGATTTCTGGCAGCAGCTGTGGTGGAAGCTATTGACGTCCATGTCTTTTTTGTCCGTGTTTACTATTACGATGTATATGATGATGTGCGTTTATTGCAGTCGCTCCAGTCTGAAGAACGTATCAGACCTGTTTGTGATGGGTGGAGCACTGATCCTGGAGTCCGCTGTGCTGTTACACTGGCTGGAGCGAGAGGGTTTCTGGCCTCTGGGCATGACTGGCATTTCTATGGGCGGACATGTAGATTCTGCATTCCTAATTTACATTATCTGACTTTGTTACTTCATGTTGTGTTGTGAAGAACCTGTTCCATATCCTATATAACTTATCATGTTGACTCATTTCTTCCTAGATGGCATCATTAGCTGTGACCAACTGGCCCAAACCAATTCCGCTCATTCCTTGTTTATCCTGGACGACTGCTTCAAATGTTTTTACCACAGTAAGATCAAAACTATGTTTTAGCATCATATTGTGGCGTATTAATGTTGCCTACAAGTCATTTTGGATCGGTTGTATTTCTAAGATGCCACAAAAATCTAAACTAAACTTCGGATTTGTCAAGTCAGTTGTCTACTTTTTAGTTTGTATGCAATTTGTGATATTTTAATGATCAATAACTATAAATCCTCCCAGAAAATATTAAGCAGGTTTATGAAATGTAAGGCTCTGTGGCAGTGATGATAAAACGCATAGATAAAAGTTCCTGCTTATATTTGTCAGAAAATGAAAGTATGCATTTTTAAAGTAAGTATTAATATTTTTCTAATATAAGCGTTTTGTCCTTAAAAGTGTCAACTATGCGCAGTGATATGGAACTGTAATGCGGTCAAACCTGCCTGAAACTACTTTAGTCGTGCATTTCCCTGAAAATAATTGCACACCTTTAGAATGTTCTCAACCAATCAGAATCAAGCATTCAACAGCCCTGAAGTATAATTTATTTTAATACATTGATTTTGTGTTTTCAATGATCTGAATTAAGTTTTCTCAAGTAGGGTTTATTTAGCATGTAACGATTTTTTTAAAATGGTTTTAGTTTAACTATAATAATAACCCTGGAATGTAGGGATTTCCCAGGACATAAATACAGTATTAGTCACTTACCTGGTGTCAGTGAATG